TGTTGTGGTTTTGAAATTGATCAGGAAACTGAAATGAAATCTCCTTCTGTACATGAGAAAACTAAAAAAGACCAAAAAAGACAAATATGAACCAGCAATGTTTTCTTTGGGGAAAAAAAATCACAGCTTACTCTCAATAAAAATATTGTAAAAATAGAAAAAACCTGTTCAAAGAGATCTCTCTCTCTCTCTTCAAATTAGAGATGAGATAATTTAAAGGAAAATATTTGGTGTTAGTTTACAACTGCTTCCAACTAATGTTAATTGAGAAAAACTTCAATAGGTGAAAAAATTTGTGCACAAATATCCTGGTGACACCATTGACACACTTAAAAAAAAGCAAATAATGTTTCATTTGCAGTTTTCATGACTAATTACATTTTATTCATTCTTATAGTGTTTGCTTTTCTATCCTTAATTTTTTCTTCCTTTTTTTTTTTGGCTAAGGAAGATTTGCCTTGAGCTAACATCTGCTGCCAGTCTTCCTCTTTTTGTATGTGAACCACCACAACAGCATGGCCACTGACAGATGAGTGGTGTAGGTCTGTGCTTGGGAACCAAATCTGGGCCGCCAAAGCCGAGTGCACCGAACTTAACCACTAGGCCACCAGGGCTGGCCCTGTCCTTAATTTTTATCAGTTTAATCTGACAATTTATATTGATAATAGAGTGACAATATATACTTAGCATTTCTATTTGATTAAGTTTTGCTTTTGTTTGATGTTTTATGTTTGTACATTTTTGTACTTAAAATATATTAAATAGTTTCACTGATTAAAAAGATAAATTCTGAATGTAGTTTTAAAAATACCAGTATTAATACTAAGTAAACATAAAATTTATACTGGTATTATTTTATTCCACTACTATAATTACTGTTTCAGGGAGAAAAAGACAGCATGTATGAAGTTATTAGAGGCATCGAACAACATGATTTGGGGAATTCAGAGTCTGGCACTGCTGGTGGTGGGTGGGTTGTGAGAAATGTTCTAGGTAGGTGAGGATTTTGCTCCATAGCCTATTACTTTGTCTTGACTATCATCATCTCAGTTCTTGGATTTTGACCTCATCATTGACCTTTACAACAACCTTGAGAAAAGTGCTTATTCTCTTTGTGCTTTGGTTTCCTTACCTATAGATGAGAACAATACCAGTGCCCACTTCATAGGATTGTAGTGAGGATTAAATGAGGTGAAGCACATAGAACAATGCCTGCATAGAGGAAAAGATTCCTTTTCTTTTCGTCTGATATTTTTCCTTACAGTGAACTACCTGTTCAGTTGACTCTATGTTTAGTAACCAGTAGTCTTCCACAAAGAATTTATTTTTCTCTTAGAATCAACCTCAGTCCTTCCCAGTTCATTTATGGTTTCTTTCTTCCTCCTGGGATTTCCAGCATGTAGCCTTCTGTATCCCCTCCTGGGATCCAACACTCATTGCCAATATTATGGAGAACTTCAGGAAAATCTCCTTGTCTGGATGCTTTTGAAATCACCTTATTTGTTTATTTTTATTGCAGTATAGTTGACATACTTCAGGTGTACAACATAGTGATTCAACATTTATGTACATTCCAAAATGATCACTGTGATAAATCTAGTAACCGCCTGTCACCACACAAAGTTATTATAATATTATTGGCTATATTCCCTATGCTGTATATTACATCTCCGTAACTTATTTATTTTATAACTGGAAGTTTGTACCTCTTAATCCCCTTCATCTATTTTGCCTAACCCCCTGTCCTCCTCTTCTCTGGAAACCACCAGTTTGTTCTCTGTCATTTGTGAGTCTGTTTCTGTTTTGTTTTGTTCTTTAGGTTTCACATATAAGTGAAATCATATGGTATTTGTCTTTCTCTGTCTGACTTACTTAACTTAGCAGAATACCCCCTAGGTCCATCCATGTTGTTGCAAATGGCAAGAGTTCATTCCTTTTTTATGGTTGAGTAGTATTCCACCATGTGTGTGTGTATACCACCTCTTCTTTATCCATTCATCTATTGATAGACTCTTGGGTTGCTTCCATATCTCAGCTATTGTAAATAATGCTGCAATGAACATAGAGATGCATATATCTTTTTGAATTAGCGTTTTTGTTTTCTTCAGGTAAATACCCAGAAGTAGAATTGCTGGATGGTATGATAGTTCTATTTTAAATTTTTTGAGGAACCTCCATCCTATTTTTCTTATTGGCTGTACCAATTTAAATTTCCACCAACAGTGCACAAGAGTTCCCTTTTATCCACATCCTTGTCAATACTTGTTTTTTGTTGTCTTTTTGATGACACCCATTCTGACAGGCCTGAAGTGATATCTCATTGTGGTTTTGATTTGCTTTTTCCTGATGATTAGTAATGTTAAGCAACTTTACATGTGTCTGTTGACTATTTGTGTGTCTTCTTTGGAAAAACATCTGTTCAGGTCCTCTGTCCATTTTTAATTGGATTGTTTGTTTTTGGATATTGAGTTGTGTGAGTTCTTTACATATTTTGGATATTAACCCCTTACCTGATATATGATTTGCAAATATATTCTCCCACTCAGTTGTGTGCTGTTTTGTCTTGCTAATAGTTCCCTTTGCTGGCAAAAGCTTTTCAGTTTGATGTAATTTCATTTGTTTATTTTTGCTTTTGTTGTCTTTGCCTGAGGAGACAAATCCAAAACATATTACCAAGACTGATGTCAAAGAGTGTACTGCCTGTGTCTTCTTCTAAGGGTTTTATGGTTTCAGGTCTTACATTTAAGTCTTTAATCCATTTTGGGTTTATTTTTGTATATAATGTAAGAAAGTGGTCCAGTTTCATTCTTTTGCATGTTGCTGTCCAGTTTTACCAACACCATTTGTTGAAGAGGCTGTCTTTTCCCCATTGTATATTCTTGGCTCCTTTGCCATAGATTAATTGACCATATAGATGTGGGTTTATTTCTGGGCTCTCTATTCTATTCCACTGATACGTGTGTTGGTTTTCATGCCAGTACCATACTGCTTTGATTACTATAGCTTTGTATTATAATTTGAAATCAGGGAGCATGATATCTCCAGCTTTATACTTCTTTCTCAATATTGCTTTGGCTGTTCGGAGTCTTTTGTGGTTCCATACAAATTTTAGGATTCTTTGTTCTGGTTCTCTGAAAAATGCCATTGGTGTTTTGATAGGGGTTTCATTGAATCTGTAGATTGCTTTGGGTAGTACGGACATTTTAACAATATTAACTCTTTCAATCCATAGGCACAGTATAATCTTCACATTTATTTGAAATCATTTTATTTAAATATTTTCTTCTCCTGGGAAGGCAATGGGGTTAATGTCTTACAAAGATCTGTGTATTTCTTTCTAGAAAACAGACCATTTCCAACAAAGGAAAAACATGTAAAGGTTGCAAATTCCTTGGTAAAAGCCTCCCTCTGTTTAGAAATCTTGTTTTAAAACTATATATGTTTAAAAATAGGGGAAAAAATTAGGTGTTATACTGGTCTGTAACTTAAGCCTTGAGGAAAGTGATATAAGGAGCCAAAACAACTCATTTGGAATGGCCTCCTGGTCATGCTCTCAGTGTCTTGTCTGTAGATTGTGTCTCCCTCCCCCAGCAAATCAGGGGCCCTGGACCATTCAGCTGATGGAAGACTTCCATCTTCAGGCGGAAGGCAGGAACAGTGAGGGTGGTAGCTGAGTATTTCTTGGCCCCCCATTTTGTAGGGGATAGAGGTACAATACAATTCTTGGGCTAGTCTCTATCTCTTGCTCTTTTGAAATTTCTTGCTCATTGTAATATTAAAAAAAAAAAAAAGTGGAGCCAAAGAGGGGAGGTCATTCTAATTTCGGCTGGTCCTGTAGTAGTTTGCTTCATGCTCCTCTGATTCCTTCTTAACACTTTATTATCCCTTCCGGTTATGGTATCCTCAAGACAGAAAGAGTTTACAGCTTGGTCTAAGACAGATACAGTCTAAGATTGTGGGAATGTGGCAAATAGGGAGCCAAGGAGAGGTTTCTGAAAGCAAGTGGAGGAATTGTTATTCTTTTTCCCTGTGCTAGCCAGTGGCAAACATTTGGGTGCTATTTCCTTCTCCTTATAAACCCTTTATTTGGCAATGGACCTGGGTTTGAATCTTTCTTTGGCTACTTGCTACCAGTGTGGCCTTGGGCAAAGTATAGTCTCTGCCCTTCCTTTTCTCTGCATCTTTTAATGGGGCTAGTAATGCCTACCTCATAGGATTATTGGAAGGACTAAATGAAGTAGTGGCACATAAAGTGCCTATTAATAGATTCAGTACTTGCTAGTTCCTTCTTTTGCTCAGATCTTCTCGTAGTGGTAGTACATGCCTCTTTGGCCCATTAACTGAGTCATAAATATATCCTTGTGGGTAAGTTAAAAGAATGAACTTTTGACTTGATTTTTTAAAACCAGTCTGAAAAAAATTTAAGGACACTGCCTATGTTTTTGACCTTTACAATTATACGTCATGGTAGTCGCCTCAGTAAGTCTAAGATATAACTTTTTAATTTGATGGATCATAATTTCAGTTTTAATTCAAATGATTAATTTCCAAACCAAAGGCATATGCAGTCGTAGTCATTTGTATGCTTATGTTAACGATAATGCTAGAGTAATTAGAGTTTGATGAAAATCCCTTAGACTAAGTCATGCATCTAATTGTGTCCCAAAGTAGATGACTGCTCAGGGATTGCCATCTCCTTAGAAGATGTTGAAGAGCTCAGGCTTCAGACTGCCTGTGTTGGTATCTTGCGTCCATCACTTACTGTGTTCCTCGGGCAAGTTTCTTAACCTCTCTGACCTTGTCTGTAAAGTGGGGATTATAGTAGTTCTGACCTCGTAGGGTTTTTATGAACTAAATGAGTTTACTGTATGTAAAGCGCTTAGAATAGTGCCTGGCCCATATTAATTGTTCAATACTTGATTGCCATTATGATCTTCTGCTCCAAAAATAGCCTAAACAATGTAGTTATTTGACCTTACCTTCTTCCTACTATTTGTTAGGTTATACACTCTTACACTGTGCTGCAGCCTGGGGTCGTTTGGAAACTTTGAAAGCACTGGTGGAATTGGATGTTGATATAGAAGCTCTGAACTTCCGGGAAGAAAGAGCTCGAGATGTTGCTGCTCGGTATTCCCAGACTGAGTGTGTTGAATTCCTGGACTGGGCAGGTAAGGAAGCACATGGGGTGGTAGCAAGCTGGCTGACTGAGGTGCTTTCCTCCCATGAGTTATATGCAGGCTGTGTCTCCAACAAAGCACACAGGTGGTTAACATTTTCACCTTCATCAAGAGGTTGTATTTGTAGATAGAACCACAGTCACTGTTGGTGATAATATGTGAAATCTGCTTTTTTTTTTTTTGCTATTTTGTTATTGGCCTAAAACGTTATACTTAATAGAAACTGTACATATCGGGAGCTGGTTGATTTACGAACTTGTAACAATTTCACCAATAATTTTCTATAAGAATATATATATAATAAATATTCAAGACCATTTTCTGAAAGACCTACGCAGAGTGGACCATTCCTTAGATGTTTAAAAAATGCGATATTTGAGTAATGTATTTGATTCCTTAGGTAGAAAAGGTCGTAATAATTTAAAATGATTTGCCAGGCAAAATTAATCTGTGATATTAGAAGTCAGAATAGCAGTTACCTTTATGATATGAGGGGGACCTCTGGAGTGTAATCTTCTTTTTCTTGATCTGCTTGCTGGTTACATGATGTGCACATTTGTGAAAATTCATTGAGGTGTACATTTATAGTTTTTATACTTTTCTGTATGTATGATATGCTTCAATCAAAAAACTATGTGCTATTTTGAGTTTTACTAATATTTTGCTTACGTCATTTCCACAGCCCTGTACATAGCTTAGAGATTTTAGGAAGATATACCTGTATAACTATGTATGTGTACAAACATTGGTTAAAAAACTAGTACTTGGGGGCTGGCCCAGTGGTGCAGCGGTTAAGTTCCCATGTTCCGCTTCTCGGCAGCCCAGGGTTTGCCGGTTCGGATCCTGGATGCAGACATGGCACCGCTTGCCAAAAGCCATGCTGTGGCAGGTGTTGCACGTATAAAAGTAGAGGAAGATGGGCATGGATGTTAGCTCAGGGCCAGTCTTCCTCAGCAAAAAGAGGAGGATTGGCAGTAGTTAGCTCAGGGCTAATCTTCCTCAAAAAACACACAAAAAAACTAGTACTTATGAAGTTCCTGGCATTCATTTTGCATTGTTACCTGCATTTGTGTTTTTAGCAAGCATTTATTAAATGCCTACTATAAGCATAGCATTTTTATAGGTACACTTGTTGTTCCTACTCTCTGGACATTTGGTAGGTGGGGGGTGATAAGCTATAGACACATCTCACAGTTAACAATATCAGAAAGACTATGATTAAGGGTTAAAAATCAGCAGAGCTGGTGGTACGTGCTATGGGGTGGTCAGAGAACATGAAGTCGGAGCATGTTGGAATTGAGTTGGGCCTTCAAGAATGGGTGGGATTTGAATAAACAATAGAAGGGGAAAGGGTGTGAGCAAAATCTCAGAGCTGGGATTGAAAGTGTCATGTTGGGGGACAGTGACGAAATTGCCTTACTGGAACAGCAAGTTGTATTTTGCACATGTAGGCTACAGCACAGGCAGAATAATAAAAGAGTAAGTACATGGGCTCTTGAATCAGATTGCTTGAGTTTAAATAGTGGTGTGTCCACTTGAAACCTATGTTTGGATAAGGTATTTAAATTCTTTATACCTCAGTTTTATTTTCCAGAAGAGGCAGCCAATAATAGTTCGTTCCTCTTGGGGGTTGTTGTGAGAATTACATGAAATGATATAAAGCACTTAGCACAATGCCTGGTGTGTGATCAGCACTAGAAAAATGCTGCTGTTATTATAGCCAGATTATACCCTTAAATGCCAGGCTAAGATGTTTTCATTTTATTTCTGTAGACACTGAGAGCCACTGAAAGTTTTATGTAGAAGAGGAAGAGGATGAAAATGCTATCTAGGAAGATTCGTCTGGTAGCAATAAGGAGCTTCTTATCAGTAAAATGAGAAGGGGACTGGGAGGATTACTAGAAATAAGGAAATTGAAGGAAGATAGCACATTTGGGAAGAAAAAGAATTATACTTTGTGGATTATTTTAAAGATAATTATCTACTTGTACTAAGTATTTTCTAGGGGCAATATTTTTGTCAATACCTTCAATTTTATGATTAGGTCTATAAGCAAAAAGAAAAATTGCAAAGAATTTAATTGATCCCCCTGTGTATAGTTATTGTAGGTGAAATCCACATTATATAAATTAAAATCCATTTTTGAATAATAACCCATGGTACTTAAAAACACAATCCAGAGACAAATTTTGCTATAACTATTCTGAAAAGAAACAGTGTGGGGCTTATAATGTAGAGTTTCATCAGTTTCCTTCTCCCTATTATCCTTCTGTTTAGTTTGGCTCCTTACATTCTTGGGGGAGTTATATCTAACATTTCCTAGTAATGAAGATAAAAGAAGACTATGATGTCATAAACTAGAATGCTGTTTCAAGATCAGTGATGGAATTGTAAGGATTGGGGCTTCATGGTAATGTCTGGGGAATGTAACACAAACTTCTCAACATAAAAGTTAACATTTAATTCAGACTTACCAAGATTATAAACCACTTCCATTTCTTCTTCTGGTGATTAAAGTAGGAGTCACCTGGAGAATTTTAAGGGGCTGAGGACTCCCTATCCCAAAGAGTCTCCTCCATATTGCTGAAAATTCCACCAATAAAGATAAATTTCTTTAGATTTTCAAGGTTTGGAGACTTTTTAAGTGTTCAAGAGTCCTCCATTAAAAGAAATAGGTATCAGTGTTCTCTTAGAGGGAATTGGTTGACAGTTCAGAACTCTGAAGGGATGGAACAAACATTTGTGGAAATATGGGAGTAGGATTGTGCTAAGGAAGAGTGGAGGTAAGGAGAAGAGTCTGGAAAGTGGAGCAATAAATAAACGTTTAATAGTTCATAACCCAAAGCAGGCAGTATTCTTTTCCATTATAAAGACTGTAGAGTTATCTATTACTGTTTCAAGGATTATTTTTTAAAAGTTTTTTCCTCCCTTATATTGATGGGAGGTATGTTATAGCTCTGGTATATTTTTCTGGTATTTTTCAACATGTTTTTAATCAAATCTTCTGTCTTAGTCTCAGGCAAGTCTCTCAGTTTTTGTTTAGAAAATATGATAACCATACTTTTTAAAATTGAGGCATCTTATCAACAAAAGTCTGAAATTTAAAAAATGTTGATACTTAATTCATAATTTATCATACTGAAAATGGAAAAATTTATACTTAAAAATTTATTCTATTCCTTAATATTTCCATACTATTTTAGCAATCTGAGATGGGAAATTAAGTCTCCCTGTGGCCGTAAAATTTGCTCAGGAGAGTAAGAAAAATCACATTATTTAAATCAGAGATTTATTGAAACACTAAACCAAGATTCTGTTCTATGGATTAAATGATTAGTAATCTAACATATTAAAAAGAACAAAAGAGTTAAACATGAAGCCATGATAGTATATAATCTTTTCCCCAGTACTTTACTTACTAGTATGGATGGATAAAAATGATAAGAATAGATATTCTTTTCTTTTTTTTTTTTTTTGATGAGGAGCCCTGAGCTAACATCTGTTGCCTATTTTCCTCTTTTTGCCTGAGGAAGTTTGTCCCTGAGCTAACACCCGTGCTAACCTTCCTCAATTTTGTATGTGGGTCGCCACCATAGCATGGCTTGATGAATAGTGTGTAGGTCCACACCCAGGATCCAAACCCACCAACCCTGGGCCACTAAAGTGGAGCATGCGACCTTAATCATTATGTTACCCCTCTGGGCTGGCCCCGATACTTATTCTTTTTACCTGAATAGAAATAACTTTTCAACTCAGACTTCTTTGGAAAGTTTCAGTAAAGAACGTGACAAAAATTACAAAGGCTGCCAAAGAACCATTTTTATTTTTATATAAGTTCTATCACTAGGTTTCTTATGTAACCTTCATATTGGACCGAGTTACATGTGCATATGGATATCTTCTGGCTCCTCCTCCTGAAGGAGTCTTCTTCCTCTTTGGTTTTCCGTGCTTGACTTTCTTAGCCAGAGGATAATGGGATGACTGATTCAGATATGTGGTCAGCATTGATGTTTTAGCCATCAGTCTGCAGAGTATTTCATCAATGTCCTGGAAGGACGGGCCTTCTAAATCATTACCAAGTGTATCTAAGGAGGGTTGTTTTTTCAGCTAAAAGGAGAAAACAAGTGATATTATAGAATTTTTTTTTAAAGATTTGTACCTGTGCTAACATCTGTTGCTAATCTTTTTGTTTTCTTCTTCTCCCCAAAGCCCCCCGGTACATAGTGCTAAGGACCTTCTAATTCAATACACATTAGTTGAGCACCAAGTATGTACAAGACACTGTGCCAGATGCTGGGGGTGAATGGCGAGGGTAGGAGGAGGTTATAAAGAGAAATAAGACATGGAACTTCCCCTCAGAAAAGCTGACAATCTTATGTTTTAACTCTTTGGTAGTCTATAACTACTACTATTTACATCACTAACTCACCTTTTTTTGGTGTTTCTTCCATTTCATCCACAGGTAATGCACAGATAAAACAAATAGGATAAAAGAAAGAGCCTGTACTAAAGTATAAGTGAAATATAAATAACCCTGAAATATATCCATATTAGCAAAATTGAAGCATAGATTGTTCAGAGGGTAAGGGAGACAGTAAGATGGAGAAGGCTTAAATTTCAGATACTGCATTTCTTCTGGAAGAATTTCCCATCCAACCTTTGTCCAGATGGTTCCATCACAAACGCAGAAGGTCTCCTTGAAGAAGCAGATAAACAAAAAAGGAAAAATGAGGGATAGTCCTTGAAAGGACATCTTTCTTTCTCAACTGGAAAAAAAAGTCTATAGCCAAAAATTGGTCAAAGACAGAGAAGATATGCCAAGTACTAGTTCACGTGGTGCGCCAGTAAAAGCATTGAAGATAATCTTCCTTGTCAGCAAAATATATACTGATGAGCATTGTTACATCAACTACTAGTCATAGTGATTCAGTGATGTCATAAAGAACCACATTGGGACTAAAAGGTGTCACCTAGTCATTCACCTTGGGATTCTTAGGGATTCTTTTTCTTGCTTTTTGCCAGAATGGTTTGAGCTTCTTCAACTTTCTGAAAAACAAAGACTTTACTAATATTTTGCTAACTAATAAATTCAGACTGTAATCATATTAATAGAATTTCATGGAAAAAATTTTCCTATATCCCTTCTGACCCTTCTGAAGTATGGCAGTTTGACATCTACTTAAAGAATAGCTATAGCTATACCATTTCACGCAACCTGGCATCTGCTTCTGTTTTATCACTCTGGAATATCTTTCCCTGTAAATGGTTAAACAAATATTGTCTCACCCTTTTAACCCATGTCCCTTTGGTGGCAATGTGGTAACATCAGATAGTGGGTGAGGGGTGGGGAATTTGGCATGGTATGTGAAAAAGATGAGATGGTGAGGTGGCAGGGTATATGATAAAAAGATGAGACATAGACCCTGCCTTTAAGGAGCTTACAGTATAGAGGTAGAAGAAAAAATAAGATGATAAAAATTACAAGATAGACTAAAATAAGAGCTAAATCAAATTATAATCATGTAACAGTTGATAGAGCAGTGAGTTCTCCCTGGGGGAATTAGGAATTTCGCAGAAGTATATTTAAGTAAGCTTTGAAGAATGAATAGGATTTTGGTAGGGCATTTTGGTAGAGCAGTGTGGAGAGAACAACTTAGGATGAGGAAACCTAACAAGCAAATAAATTCTGTGTAAACAGTCATACAACAAATATTTATTAAGAATCTCCTATGTGCTAAATACTGTTCTATGAGCTGAGAATACATACACAACTAGGTACAAAACAGAATCTTTATGTTCATGGAATTCACCTTCTAACAGGGAGATGCAGAAAAAAATATCTATCTAAATCTATGTGTAACCCTTGGAGTGCTATGGAGAAAAATAAAGCAGTGTAGTGAGGGGGTTATGAAGTTGCCAGCAAGTGAATGAGTGAGTGTGTGCGTTATTTTATAGCACGTGATCAGAGAAGGCCGTGCTGATGAGGTGCTGCTTGAGCAGAGACCCGAGGAACTGAAGGAATGAACCATGTTGACATCTAGGGGGAGAGGGAGCATGAAGTAAGTAATGGATAGACTCTCCGTGAATGTTGGAAGGAATAAAGCTGGAAAGATAGTTGGTGGCTGTCTAGATTTTGGAAAGCCCTGTATTTATTTAGTCAATAGGGAGTTATTTGTAGAATTTTGAGGAGAGGAGTGACATACTTATAAACTTATTGAGTGCTTTACTCTTTGTTAGGCACGGTGCTAAGATATTTGCATGCATTATACTACATTTTGTATAATCCTTACAACAATCCTATGAGGACTTCCATTTTATATATGGGGAAACTGAGGTTAGAGGGGTTAAAGTATTGCCATGGTCTGAATGTTTCTGTCCCCTCAGAATTTATAGGTGAAGTCTTAATTCCCGTTGTGATGGTATTAGGAGGTGGGGCCTTTGAGAGGTGCTTAGGACATGGAGGTGAATCCCTCATGAATGGGTCAGTGTTCTCATAAAAGAGTCTCCACAGAGTTCCCTAGCCTCTTCCACCATGTGAGGATACAGTAAAAAGGTGCTGGATATGAAGGAAGAGGGCTCTCACCAGACTAAAACCATGTTCGTGCCTTGGTCTTGGGCTTCCCAGCCCCCAGAACCATCAGGAGTAAGTTCCTGTTGTTTATAAGCTACCTAATCTGTGGTATTTTGCTATAGCAGCTTGAATGGACTAAGACAGGTGGCACTTATAGGATGCTTGCAATAAGCTCCTTTCTCTACCAAGCCACCCCAAAAGCATATGTGCTCTCAGTAAAATCAGTGTGCTTATTGTACAGATTCAGTTTCATGACAAGGCTCTTAGTCCCCTCCTCCAACCAATTCCTCTCCTAGGCTCCATCCTGTGTTGAAATTCTGGAAACACTGTCTACTCCCAAGTCATCCCACTAGTGGAGCCCAAACCTAAACCTTGGATTCCAGTTTAGGTAATTAATTCTGCTCGCAACGTGAATGATGGGTTTGAAGCTGTGAAGGGCTGGAAGCAAGAAGCCGGTTAGTTGGTCTGTATATATTAATACTATTCCAGATATGGGTCTGAATTTGACCATAGAAGGTACTTTTATTATGTCTGCATTACAGATAGGCAGATGAGGCTTAGATTGTTGGGTACTACAGGTGACACAGGTGAGCTTTAGAGAGATTTCATTAGGTCTCTCAAAAATTCCTACTTGGAGTTTCATGAGATTACGCAGACTGATTCTGGTAGGCTGGATAATGGCCCCCAAAGATATCCAGGTCTTAATCACTGGAACCTATGAATGTTATAGGGCAAAAAGGACTTTGAAGATATGATTAAAGATCTTAAAATGGGGAGAGTGTCTTGGATTATCCAGGTGGGACCTAAATGTAATCACAAGTGTCCTTATTATAAGTGAGAGGCAGAGGAGATTTGACACAGAAGAGAAGGTGATGTGATGATGGAAGTAGAGATTGGAATGATGTCCTTTGAAGAAGGAGGAAGGAGCCACCAGCCAGGGGTATGGGCAGCCATTAGAGATTGATAAAGGCAAGAAAATGGATTCTCCTCTCAGCACCCCCAGAAGGAATCAGCCCTGCCAACATCTTAACTTTAGCCCAGTGAAGCTGATGTCAGACTTCTGGCCTCTAGAACTGTAAGAGGATAAATTTTATTGTTTTAAGCCACCAAATTTGTGACAATTTGTTATAGCAGTCACGAGAAATGAATACATCAACCTTAAATCAATTTGGGGCTAATCCACAATTTACAATATTCAGTTGTCCCATCTAGGAATATGGTAAGTCTTTCGAGTTATTTGAGTCGTTTATTTCTCTCAAAGTGTTGTAATTATATTTAAACAGGTCTTGCAAATTTTGTCATGATATTACTTTGGGTACTATAGTGAATGGGATTACTTTAAACACTGTGTTTTTTATTTTTATTTTTGAAGAGGACGGCTATTTTCAATTTATTTTGAAGGCTCAAGAAGGGTAAAAAAGTGACGGTTTGTCTATTGTAAATGTTTTTTTTTTTGTTTCTTCTGAGTAGATATGTTTATAGAATATGGTCTCTTTGTGACCAGGTGTCATGTTTTATATTTATTTGTTCTTCAAAAATTTTAGCGCGGTTTCAGGAACACAGTGAGTGCCCCAAAGTGCTGTGCTAGTTGAGCGTTCTCTTTCTTGAAGTTCAATGAAACCAACTGTAACAAATTGCCTACACACAGTCTTTATAAAGCTCTGGATGGATGATGGCAAATTACAAAAAGATGAGCATGTTTTTTGGTCTTTGTCTTATTAGTGTGCATTTTACTATCCTGTTCTTTCAGATGCAAGGCTGGCTCTGAAGAAATATATTGCGAAGGCCTCTGCAGCTGTTACAGACACAGAAAAGGGACCAGGGAAGCTCTTTAAGGAAGACAAGGTACTGCATTGTGATTATTGCTTGTTCTGAAGTCTTGAGATTTTTGCCTATATCTTTAATTTCTACACTAATGCTCTAGAGGTGGGTAGTGGTCCTTACTGCTGTCTTCTCTTCTCCCTCTCTCCCTCCATTCCTCCTTCCCTTCCTTCCTTTCTTTGTTAATAAACTACTGATAAGAGACTGATAAAAATTAAATGAAATAGTATTAAAGAGTAACATAGAGATGTACTAAGGTTCATGCCCAACAATGTGAATGAATCTTAGAAACGCAGCATTGAGTGAAAAAAAAAAACCATCAAAGACTACATAGATTTTTATAAAGCAAAATCAAACTATATTGTTTAGGGATGCCTCCATATGGGGTAACACTATTAAAAACGAAAAGCAAAGGTATAAGCATCGGTTGTGATTTTCTCTTGGAGGCTGGTGGGGGATGGGATGGGGCAGGGCACAGAAGCAGCGACAATAGCACTGGCAATGTTCAGGCTCTTCTGTTGATTTGTGGAGTCCACTGATACTCATTTCATTATTTTGCCTCAAAACTTAGACATACATCATATATTTTAGTGTGTATATATATATATATATATATATATACATACATTACATATATTTTACTCTTTCAAATTTTACATAATAGTAAAAAAAGATACACAGATATAAAGGTGACTAATTGTAATTACAGGCCAGCTTGCCACATTTACTATACACTAACTACTACAGGTGGACTAGTTTATTGCTTTGGATGTACAGACACACACAAAAGATATACTCAAAGTATCAGAAATGTGTTTTGGTTTTAAATTATTTCCTACATTTCTGTGCAGGCTGTTCTATGAATTTCCTGTAACTTATAATTCCGATGAAAAAGAACTAGGTACTACCAAAAGTGTAGGATATTACAGCCTGAGAGCACAATGAGTTACACATTTCACTTGTGGTTTGTAAAACACTTTACAAAATCTCTTGTGAAACAAAATAGAGGCAAAATTCTATTAGAATAGCTATTGCTGCTCTTAGATGTGCAAAACAAAATTTTTCTGGCACAAGCAAACAGTACTTTATCAAACTCTTACTGCAAAAGTTTTAATTTCAATTTTTAAATATTTAGTTATTTGAACTAGAAAATACTATGTACATGTAGTAATATTTAGAATAAAATTGAAATGTCTAAAGCAAACTTAATAGTTTTCTTTTTGCCATTTCCAGTCTTATTACCCTGTAGTTCTAATACCGATTTTGTGTAAATTTCACCATACTTTTCCCTTCACTTATATAAACACATATATGCACCCATATAGTTTTATGAGAGATTTTGTTTTTATAAAATGGGATCATAGTATACATATTTATTCTTTAATTTTCTTTTTTTCCTTTTAATAATATATTATGGACATCTTTCCAAATCCACTTCATTCTGCATACACTACTGCCTATGTAATAATGTGAACAGAACATACAATAAATGTATTCATTTTTCTTTTTTATTACAAACCAGAGAACAATGAACATCTTAAATCAGACACTAGCAGTTTGCTGCTGCAAAGAGATGGTTCAGCAATGCAATTTGAGAGGTTTTCAGTGAGGTGAAGCTCTTCTTGAATTTCTTGCACTTCTTCCTTCTGTGAACCCACTAAGAAGGAATAAAATATCAGCATTCCCTCTTGAATTGCCCCAGCTCATACTCTCCACCTTTTCTTTTCCAGCCTTTGTAAACACTTCTCTTTATCACATGGCTCAATGAAAATAAAGAATTAGGTGGAGGGTGTACAGTGGCCCAAGGCTTTAAGACCCTATATTGTGAGTTTTATTATATTCACATTCCGCTAATGTTAGAGCTGCACTGTCCAATATAGTACCCACTAGCCACATGTGGCTATTTAAATTTGAATTAGTTAAAATTAAATAAAATTAAAAATTCAGTTCCTAAGTCATACTAGCCATTTTCTGGTGGTCAAAAGCCATGTATGTCTAATGGTGACTATATTGGACAGGGCAGATCTAGAACATTTCTATCATCACAGAAAGTTCTGTTGGATAGTTCTGGTTTAGAGATACTGTAGAGTTTTACTTTTCAATAAATAAGTGGAAAGTAAATTTTCTGTTTCTGTCTGTAGAATACTGTCCTCAATGCATGCCGTGTAAGAAATGAGTGGTTGGAAACCCATTTGGAAGCTTCAATTAATGAGATTTTTGAGCAGAAGCAACAGTTGGAAGATATTGTGACTCCTATCTTGACAAAAATGGCTACACCACGTAAGTTTTGGATAAAAAGTGGTTTGAGTGTCAGAAAAGATGAAAATTACATTTTATGCTGTTATTTCTAGGATATTCTGAATTTAACAATCTTCATTCAGTACTCATTAATCTTGTTATAAGCACTAATCTGTAATATAACTTCCTAGTTTCATTGATAGTATCAATATTAATAATTAAAAATAACTGAGTTCTTTCTATGCAGAATGTTTAATACTAATCTTATTACCATCATTAATCATTTTATATAATAATTTACTATGCCTTTGATTTTGACCAGTAATTTTCATCTAGGAAGGCATATCCTCTTAGGAGATAGAATGGCAGAATTTGAAAAAGCATTTTCAGTATATTTTGAAAAACCTATTGTGGGAACACCATTCTGTGAATGGGGAAGGTGCACTGTCAGAATCTTTTTGGCAGGCATACCTAAGATTTTAAAAAATATCAGCTTTATTGAGATATAATTCTTATACCACAAAATTCACCATTTGAAAATGTACAATTTAGTGGTTTCAGTATATTCACAGAGTTGCATAATCCTCACCACTATCTAATTTTAGAACATTTTACCACCCCAAGAGGAAAACTCATACCCATTAGCAGTCACTTCCCAGTCCTCCCTCCCACAAGACCCTGGCAACCACTAACCTACTTTCTGTCTCTATGGATTTGCCTGTTCTGGACATTTCATAAATAAAACCATACAATCTGTGGCCTTTTGTGTCTGACTTCTTTCACTTAGCATAATGTTTTCAAGGTTCATCATGTTGTAACATGTGTCAGTATTCCTTTTTATGGCTGCATAATATTTCACTGTATGGATTCACATTTATCCATTCATTAGTTGATGGACATTTGAATTTCCACTCTTTGACTATTATAAATAATACTGCTGTGAACTTTCATGTACAAACTTTTGTGTGTCCACATGTTTTCTTTCCTCTTGGGTATGTACTTAGGAGTGGAATTGATGGATCATATGGCACCTCTATGTCTAACCTTTTGGGAACTGCCAGACTGTTTGCAATTTTCTATTCCCACAAGCAGTATATATGAGGATTCCAATTTCTCCACATCATTACCAACATTTGTCATCATCTTTCTTTTTGTTTTAATTTTAGTCATTCTAGTGAGTGTGAAGTGGTATCCTAATGTAGTTCTGATTTGCCATTCCTTAATTACTAATGATGTTAAGCATCTTATCATGTGCATACTGGCCATTTGTATATTTTCTTTGGGGAAATTCCTGTTTGAATCCTTTGCCCATTTTTAAGTTGGGTTGTCTTTTTGTAGTTGAGTTGTAAGACTTCTTTATGTATTTTGGTTACAAGTTCCTTGTCAGATATATGATTTGCAAATGCTTTCTCCCATTCTGTGGATTATCTTTTCATTTTCTTAACTATGTCCTTTGAAGCACAAAAGGCTTCAAGTTTGACAAAGTCCAATTTATCTGTTTTTCCTTTTGTTGCTTGTGCTTTCAATGTCATGTCTAAGAAACATTGTCTAATCCAAGGTCACCAGGATTTACTTTTATTTATTTTGCAAGAGTTTTGTAGTTTTAGCTCTTACATTTAGTTCTGTGATCCACTTTGAGTTATTTTTGGTACATGATGTGAGGTAGCGGTCCGACTTCATCCTTGTGAATGAGGGTATCCAGTACCTAAGATGTTTATGTTTCTCAAAATGGGCTGTGGTTTTTCAGAGGTTAAGACACTTAACCTAGTCTAGGCAGTATTGCAGAATATCTCTTGCCATCTGTACCTAATGTCTAGTGAGCATACGCACAGCACTCTGCTGGGCCCCCTGAAGGGCGAGAGATACTTTACCCTCTTCTTGTCTTTAAGGAGCCCACCAGTCAGTTTGTGAGTAAACATGCATACTTGAAAAGAAAAGCTAAGTTCTGTGTATACTTAGAGAAACTTAAGTATCAAGAGAAAGCATAATGAAGAAAGAGGAATTGCCTGAAAGAGTGGAATATGAAGGGAATTCTGGAATGAAAGCACAATATGATGATTAAAGTTCAAATGTGGGAATAAGGAAGTAGTCAGTATCCATCTGGCTGATTGTAGTTGAGCGTGTTAAGGAAGAGTAGAAAATAAGGTTGGAAAGTTCACTTGTGATCATTTCATTAAAAGTACTGAATTGTATAAGCTTAGAAGTTTGGGCTTTATTTTCAGGGCAGTGGGTTGCATTACAGGCTTTGGGGTAGGAGAGAAGAGGGATTAAGTAGGAGGGAATACCCGGGCTTTCCTTGTGAAATGGATCAGAGGGAGAAGAGACTAGAGGGAGTGAGACATCAGTATAGTCCAGGAGTGAGATGATTGAGACCTGAATTATGTGATTATACAGTTCGATTCCCACTTTCTCCCCCCGCTCGAGCACTACCGTTAGCCTGGCCCAGCAACATCCTTCCTTTACTTCTCAACTCTGAGGAAGAATCACCTTTCTCCCCAAGTCCCCTATAGCCCCTCCAGTCACCCCTGTATCTTGTACCTTCATGTTATGGAAATGTTAGATCTTGATGGAACCTCTGAAATGACCCCTGTATTTTACAATGAAGAAAGCGAAGACAAGAGAAGTTAAGCAGTTTATTCAAAGTTGCTCTATTCACGGCAGAATTGGGAATAATAATACTGATTATATGGGAAACGTGACCTCAAAGCTTTAAATATTTAAAAAAAAGGGAAGGAGGAGAATACTTGAACTGATATACCAGCACCAAGGTTTAATTAATGACTAGTTCACGCTGGTACATTCTGGTTTATTTCATGCCCATTGTTTTTAAAAACTGGCTTCATTTTTGTTTTATGTTCCAAGCTAATTAAATGTAATTTTAAAATCTGCTTCCTTTCAGGTCAAACAAAAGGTTCCAAAGCTGTCGTCTAAGCCTTGGTGAGAAAAGAAGTCAAGATCATACCTTCTACTGAACAGATATTTTATAAAAGGCTGCATTTTCTTCTAGGATTTGTAAAGGCAAACCCATTCATGCCAGTTGAAGAAAATAGATGTGGAGTTTTATAAAAATAGTTAAGTCTGAAATTAAATAAGTCTTGTTTTACTCTCTTCAACATGCTTATGTCCAGACCCTCTGGCTTTGCCTCTGCCCCCTCAAGGGCAGTCCCACGTGAGTTCCACGTGCTCCTTCCAGAGAGCACTTGGGTATGAGTCACTCACAAAGAATATATGGAAGCTTTAAAAGCTATTTAGAGAATCTAACAATTTTCTGTGTAATTGAGGCAGGAAATTTCCATTCAACCAAGGAATTCTATTAAAAAGATGTATTGCTTATTTCCAGAAGAAAAAATTGTTCTCCCTCTCTCAGAAGGAAAGCTATGGGATGACATTCTGGAGCAAGGAAATATTAAGAATGCTTTGGATCCAGGTCCTCTGCTTATACAACTATTACTGTTTATGTCCAAACTAAAATTGACCTGTAAGGTGGCACACAATCCCTTAATAGACCTTATTTCTTTATCTTCAGCCTCCTTCTGTCTTTAATAAACACAAATCTGTTTAGTTTTTTATTTAGATTTCCCCTTTTCTGTAAGTTTGGTAATACAGATATTGTAACTGGACTCCATGCTGTTTTTCCTTCTGATCTGTTTTGTATTTTGTAGGTTTTAAATATCATTGTAGGTTTCCTGTTAGTGATTTGAAATGTCTTTTTTTCTAGTTATCTAAAAGCCCCTGAACCTCCTACTACTCTGTGACTTTCTGGAGAAGCGTTATAGAAAGAAAGTGTTAAAACAGCAGCAACAACAAAAACAAACACATTGCTCATTGTTCCTATGACTTTCTCTTCTTTGCCCTGCCCTGAAAGCTAGTTTTTCCTGTCAGAGAGGAAGGCAAAGAAATGAGCAATTCAGTAATTCCTTGTCAGTTGACGTTTTCTCAGCCATGGGTTTGAGATAACACCGTTTTAAATTTGTCTCACAAATTTTAAAGTTTTTAGATCTTTTTTACGTACCAGCAGTTCCGTTTCAGTTGCCTTAAGCAACAGCACGGGGCGGTAACTCTCACTCCCACCCCTGGTAGATCCAGTGGGTGTTTACAGAGTTGTGCAAAGACGGAGATCTGTGTGTGCTCCGTTCTCTTAATACTGCGTACTGTGAGAAGTCCATTATCTTTGGGCACTGCAATAATTTGGGAAAAGGCCAGGTGCCATTTTTGTTTTTTCTACGTTTTCTGAGCCTTGATCTTGAACATGACATTATTTTCCAGGCATGTGGTCCTGGCCATTAGAGAAGGATTCCTGAATCTCACTTCAAAGTTTCCTAGGTAAGACTGAGGCGCTTCTGGAGACTCCTAGTAGGATATAAACCTCTCTTTTGTTCGTCTTTCCATCCTTATCTTCAAATTTTTTGTAGCTTTTGATATACTTGGTAATGTGGTCTTCCGGACTCTCCTTGTATTGTCACGTTACATCATTATGGTTCCTTTACTTTCTTACAAACTGCTTTTCTAACTCTTTCAGCAGCTGCTATGGTTTGAATATGCTTGTGTCCCCGCCAAATCCATATGTTGAAACCTAATGCCTGTGTGATAGTATTGGGAGGTGGAGCCTTTGGGAGGTGATTAGGTCATGAGGACAGAGCCCTTACAAATGGGGATTAGGCCTTTATAGAAGAGGCCCTTGTCAGCTCCCTTGCCCCTTGCACTATATGAGGTTACAGCAACAAGACAGCTGTCTAGGAAGTGGGCTCTCACTGGACACCGAAGCTGCTGCCACCATGATCTTGGATTTCCTAGCCTCCAGAACTGTAAGGAAGAAAAGTTTGTTGTTCGTGAGGTATGTGGTTTAGGGTATTTTTGTTATAGCAGTCTGAACAGACTAAGACACCCAGCTCCTCTTCATCTTGCCTCCAGCTAGGGTAACTTCTCCAAAGTCAATCCTATCTTACAGCTTTGTATGTCAATTATACCTCAATAAAGCTGGAAAAAAAAAAGTCAATCGTAACCCTTAGTGAAGCAATCTGTAATTCCGCATCCCATGACCTTCTCTATCCCCAATATTAGGAACAACATATCCCTCCTTCTTTGGGGCACCCATAGTGCTAATAGCCTCATCCTATTCTATTTCACTGTTCACATGTTTATCTCCCCATGTGAATTGTGAGCTTTTTAAGGGTGAGGGCTTTGTCTTGTTTTCATTCATCCCTAAAGAGCCCATTGGATAGTAAGTTAGTAAATAATAGTTGAATGAACTCTCTTTTGGCACTCTCCCTCGTGGAACCTCTCATCTTCGTTCATTTATAGAGCTTGTTCACCTTTCTAAAAATGGCTCCTGGATCTTTATCTCCATGTCTTGCTTGTGCCAGTGCCCCATTTCAATTCCTACTCCTCCAACAGATGTCTCACATATCCAGCATTATGTCTGTGTTAGCTGGTTTCTTCTCTGACCTATTTTCTAACCTTCATCTTGAATGCCGTGTTAATTTTCAGGCATGTGAATCTGGTGATTACCAAGGGATCCCTGGATCTCCCTTCAAAGATTCCATTGATAGGAGAATCTGAATATACGTCTATATCTATAGATCTATAACTTTAGTATGTTTTGAGAGATATAGTACTTCTTGTGTCCTATTGTTGCATTGAGTTACCAATATATTCATAGAAGAGTTAAAATGTCCTTATGTTTTGTGTTTGAGCTGTTACACAGGTAGCTGCATGACTTTTTCTGAACACGCACAGAGTAATTACTATTTCAAAGTGCATACTAGTAAGTTAAATCACATTATTTGAGAGGTGGTAGAGCAAAGGCTAAATTCAGTGTTTTGATAACTTCTAAATAGTAGTTCCTTAGATGTTTTTATTTCATTGACTGGGAAAATGTAAAAAAATAAAGGGAGGAGATTGATATGACATCATTAAGAAAACAGCTGCTATCTGCTATCACTATCATTTAATAAAATAAAAGACATTTTAACACCAGAAAAGAAGCGAAAGTATGATCAGTGTAAGTACCCTTTACGTTGAATAAATTGTTTTATTCAATTTATTCAAGGGGCTTTTATGTTATATGTTTTCATTTTGCCATCTATGATGGGACTTTTATCATGAATCACTACTGGCATATGATTCAGCCTTTAAGAACTTCTGCTCTACATTAAGCTAAAGCAGGCAGACTGCTATTTAGGTTAACATGATGCCCCAAACTGTAAAGGAATGACAACCTACCCCAGTGTTTTATCTAATATGTGATAGGTTTTATTTTCCAAGATGGCCACATATCCTATTCCACGTGCTCTTCTTACAGTATGGTCATGACATTCCTCATTGGAGAAGTGGGTCTCTCTTCTCTCCTCTTGAATCTGGGCAGGCCTGTGACTACCGTGGAGGTAATACTATGTGATTTCCGTTGATCATAAAAGATCATAACAGGTGATACCTAATTCCCTTGAGATGCTCGCTCTTGGAAACCAGCCTGTGGAGAGACTCACGTGGACAGAAACTGAGGCTCCAGCCCATAGCCCATGCTGAGCTCCAGCCAGCAGTCATCCCCAACTTGCCAGCCATATGAGTGAGCCATCTTGGAAATGGATCCTCCAGTCGAGCCACCACAGCTGATGCTGTATGGAGCAGAGACAGCCTTCTCTGTTGAGCCTTGCCAAAATTGTAGATTTCACCTAAATAAATGATTGTTGTTGTTTTAAGCTACTAAGTTTTGTGTGTGTTTATTATGCAGCAATATGTAACATTACAAGTTTTGGAATCTGGAAGTGAGAAATTGACATAACAAACCCTAAACTGTGTGGCATTGCCTTTTTGGGATTGGGTGGCAGGCAGAAGCAGAAGAGCCGAGAGGAGAGTGTTTGGGAAAGCCTCCAGGGCCTTAAGTAGATTATTAACAGAATCTTTAAGGGCCTCTAGCAGACTCTTTTGCCTGCCTTTACTTTTGCTCTCCTTCTGTAAATTCATGTGACTCTCATAACTGTTACCCAAAGTGTGTTTCTTGGATTATCGTTTCTGGGGAAGTTTGTAGGTGTTACGCAGAAAAGGAGTACGTGCTCAAATAAATTTGGACCCACTATGTTAAACAGGTTTCCTTTCTGCAGGGGCTTCTTAGAATTTGTCATTTGCTGGTGTGCATTGTGATCCTATAAGTCAGAGAGATGGCCTGCAGGTTTCACAAAGAAACTTCCCTTTAGTGGGAGTTTATAGGAAAGAGAGGAAAGTATTATTAGAAGCTGGAGAAAGGGGCCCCTGGTAAGTTTGGTAAGGTGGTAAGTTTGGCCACACTGTTGTCAATGATCCTGCTAAGGATATTTCCAGGTGTTCAAGTGCCACCTGGCCTCTTCTACTAAAATGTGAGAGGAGAGAGATGAGCTGAAAAGGAACAGTTCCATTTTCAAATAAAATTTAAAAGAAATATAAGGAAGCCAGTACCTGCTCGGTTTGAAAATAAAATAGTTTCTCATTGCTAGCTTTTCTAGATGGCAAAAAGTCCTCAAATTAGGAAAAGGCCTCTGAGGGGCCGGCCTGGTGGTGCAGCAGTTAAGTTTGCACGTTCTGCTTCGGCAGCCTGGGGTTCGCCGGTTCAGATCCCGGGTGCGGACATGGCCCCACTTGGCATGCTGTCGCAGGCATCCCACGTATAAAGTAGAGGAAGATGGGCACGGATGTTAGCTCAGGGCCAGTCTTCCTCAGCGAAAAGAGGAGGATTGGGAGCAGATGTTAGCTCAGGGAAAATCTTCCTTAAAGAAAAACAAAACAAAAACAAAATGGCCTCTGAGAAAACATAAAATCTCAGGTGAGATTGTGGGGTCATTTGTTAGGCCTCAGAGATATCTAAGGTGGTGCCTCATGGAACATTTCAGACTTGAAGTGGGCTTTCAAAGTGCAGCTGGGAAGATGGCCCCCAGCTGCTCCAGGTTCATCATCACAGCTAAACCCAAATGGAAAGCAAACAGCTCTCTCCCAATAATGGTATATATGTCAAGCTAAGAAACCATCTGATTGGTCCTGTCTGAATCCTGTGCCCATTCCTGAACCAATCAGTAGTGTTAGGGGGATGGGAAACTATGACGAACCACCCTGTGTTATGTGCCTGTCTCAGTCAGATAGGATAGTCTATTATCAGAAGACCAGCTTGGGGGGAAACACACTGGGCAGCCTTTCAACCCTCAACTCCCAAAGCTACCAAAGTCTGCTCAGCTGGCTCTACGGAAAATGGTGAAATAGAAATTTATTATGGTGCTTTAAAAAAAATTTAGCTCTATAGGAAAGATTGTAATGTAGAGAAATTTGATCATCTCTGTATTCTAGTTATGTGTTATCTCTAACTCTCAACTATATGTAATCTAGAGCTGACTAGGAATTTTGTCCAAATTTCCTCGAAGGATGAGGGTTTTTCTAAAAACCACAGAGACTCTGAATTTTGAAATGTAAAACTGCATGAGTCTTACCTGTAGGGTCAGTTGAACCCAGAGAGCCTGAGGGAACAGCAGTAGGATGGGGATTAGATAGAACCTGGAAGGACATTGCTCAATGATCTGAGGCAGTGCAGTTGAGAGAAATCAAAGTGACAAGCAGTGAAAATGGGAGAAAGGGTAGTGAACTCAGTAAGTAGCAGAGTTAAGTAAGGGCAGGATGGGAAAGAGTAAGGAATAGATCTCTCAGGAGGCAGCCTGTGAATAAGACAACTTTTTTTTTTTTTAAACATAGTCCTTGAGATTTATGGCAGGCATAGGCCCAGTGGCTTAAAAGAGCTGTACCGGATAACAACCACCACCAACAAAATGCTGTGAAGCAAATATTTTGGGGAATGGTGTGTGGGTGCCAATGGTGGTTGTTGCAGTCAGGGGCAGACATACAGCTGTTGACTGAAACTATATAGTTTCAAATAGGAATTGGGACTTTCATTTGTCAAAGTTTCCTTGGTAAGGCGTGATGGAGAAGACTGAAGATAGATTTAGTGATTTCACTGCTATGGTGTTATCATTGGTGCCCTGGGGAAGAAGATTTCATTAGTGTGATATAGGAATGCGAGAGTAGAATTTCACTGTGACAAAATAACTTCTCTGAAAGTAAATACAAATTGATTGATAATGTTCACTTGAGTTTACACTATATTTGTTTTTAGTTGATTAGCTTGGGGCAAAAATATCTTACACTAGGCATTACAGAATTTGGGATGCATTTGTCCTCCTATGAAGAATGCGAGAAGTTTCTTCAAATTAAGGACCAAATGCCGACGACAAATATGAATTAAGGAGGAAAATGGGAGTAAGAAACTCCCGCTGAAAAGAAAGGAGAGGTAGAAAATGAGACAATGGAAAAGGATGAATGAAAAAGTCAGAGAGGAGACAAGGCAGTGTTGAAGAGGGTTAGGGTTGAAGGAAGAAAAACAGAGCATATATTTAAAAAACATATAGGAGGAGGTTCTGTCTACATAGACCATTTCAACTATTATGTTAGGCCAAGAAAAATCAGTTAAAACAGTTGGGAGTATGAACACAGCATGAGCATTAAGAAATGTGAGCTTCCTTGGAACTGGGATCACTTAGCTTCTTCTGGATTGGAGGTAGGGACAATGTATGTAGCCAATCAGAATGAAAGTAAGTTGTTAGGAAACCAATAGGAATTAGGCAAGGAAATGGCTTGTGGTGTGATAGCAGTTGGCAGTACTGTGCCTGGCAAACTGACGCAGAGCTGAGCATTATTCTTTGCGATTTTCGAGAGCCTTCATCTGGATTTCAGCTCTGAACAAGCCTAGCATTGGCAGAAGATATTGCTGGTCTTGGTAGTTTGGAGAACTTGATTTGAAAGTGATGCTGTAATGACAAGTGGGGATAGCAGGTTGTGAAGATGCCAAGGACCTTCAGGGCTACTTGAGGGACAGGTGAAGTGACTTGAAGATGTAACATTTTAAATCTCTTTTCTGGCCCACCCTCTGCTTCACACCAGAATCACTGTGGCTTGTAGACCAAACAGGCGTAAAACAAAGAACCAGAGATGAGATCTCAATGTTGCTGGAATACTTCAGGGATCTCTAGGAATTTTTAGGTTAAGCCTAGCTGCAAGGAAAAATAAAACAGAATGAGTCCTTCTCAGGACCACCCATAGATTTGTGCAGGCTATATCCTCCACAAGGGCACCAGCTGAGGGTGGGTATTGGGGCTGGAATCCAGACTGCTATTCACATGCTGAGCCACCCTGTTGTCAGGAAGGGGGCTTTTTCTTATTCACTCAAAGGCACCGTATGATCAACCTCAACTTTCATCTTTTTCTTCGTTTTTAGGTTATTCATCCCCCTGCCTATCCCTAAACTCAACTTGTGTGACTCCACCTTGACCTTGTTTCCCATTTGCCCTTTTGGATTTGGAGGGGCCTGAGAGAGAAGAAGGGGACATGGGATTGCCATAGTAAAAGGGAATTCCAGCTTGACTTGTACCCATGGAGAAAGAGTTCCCCCTCAGGGAGTTCAGTTCAATCAAATATGGAGAGCCTATTATGTGCCACATACTGTGTGCACAGCCTTAAGAAAAATTAACATTCAGGCCTGCCCCTTGAGAAACTCACTGTCCAATGGGGAAGGCAAACATGACCACATCATAATGATAAGTGCAAAAATCAATGCAATCCCTTCCCACTGACAGGTAGCAGGATGAGGAAGAAACACTAACACTGCTGTAGTGTTCCCATAAAATGTTCTTGGAGCAAGAGTGGAGCAGAAGGTATTAATGTGGCAAGAGGAAATGTGCTCATATCTGAGCGTGGTACAAATCTTAGAAAGAATGTGGGTGCATCGGGTCCCGGCAAGTCTCATTTTCTTCTTTTTGCGTATTATAGCAGGTTAGTCTACAGTAGTGAACGTGTCAGTAATAACTCACATATGAATTCATGAAGTTGGACTGGGAAAGCAGTGGCAAAATGAACTCTTCCTTCTGGACACAGACAGAAGGTAGCAGACCTGATTTACTCTGTGGAATGCCAGCTGACTACGCTTACGGAAAGGGGCATTTCATAACGCTTCTGTGTTCAGCTGTTGTTATGGGAGGTAGGTGGTTGTTTTTAAATCTCATCTTTCTTCTGCCCTTTGAACCTTTTTCAGCATGGAAAGTAATCACAATTACATTTAAAAAAAGGGGTCCAATGAAATTATAAGATGTGAGTGAATGCTCTCAGTCTAGCTTCATTTAATGATAAGTAACATCTATGCTGTGTTCCTTCATTCAGTGACATTTGCTGAGCACAGCAGTGTGGTGGGCATAGGGAGGAAAAGACAGTCCTAATCTCGAGGAGCCCTCTTATGGGGGAGATAGGCAAACATAATTACAATGCCACGTGGCCAGTCTAACTCTAAAGGTATGGACAAGAATCGCTGGTAACGAGGAGGAGAGAGAGCCTTCCACTGCCTGGCTGCCTGCCAGGCCTAACTTGGCCAAAATATCTGGATGGAGGGAGGGCGACTGGGGCAAATAGAACCCAGACATACGATTCACAATTTGCTTAGTTGACGTCATCAATTTGACCCATTCTGTTATGGCCTTTGATATGATTTTTCTTTAGAGAAGATGCACCACTCACCCCATCCCCTAGTGAGGAATTCGAAAAGGCTTCACAAGTAAGGGCCTCTTAAACAATGATGAAGAATTCAGTAGATACAGTGAATGATATTCTTGCTGGTAAAATAACGTATTCACAAACAGGTGCTTTCTTCTACCATTCAATGCTACTAATGAGAGAAAAGTTTCTGATCTCCTTTAAAAATTTTTTATCTGGGAAAAATGTCAGCTGTTTTAAAGTCTCTTCTGGAAGTAGGAAGATTATAAAGACACAACGAATGAACAAACATACATAAAATTTTACTTACTGTGTCAGGGAGTGAAATTACTTTCTCTGGAGTCTTTAAAATACTCACTAATGACCTTGGTCCCTTTTGGTACTACAAGGTGCTGAGGACCATGAGTTTCCTTGGCTCTCCATTCTTGATGATGACAGAGAGACAAGTGCTCCAGCAGTACAGGGCACTGCACAAATAATTCGAGAAACATTTCTTTATCTGGCCTTACACATAAGAAGTAGTCAATAAATATTTACTAATTTGGCTTGATCTATAGCTGGAAGGCAGGAAATGCAGAATCTGGGATGCCAATGAATCTTGTCCTAGGCATAAATTAATTGGATTATAATCTATTTATTGCTCCTGGAGGGAATGAACTGAATAATCTTGGGCAGAGTAGAGAGTTTCAAAGCAAAAAAAAAATGGGTGTAGACAGAGAATAACAAGTGTCTTTTGTAACTTGTCTGGTGAAGGCAGTTTTTCCTATGGTTAGAGCTCAGAAGTACTTTTTTTTTTTCTTTTTAAGATTGGCATCTGAGCTAACAACTGTTGCCAATCTTCTTTTTTCTCCCCAAACCCCCTCAGTACATAGTTGTCTATCTTAGTTGTGGGTCCTTCTAGTTGTGGCATGTGGGACGCCACCTCAACATGGCCTAAGGAGCAGTGCCATGTCCGCACCCAGGATCCGAACCGGTGAAACCCTGGGCCGCCGAAGCAGAGCGCATGAACTGAACCACTCGGCCATGGGGCCGGCCCCAGAAGTACTTCTGACTTTTAGGAAAACTAGAGAATATATGTTGCTGTAGTTTAGGATGAGAAATTGTTAACATAAGGTGTACTATGTGGATCAAAGGTTTGACTTTTCATAATCTCTCATCATCAGATTCGGAGGTAAGATCTGTACGATGATCCTTATGTGCCACTGGGTGGGCAAATGGGAGGTTGGAACTTCGCTATTTTCCAGATTGACCTGGGAGACATGCCTCATCGTGTGCATCTCACACTTAAGAGACAGCGTTTGTAACAGCTGTCAATTATTTAGTCATAATGATGTGACACAGAGAAGATTTTAATTAAATAACTAAATAATTAAAATACTAAATTGCTTTGAAACTGTACATTGTCTAAATAACACATACATGTATTTCCTTAGGATTTCTGAGGGCGTATTTGAAGAATTCTGAAGTCATTGTCTTGGCAATTCTTTCTCTGTCAGGATTTGCGCTAGGACAGCTGGCCTACAATATTGTTGAGGTAATGTCTGTACAATAAATCAGAGAATAGATTAAAGAACAATGAGCACAAACAAGATCCACTCCCACCCTCCTCCCTGAATGTACGGCATTTTTTTTTATGTACACAGCTACTGAAAAAATTTCCTCTGGTATAAAAAATTTTACAAATGAAACCCCATACAATAAAGGAGACATAAATTAGAGGAGCTTAAGATAAAGCTCTAATTTGGAAGAGAGGAAAATTTGATTGCATCCTTGTGTTCATCATCTGCCTTTGGAGCCTTGCTCTCCTTCCTTCCCCTGTACACACACTGGCTGCTTCCCTGCTATTGTCTTTAACACCCATGGAGACTCTAGTAATAAAACGCAGCAGTTATTGTCATCATGGAGCATGGTTGCTCCTTTCTAGCTGCCAGATTAAATGCAAAACATGCATCCTATGGTATAAAATAGAGATACAAGAGAAATTTCATTAATTTATTAGCTTATTAACTCAATTTCAAATGCATAGGAGTGTGGTTGGTAACCATTTGTCTCCACTCATTCTTTTATTTTTAAAAATGCAGACAATGCTTGTAGCTATCTAGGGTCGTCAAAGTCTCCTGTTACTCTTCTAACACACCACCGCTACTTCTAGCTAACATTTTTGAGTATTTACTATGGGTAGGCTCCCTTTTAAGTGCTTTGTATTTATTGTTCTGTCAATTTATTATTAACTCTTAAGTTAATCCATTCATCCTCAACCCAATGCAACCCAGTGGAAGTAGTTACTCTATTCCCATTTTACAAATGAGAAAACTGAGGCACAGAGAGGTTAAGTAATGAAGATTAAAATATTAATTGGCCCAAAAACTTTTTAGGAGGGAGTGTTTACAGCACTTCCATCATTGTTGCTATAAGTGTTTTCCATTGATCTGTGTACAACCTTCATGATTTATTTCCTATATACACAATCTCTATTGTTATCTATGTATTATTTTTCACTATCTGACTCACTGAGAGATTTTGAAATCCTAAGCAAATGTCGGTGAAACACAAGTACCTGTGCGAGTCCCTTTTTTCCCCTCTTAGTGCGAATTAGAATAAATATCTAACAGTAAAACAAAAAATACTTATGTGTGAACTACCTAAAATCATCTCAGGGACCACCAATGGTAGGGGTGCCACTTTTGAAAACACTGATTACTGACCACAAGCAATGTTCATGTAACCCAAACTCACACAATTCTCTGGGGAATAGAGGACTATACATATAACTCATCTGGACAGTTAGATCGAGAAATCTACCACAAGGCACTCAGGACTGGCCTCTTAGATAATCTCTCATCAGCTGCAAATTGGAATATTCTAAAATTGATATTGATTGACATAGCATCAACCTAATTTCTAATACTTCAAAATGGCAGCAAACTAATTTCTTGTTTGCCTTTGTTATTTTAGGTGCACAAAGTTGTCTACCCTCTTCTAAGAACACCAAGTTTTTCACTTTATTGTTATTTTTCACCTTTAATTATATTTCTGGCTGCTTTGGACGTGGATTTTTATATACTCAAGAATGTGCTTTGGCAGGTAAGAACACATTTTAAAACAAATTGTGGCAATTCTTGCTTATTCATGTTGACAGAGAATGTGACTGCCTATAAAGAAGATTAATAATTCACAAAACTCACATTTTCAGTTGTTTTACCCTCCTCTTTCTGCAGAACCACTAATGAAAGAGAATTGAGGGGAGGGAGAAAGAAGGAATATGAGTCACAGAGTGACCACTGTGACTAGGCACTGAGTAAATATCTTCTCCATTTTACGTACAAGCAGACTGTGGGTCAGAGGTCACAAACAACACTGACAAATGGCTGAACCTGGGTTCTAATCCCACATCTGACTTCATCTCAACTGTATCTGGAGACTTGTCCATTTTCACTACTAGGATTGTTTTATTTGGACCTTCTTGTGCTTTTTAAAAAAATCACGTATGCTAAACTATTTTGTTTTTCCTTTCAGAGAACGTGTTACTTTCTTTGGTTTCATTCTGTTCTTTTCTAACATCTTGAGTTAGATATTAGTTGATTGATTTTTTAATTTTTTGCATTTTGTCCATTTAAGGTTTTAAATTTTTCTGTAACTACTCTTTTGGTTTCATCCCACATGTTTTGATTTTTAGTGTTTTCATTATCATCCCAATCCTACCTAAATTTTCTTATACTTTTTTCTCTGACCCATTAATTATTTAGAAATTGTTTTAAAATGTACAAATATGGCTTTTTCTTATTATTTATATTATCACATTGTGATCACAGAATGTGCTTTGTATGTCAACTCTTGTGATTTGTGGAGGTTTTCTTTGTGGCCTAGTATGTGATCAATTTTCCAAAATTTTCTGTATTTGCTTTATAAGAATGTATATTCTCTAATTGTTGAGTGCAGGGGTCTAAGTTTGTTCAGTAGATTGTTTTGTTAGTAATAAAATTTGGTGTTCTGTATCTTTGCTAACATATATCTTTGTTTTTCAGCTCAGTGTAACAAGCTTCCATAATAACTCTGGATTTATCAATTTCCCCTTGCAATTCTGTCAGCTTTTACTTTGTGTAAATAGAGACTCTGTTATTAACTGCCTACAAGTATTGTTATTTTCCTAGTTAATTTTTTTTAACATTATTTAGTTACCCTTTTATCCCAAATAATGCTTTTTGCCCTAAATCAATCTCACCTGGTATTACTTTAGTTATACCAGCTTTCTTTTGGTTAGCATTTGCCAGCTATAACGTTTCCATCCTTTCACTTTCAAGATTTTGATGTCCTTATGTTTAAATGCCATTTTTATTATTCTTTTTGCTGAGGAAGATTAGCCCTGAGCTAACCTCTGCTGCCAATCCTCCTCCTTTTTTTGCTTGAGGAAGATTAGCCCTGAACTAACATCTATGCCAATATTCCTCCAGTTTACATGTGGGTCACCCCCACAGCATGGCTGACAAGTGGTGTGGGTCCACACCTGGGATCTGAACCCCCAACCCTGTGCCGCCAAAGCAGAGCATGCCTAACTTAACCACTATGCAACAGGGCCAGCCCCTCGATGCCTTTTTGATAATATAGTTGGATTTTGTTATTTTATTCAGGTTGAGAATCTCTGCTGTTTTTAAAAACTAGTTTGACATTTATTCTGACTAAAAGTATTTAGAAGGGAAAAGATTTTAACAGATTTGAGACACCAAGGAAGACATATGGATGGAAAATAAGTAGTTGGAAAGATGCTCAACATCATAAGTCATTAGAGAAATACAAATTAAAACCATAATGAGATACCACAACATACATTAGAATGGCAATAGCAGCAACAATGGCAAATCAGATGATACTAAGTGCTGGTGAGAATGCAGAGAAACTAGAACTCTCATGCATTGCTGGTGAGAATGCAAAATGGTGGAGCCACTTTATAAAGCAGTTTGGGAGATTCTTATAAAGTTAAACATACACTTGCCATATGACCCAGCAATTCCACTTCTCCGTATTTACCCAAGAGAAATGAAAACTTACATTTACACTAAAACCTCTATGTGAATCTTTATAGCAGTTTATTCATAATCCAAAAAATCTGGAAACAACTCAAACATTCCTCAATCAGTGAATGGATAAATAAATTGTGGCACATCTTACAACGGAATATTACTTGGCAATAACAAAGGAACAGATTATTGATAGGCATGACATGGAAGAATTTCACATGCATTATGCTAAGAGAAAGAAATCAGACTCAGAAAACTACGTATTGTATAATTCCACTCACAGACCTTCCTTCTAGCAAAGGCAAAACTATAGGTTTGGAGAACAGATCATTTGTTGCCAGGGACTGAGGATGGGGGAAGAAATTGACTACAAAGGGGCAGCATGAGGAAATTTTGGGGGGTGATGGATCTGTTTTGTCTCTTAATCGTGGTCGTGGTTACATGACTGTGTGCATTTGTCAAAACTCATATAACTACACCAAAAGAACGAATTGGATTTATTTCTTCCATTTAATTTTGTACATTGTATTTAACCTGATTTTCCGTTGCTTTTTCTCATTCTTTCTTCCCTTCTCAAGCAATTAAGTTGATTCAGTTTTCTTTATCCTTTTTGTTCCTTCTGCTTATTTAAAAGTTTTACATTCTATTTCTATGTTTGAAGCAGGCACTGCGAAGTGCCTATCCCATATGCGTTCTCCCTTTCTTCCTCACTAACAGAAACTTACTATTTTTGGTTTGGTACAGTAGTGGGCCCAGTGTGAAATACTACATTTCTCAGCATCCCTGACAGATGTGGTAGCCTCAGGAAGTAGTCTGGCCAACGAAATGTGTACAAAAGTTTGCCGAGTAAGGGTTCTTCTAGAAAACCCTTAATAAGGGGGCCAAATCAGCCAGCACGTGCTTTTTGCCCTACGTTTCTCTCTCTTTCTGCCTGGAGCCCTGCCAATCAACAGTTAGGAAACTAGGAAATATTTTACACAGAAGCGGGAGAAATTTGCATTCTGTTTTAAGAGCATTTTGATGTTGAAAACTATTAAGCTGGAAGAGCAACAAGAAAGATTGGTGAACAGTCTTTTAACAACAAGATAGAATCTTATTTGTTTGGAAGGCATGATTTCTTTGAGGCAGGTAAACTAGAATACCTTTCAAAGCTATCTTCTAGAGTGTAGCAGTCCCCCTTTATCCGCAGTTTGGCTTCCCACGGTTTCAGTTACCCATGGTCAACCACAGTCTTAAAATATTAAATGGAAAATTCCAGAAGTGAACAATTCATAAGTATTAAATTGTGTGCCATTCTTAGCAGTGTGGTGAAATCTTCATCTCTTCCAATCTATTCTGCCCTGGACATGAATCATCTCTTTGTCCAGTGCATCCACACTGTATACACTACCCGCCTGTTAGTCACTTTGTAGCCAACCGCGTTATCAGTTCGGCTGTCGCGATATGGTGGCGCTTGTGTTCAACCAACCCTTAATTTACTTAATAATAGCCCCAAAGCGCAAGAGTGGTGATGCTGGCAATTCGGATATGCCAAAGAGAAGCCGCAAAGTGCTTCCTTTAAGTAAAAACGTGAAAGTTCTTGAATTAATAAGGAAAGAAAAAATCGTATGCTGAGGTTGCTAAGATCTACAGTAACTTTTATTACGGTATATTGTTATAATTGTTCTATTATGATCAGTTGTTAATCTCTTACTGTGCCTAATTTATAAAGTAAACTTTATCATAGTAAGTATGTATAGGAAAAAACATAGTATATATAGGATTCGGTACCATCTGTGGTTTCAGGCATCCACTGGTGGTCTTGGAACTTATGCCCCTGGATAAGGGGGGACTACCAGAAGTGTATAAAATATATAAACAAGATCTGATTCTTATTTGAGTAAATGCAGTCATGTCATCTTTAAATGTTAAAATCTAATACCAAGTTATGAATTGGTTTCACAGGTCCTCTTAACTGGATTAATTAGCTTTTCTACGGCATTCATCATAATTGGATATGTGGTTCTGAAATTCAATAAAGATGAATGGGATTTGCAGTCTTGCCTGCTCTTTAGCTTGACTCTTGGCATCACAGATCCTATTCATTCTGTGAATTCACTGAAAATGATTGGTATGTCAGATTTATTTCTCTCTCTTATCTTGAAGATATGAAGATAAATTATGTTCTTTTGATTATATTTTTCTTGTGTGAATTGTGCCTCCAGCAGAGTAGATATTTGTGCTGTTTTTCTTGGAGACCGGGCATTGATTGATTTGAAGGATGCAATGCAAATAAGGCAACCTAGGATCTGGGGTAAATAGCACCAACTATAATCTCAAAGGATTTTTTTCAAGAAGAAAATGTAACCTTTTTAGAGGAGGGTAAAAATTAGCATTCTTATTCCATTTCACTGAATTCTAAGGACACAAAGTAGAGACTCTGCTCTATGCCTAATGAAACTTTTCCAAGTCTTACTACCTTTTGTTAAAACAGTCTCCATTTTGGAACAGCTAACCTTGGGCAGGTAGTGGAGCGGGTTGTAAAAGAAATGGGGTAAGAGTATAGTCTGGCAAATATGTTATTCAAGAAAAGCTTATTTCCAGGAGGGTTTGGGATCCCCCTATTTCCCATTTCATTTGGTAAAGGATGATTTCACTCTGAAATCTCCCCCTGTTGTCATGTTTTATTCACATAGCAGTAAAATCATGAAGTGGTTAGATGCTATGGTTTCTATTTTTGACTCGGAGATAGTTTCCCAACCGATTTTAAGATCCCGGCTATATTTAGTGGAAATATATCGCCTTGTGATTGGAGGGGGAAGCCTCCAACCTTTACAGCAAGTGATACCCCCATTTTTACACCCATCTGTACCTACAGTCGGGAAAACGTAGGAGGTTTTAAAATGGTTTTGGGGTGATATTCCAAATTGTCACAAGATATGTCTCAAAGACTCTGATCCTGTCCTCTTTTCTTTCTCTCTGTGTTTTTTCCAAGTACAATTTTTTCCTATTTTTTCTTCACCTGTCTTTCTGTTTTAGCCATTTGTATTTGCCACTGGTTTTGTTCACCTCATTCTCTTCCTGCTCCCTTTTCTTCAGTCTCTTGACTCTAAGTGACTATAATAAACTATAAACTTTAATTATTTATTGCAGTTTCTGTATTCAAGTTTTTTTCCAGAAAAGGAGTCAAATAAAAAATCTTCTATTTCTTCAAAAGAAAAGTAGTGAAGCTATTTGGCTCTTAATTGACATTTTCTTTATGTCAATAATGCTCAGGTGGCACATGTGTTCTGGATCCAGTAACATTTTTTCCTAGTAAGACAGATTTGACTCATTTTTCTGGGGAAAATCACTCTCACTTATTTGTGGTGTTGGCAGAGCCACCACATCGCCCTATGTGTGAATTAGATAAATGATTCTTTCTCTAAAACAGTTTACTTCTATCTGATCGTCATAATGCATTAATTTTTAGGGAAAATATTTTTTGCTATATGACTAAAATTATCGCAATAATATAAAAAACTACAGGTTTTTCAATGAGAAGGGTGCTTCTTTTGATGTGGTGCCCTTGTGTAGTGTAAAACCTGTACAACCTAATCTGAGATGGACGGACACATGGAAAAAAGTAGTGCATGCTCACATGCAAGTTAAAAGGAGCTTATCTATTCATTACCTGTTTGAAAAGAGCACCTGGAGCTCAAACAATTTTTACTTTAAAACAAATATGGAATAGGAGCTTGTAAAGGAACAAAATACAGTTTTGGTATGATCTCAACTGAGTAAAGAAAATTATATGCTTAGAAAAAGACTTCAATGTTAAAATGGTTATATCTGGGTCATGGAATTATAGGTGGTTTTTGTTTTATTCTTTCTTCTTCCAAATTTTACAATAAATTAATGAATATGTTAGTTTCACATTAAGCCAATAAAGAATGTAGGGAGTAATTCTTGTGGGGTTTTACTATTAAAAATAACTATAAATCAAATTCAAAACTGTGTACACCAAACCTTAGGCTTTACTTGCTCCTGGTTGACTCACTGAATCTGAGGGAAGGATTAAAGGATTTCTTGACCAGCTAATAATCTCAAAACCTGTTTAACCAGTATTTTTGTGCCTTCTGTTTATAGTCAAAGTTAGTAACAAGAAATAAGGTGAGATGATTATAACTTATTGTGCAGGATAATGAAGCAGGAAGTAAGAAGAACAAAAGAACAATAATGAAGAAAGAAGAACAGAAATAAATAGCCTGAATATTGATCCATGATCAGACACTGAGTATTCTAAATTCTGTATAATCCTGGTGTCTACCCTATCATTTAGGAGACTTTTGCAAAGATAGCTAGAATCCGAATATTCTGATGTTTCATATCCTCAGATCAAACTCTGGAAGCAGAGATTTCCTTTCTTGTAAACTACATATAGTATCTTAGAAATAATAAGAATAACCCCCACCCAAGTTATGTATATTCAATTATTATGTGTTTCAAAAACATATAAGACAGAAAAGTAGAATCTTAATCAGATCCAGTTCTGTTTGGATTAAAAATAAAATAGTGTCACTTAGGGGCCGGCCCGGTGGCGCAGCGGTTAAGTTCGCCCGTTCCGCTTCTCGGCGGCCTGGGGTTCGCTGGTTCGGATCCCGGGTGTGGACATGGCACTGCTTGGCAGCCATGCTGTGGTAGGTGTCCCACGTATAAACTAGAGGAAGATGGGCACGGATGTTAGCTCAGAGCCAGGCTTCCTCAGCAAAAAGAGGAGGACTGGCAGTAGTTAGCTGAGGGCTAATCTTCCTCCAAAAAAAAAAACCAAAACAAAACAAAAACAAACAAACAAAAATAGTGTCACTTAATGTGATCAGTTTGGATTTGATACAATGGATTCTATTAAACAGCTGCTTTTAAAAAATATGTAGCTATGCAATCCTTTTTATATTAATTTGTAATTATATTATGCTGCCTAACATACCATTGTGTGTCAAGTGTTCTTAGATTTAGGGTTTATGCTTTAAAGTGAAAAAAATCCAAGGCTGGTATGTAGCTTCACAGACTCATCAGGGACACTGGGCTATTTATATACTCCTATTTATTTGCTCCTATACCTAAGATAGAGTAACAGTGCCTAGATTTACTTTTATGCCTGAAACAACTGAAAAACTAAACCAAATATATGAAAAAAAACCCCAACCAGTTGTCAGATATTGAACCTCAGGCAGTGCAGGACAGTGATCCCTGAGAAGGACAAAATGAGGTGAGTCCTTGATCGCCCTTGCCACAGCTTATTACCTGGAGGGAGTTTCCAGTTCTCAGTGGAGGGGAGGGTAGCCTAGGTGGAGTCTGTTGGTTTCTTTGAGTGGGAAAGATCAAGAGTTTGGAGTCCAGGAAGGCCAAGGCAGCTAGAGTTCATGGGAGAAATTACTGCAGAGATGGAAGCTGCACTGAAGGAGGAGTGTGAGAGCTGCAGAGGCTCCCCTTTGAGTCTTTGGATGAGCACTCATTAGTGCAGGCATGTGAGGAAACTGCCCAAGGCTGGGAAAGGAGAATACTTGAAGGAGCAGAGGGAACAATTCTTTTCCTGTTTACTACAGCCAGAGTGGAAAAACCTCATAATTCATGGCCCATCAGGTAGAGGACTCAGAAGGTTATTGCCTCAGGAGAGGGGAAGATTAACCTCAGACTAACGGTTGCTCTGGCACTACCTAATAAAGCTTAAAAGCAAGCCTCAGAAGAGTCAAACTGTTTCCAAGTAACAACTGCATCCCAGGACAAAGCTCAAGAATAGACGTAGGAATACATAAATACACAGCACCTAATAAGGTAAAATATACAATTTGTCATCTATAATTAAAAATTAGCAAGCATGTGAAGAAGCATACCCATAGGTAGTACAAAAGTAATATGTAGAAACATACCCAGCAATGATGCAGATGACAGAATTAGTAGACAAAGATATTAAATCAGTTTTTATAACTATATTCTATATGTTCAAAAAGTTAGAAGAAAGATTGAGTATGGGGTAAAACCTGCTCCTACGAGCTTATGAGAGCCAATTGTTAAACCATCAGGAATTTTGCAATCCACTTGTTAAACCATTGGTGGCTTCGAATTGGTTATGGTGGGAGTGTTTACCCATGGAACTGGTAAATGCTACAAATCAGGCCTTTCTTAATTTTTGAGAGCTAGGTATAAAAGAGACCTAAATCAAGCTTCTAGAGACGAAAACCACAATATCTGAAACAAAAAATACACTGGATAGAATTAACAGATCAGACACGGAAAGGATTAGTGAACGTGAAGATGCAGCAATAGAAACTATCCAAAATGAAGCACAGAGAGAAAAAGTCTGAAAAAAATGAACAGAACATTAGTGAGCTGTGGGACAACTTCAAGTGGCTTAGTGTACAAGCGTCCAAAAGAGAGAAGAGAGAGAGGGAAGAACAAAAAATTATTTGAGGAAATAATGGATGGAAAATTTCTAAACTTGATGAAAAGTATAAAGCCACAGATTTAAAAGGCTCAATAAATCCCAAGCCCAAGAAACACAAGGAAAACTGCACCATGGCACATTATAATCAAATTCCTAAAAATCAGTGATAAAGAGAAAATTTTAAAGGCAACCAGAGGAAAATGAGATATTATATACAGAGAAACAAAAATACTAATGACAACAGACATCTTTTCAGAAACAATGCCAGCCAAAAGATAGTGGAGCAACATTTTTAAAGCACTAAAAGAAAAATACTGCCAGCTAGAATTTTCAGTGAAAATATCTCAGTAAAAATATCTTTTGAAAGCAAAGACTTTCTTAAACATATAAAAGCTGAAAGACTGTATCACCAGCAGACTTACACTAAAAAAATGTTCAAGGAAGTCTTTCAGGCAGAAAGAAAATGGTATGAGATGGAAATTTGGATCTATATAAAGGAATGGAAAGCACCATAACTGGTAAACATATGGAAAATATAAGACTTTTTAAAATCTTATTTTCAATCTCTTTAAAAGATAATATTTAAAGCAAAAATGGTAGCAATTGTGGGACTTATTTATCTGCCTCTCTATCCTTTGTGTAAGGCTTCCATCCTTGGGATCACAAGTTGGCTGCTAAAATTCCAGTGATCACATCCATATTTCAGGCAGGAAGAGGAAGAAAGGCAAGGTCCAGAAAGATGCTCCCCTCAGTCCAGTCACCTCCTCCCCCAAGAAATTTCCCAAAAGTCCTACTCAGTAACTTCTGCTTATATCTCAGTGGCCACTCTTAGAAGCCCAGGAGTTGGGGAAAGGTGGTTGTTTAGCCGGGCACATTGTCACCCTGAATAAAACCAGTTTTGTTTTTTTTTCACTAAGAAGAACAGAGGATGATACTGGATGGGCAAGTACCAGTCACTATCACCCTACTCATAAATTGTATATCACTGGACGATTAATTTAATTATATTTTTCATTAAACCTGGTAGTGAATAAGTACCAATAAGATGGGTACTCAATTTTTTTAGTAACAGCTCTATTGAGATATAATCCTTATCCCATAAAATTGATGCTTTTAAAGTGTAAAATTCAGTGGTTTTTAAAGTATTTACAGTTATGCAACCATAATCACCATCTAATTTATAACATTTTCATAATCCCCAAAAGATATCTTATACCCATTAGCAGTCACTATGCACTCCCTCATCCCGTAACCCCCTGGTAAACACTACTCTGTTTTCCATCTATGGATTTGCCTATTCTGGACATTTCATATAAATCTAGCCATATGTTACATTTTTATGTGTGGCCCTTTTCACTTAATATAGCGTTTTAAAGGTTCATCCATGTTGTAACATGTGTCAGTCAGTACTTCATTCCTTTCTGTGACTGAATAATATTCCATTGTAGGGATAGGCCACATATGTTTGTCCATTCATCAGCGAATGAACTGTGGGTTCTTTCCTCTTTTTGACTCTTCAGAATAATGCTGTCATGAACATTCATGTACACATTTTTGTGTGGACATTTTCAATTCTCTTGGGTGTATACCTAGGAATAGAATTGCTGGGTCATATTTTATAGTTCTTTATAAAATGTGATTCTTTTGGAGTCTAACAATTCATCCTTATTCAAGCTAAATACAGTGCCCTGAGAAGTGTTTTATCTCGTTCTGAAACTCAAGTATGGTTTGAGGTTATGAAGACTTCAAGGAATGCTATTGTCATGTACCTTTGCCATCGGAGATACATAAGGCACAAAGGACAGATTAAAAAGTGGTGATTATGATTGTCTTACAGACCCACCCCAGGCATGGTGGCCTTCATTTTTTTTTCCTAGCATATTCCTTCTCTTTTCCTTTTGTGTTTCCTGTGCAAGAGCATAATTTTCATGAACCTTATTACATTATATTTTATATTTCCTTTTCCAGGCATTTCCAAAATGTATACTGATATCATTAGAGGGGAATCAATGATCATCTGTGGTTTTACATCCATTGTTTTTGGAATGTTTCGGAGACACTCACATCACTTACCCATGTTTAGGGGTAGGAGCATTTTTTGTCTTTTTATTTTCTAAAATCATTCTTGTATGCTGCATTTCAATTCCTTCTAAAATTAAAATACGTTCGAGATGTCTTCACTTTACTGTTTTCCCTATACTTTATTCTTGGACCAATTAAAGTAGTATATCAGGTAACAAGAAAATAATTACCATCCATGTGTTTTCTTGGACTTTAAGGGGGAAAGAGTGTTAAAGAAATTATTTCATCTCCCTCAATATGCACGTGCACATGTGCATGCATGCGCATACACACGTGTCATTTAGCTCAGACTTACTTCTTTCCGGGATCAATCTGGACCTCAGTGAGTGGATGTTAAGAATTGGGTTGGTCCTGGATTTGAGTCTAAAGCAGAACAGTTCAAGCAGTACTGGAGAGTCAGGTCCTAGAAGTGATAATAGTCAGATTCAGGTGGTTAAAGTTCACTGGGATATGAAGCCTGTTACCTCACTAAGTTTCCAGATGTGGTGTAGTAGATAATAAAGGGGGGAAAATCACAGCACAAAGAAGGAAAAGGTGTTGTCCTGATATGTTTATGTGATAGTTGTAGGAGGAGAGAGGTACTAAAAGGAGAAAGAAATATTGGTAATAAAGAGAAGTTGGCAGTGCTTCTCAATGGGGGAGTTATAGGCATTTGGGGTGGGACAATGTTTGTTGTTTAGTACTCCCCTCAGCATTGCCTGATACCTGCTCACTAACTGCCACTCTTGTCCCCAGTTACTGTGACTACAGAAAATTTCTCTTCTCCATTTCCCAAATGCCACCTGGGTGGGGGCGGGGGTCACAAATGGATTGCAGGTTGGTAGGGATCCTGGACACGGTTTGCTTGGCCTTGACAGTTTGTAAAAAATTTGAATTTAGATGTCCTTTGGTTGGACATTCACTCTCCAGTTTGTCACAGGCTTTTCACATTTATGGTCCCTGCCAGGCTCATGAGAGCATTTGAGTCTGCTGTCCCTGCATTAGTAAACCTGGAGCTGCAGGCTGTCAGGGAAATATATCCCCAGAGAGCCTCTTTTGCCAGGCTTTCATGGGAAACTCCCCTCTGCTGAAGAACAAGGTCCCCACTCAAAGTCTCAAGAGCAAACCAAAGTACATAGACCCAAATGTCATCAGTGAAAGAAAAAAATAAAGTCATAGTTCAACTTCTTTTTTTTTCTTATTTTCTATTTCTAGAGTTACACATGATTGTGGACCTCTCCATGGACATTTTTGGAAGCATAATATGTGGATATTGGTGTGCAAGAATCATTCAGTTTACATTGACTGACCTTTTTAGCAATACGCTGACTAATGTCATTATTTGCGTTTCAATGGTGTACATGACTTTCTACATTGGTAAGGCAGAAACAAATACAAAATATGCTATCCTCAAAGTGAACTTAATGCATCTTTATTTTCCCTTGATCTCAAATCCAGTTGCTTCTTCTCGATCACTTCCCCCTTGTTGTTGTCCCTCTGTGCGTCTTGTCATATTATCTTTCTGCCACCTCCAGCTCTTTCCTGGTCTCTTAACATCACTTAATTTCAGCTCCATGTCCCTTCCCTTTGCATTTCTCATCTATGTTGTTACTCTCTTATTCTTTTCAAACTCTGTTTTTTGACCTTACATTTAGTCACTGGCAGTCCCCTGGAAGAGGAATCAGCGCGGAGCTGATTTCTGCTCTGACCCATAGTCTCTGAAATGAGGAAGTTGAGACAGATGCTCCTGAGGTCTTTTCCAGCTCAACAGTCTTTAATTCAAAGGGTACCAAATTGAGGGCATGAAATTAGGGTAGAAATGGAAGCCATTATCTGAGGCTAAGAGGCAGGAAAGGAGGGGGAGAAATCAGGCGTCCTTGTATCCGGAGGAGAAGCAGGAGAGCTGATGAATCGCAGGTGTCAGAGTGCCCAGCACACGTAGACCTCCCACAATCATTTGCTAGTTAATCCAGTGATATTGGGACTTAAAGTTTTTACTGGCTTAAAGTAACCATCCCAAAGAGCCATACTAACTCTGGCAAAATGGTCAAATTCTGCTTCTTCTCCTATCTCACACAGTGGAGTAATTTCCATCCATGAAAGACCACATGTAGCAAGAGGTTAATTACTCCTCTTTTCACTTCCTGTTGTCTATAAGAACTGCTGCTTCTACAGATAAATTGCCACAGGGTGTTGTTCACTGCCCCGAATTGGTAAAATTGTAGAAAATATTGACTGAAAGGTCACTTCCCTCAACTTTCCTCATTTTTTCCTCCCCTGTGAACCTTTTATGCCTTAAATCTCTGAAGAAATTTTTTAAATTTAAGATTTCCATTTCTTCCACTAGACCTCCACCGTTGAGGTGGAGGCTGTCTCTTATTCATCTTTTTATTTTTTCTCTTTTCTGTGTTCCCCTAGCCAAGCCTAGCACTTGCCATGTGCCCAATAGTAATTTAACACATGTTGGTGGAATAAACTGGTGCTAGTCCACAGAAAGCTTTGGAGTTAAGAAGACATGAGTTCAAATCCCAGCTTCACAATTTCTTAGCTTGGTGACCTTGGAGTATTACTTAACCTTTCTAAGCTTTAGGTAGTTTCCTCATCTATAAAAGTGATACAAGGGCTAGCCCCATGGGCTAGTGGTTAAGTTCTGTGCACTTCACTTCAGTTGCCTGGGTTCATGAGTTCGGATCCCAGGTGTGGACCTACACCACTCATCAGCCATGCTGTGGTGGTGGCCTGCATACTAAGTGGTGGAAGATTGGCACAGATGTTAGCACAGGGCTAAACTTCCTTAGCAAAAAAAAATACATAAATAAATAACTTAAATGATATAATAACACCTAATTTATAGGGGCATTGCAGGCACTAATGTGTGCTGCATGACTCACTCATGCTGGTGTGCTGGAGATAGCACTTACTGGCTCACGAGGGCTGATTGTGCACATTTCTTCCCAACTCTGTGTTCAAGTGACGTAATGTTGGTAGCTTGAAACTGGGCATTGTGGAAGTAATTACACAGTAGAAATTAGCAGATACCTCCAATAGTGCTTTTTTTTTTTAACCCCAGGAGAGCTGGTTTTCAACATTTATCAGCACATCACTGGCTTCAAGGTAGGGCCACCAATAAATGTGGATTCCCTTCCCTGTTCCTTCTAAAAAATGGAGGTGCTTCCAGTCAGTGCTTGAGAGGCTTGGAATAGATTCTCCGTCACAGATCTCAGAAGGAACCACTGCTGCCAAAGCCTTGATCTTGGACCTCTAGCTTCTGGAGCTGTGAGACCACAAATTCCTGTTGTTTAAGATACTTCGTTTGCTGTACTTGGTTATAGCAGCCCCAGGGAACTAATACGCCTCTCTCCTCCATTACACCTTCCTCTGCTTCAGGGATTAAAAAAGAACTTAGGACAGTCCTTTATTCTTACACTTAATCAGTTCCTGACAGCAAAGTCAGTAATAGGCACAGTAACAGGAGAAGTTCCATTGCCAGAAAGCTAAACATAGATAAAATTCTCATTTACACATTCCCTTATGTTACACTGCTGTCATGTTATCTAATTTTATTTTTTTCCTTCACTAATGAACACACTGTCAACTGGCCTAAGTCCAAGGAGTGTCTCATTGAGGTTGGAGAGTCACCTCTTTGAGCGCACATAGTAATTTCCATTTTTGTCTCTACTGTGTTAAATTCATGACATCTGGACTTTTAGAAATCACTTGTATCAGCACATTCTTTCCTTTTCATGACATAAAATGGTCAAAAATTGCACAGACATTGCTACAAAGACAAAGGATGCCATGCTTATGGAACATTGTTGGTTGACAGGTAGCATGGCTGGAAATATTAATATATCAGTCCACAGAAGAAAATTTGAATTTAGTGTACAAAAGCCACTTTAAGAGAGTCAATGTATAATTCTTGAGAGATGGTGGGTTATATAAAAGTCTAGGCCAGAGGTGTACCAAGAGAGGTGGTGGGAGGGGTCTATCTGGCAGGAGGAATAGTTTATCAAGTGATATCGTTCAGAACTTCCGGGGAATAGAGATAATGAAAAGAAGACGCCTTTAGTCAGTTTTCATTATTTTAAAACTCTCTGCAAACAATGCATCCCCTTCTTGCCTGCTCCTGCTGTCTCTTCGTTGTTGTCATTGGTCCAGGCTATAAATGTCAAAGGCCTTGAGTCATCACCCTAATATATTCTAGATAGGAACATCCATTCCTGAATCCTGTTGCTTTTAGAAATTCTCCTAGGTGGAGGACCTTCACTTTTTCTAAACCAGAGAGAGACAGAGATTGATTGAGAGAGCCCCTTGTCTGCCACATTAATTTTCTGTGATGGTTTCTTTCCATTGAGTAAGAAAAACTTTGCCTCTCTATTTTTAACTCCTTGGGTCTATCCTGATGAAAACTGCTTCCTTTATAACATATTCCATGACTTTTACCCCTCTTCTCGAACATTTAAAATACAACTTAGTATAATAGCATTTGTAATTTTTTAAACACTTTCTTTTTCTAATAAAAGTAATATATATTCATTGTAGAATTTTGGAAAAATTTCAAAAAGTCAAAGAAGAAAAAAAATCATCCATAAACTTCTGCTATAAATTTAACCAGTGGTACCTTTTGGTGTATGTTCTCAGCCTTTGAAAAAATACATCCGTATATTAAAGTATGCATTCACACCATATATTCCTATAACATTGGGATTATACTACATAAGATATCAGTTTTAAAAGAAAGTCATTTAGTGGTTTCCTCATAGACGTTGTCTCTGAATGACTGTTACTGAAAAAGACTACGATGAGCTTTAAAATTCAGTAGTTCTGATTCTCTGGGAATTGGAAACAAGATTTCGAAGGACAGTTCTCAGCAGTACTAGTTTTACTGTCATTGGTTATTTATATTAAATTCAGCTAAATAAGTGATACAAAGGCATCTAAAGTGGACTTAAGAGATTAGATAAACCAAAGAATAATAAAATCCTCTTCAAATTAGTAAACAGTATTGATTTATTATGCAGTAAAGTGAACACATAAAAACAATAACATAATGATAAAGATTATTGTTTATTCATGGTTTTAAAAGTGTGCCAAGCACTTTTCACATTACCTCATTTAATCCTCACAACAATTCTATGAGGCGTCATTCTTTTACACCCATTTTACAGAGACAGGGACACGAATGGAGAAAGAGGAGGTCACATTCCCAGAGCAACCAGCTCTGCCCTGCTCCAAAGTGCTTCCTTTCCTACCTTGCATGTTCTTTCCCTTCCTTTCTGTCTATTTACGATGTGTTATTTGAAGGCTCTGCAGCGTAGGACTGTTGGTATTTTGATATTCGAACATTCTTCCTACTTGGTTTTCCTGCCTCAGACTACATTTGTTTAGAGCCAAAGGAATTACAATTTTCGGGGAGTCTGTATCAGGCCAAAGGACAGCAGGCTGCAGGCCCTGCAGTCACCACAGAAGCCCTGAGCTTGGACCGCGACCTCTAGGACATGCAACACAACGTCCCTGAGATGCTGGGCAGAGGCTGGGAAACTTATTTTTCTATTCGCCCTAAACCTCAATGATGGTCCACTGCAGAGTTGGCAAACTACGGCCTGTGGGCCAAATACGCCTATTTTTGTACAGCCCATGAGCTAAGAATGGTTTTACCTTTTAAGATGATTTAGAAAGAATTCAAAAGAAGAATATTCTGTGGCACAAGAAGATTATGTGGCATTCAATTTCTGTGTCTATTATTTATTGGACCCTCATTCATTTACGTATTACCTACAGCTGTTTGTGCATTACACCAGCTCAGTGGAGGAGTTGCAACAGGGACTATGCGGCCCACAAAGACTATATATTTCTTATATGATCTTTTACACAAAATGTTTGCTGACTCCTAATCTATAGGATTAGGCCAATCCCATGAAGCAACTTTCCAAGAGCTGCTACTCTGAAAGTTTCCCACCAATTCGTCACTTGAGATAAAGTACCTCAGTATGCAGATTTGAAAGCAACTAATTTTATTCATTGTTTTTCTTCCCAGTGGAATTTTTCGGAATGTCAGGTATGGTTGCTTTAATCACTGTAGGACTGAATTTGGATTCCTTAAGCTTTAAACCAAGGATGGAGTTCATAATTACTAAGTAAGTCTTCCGTTACGTACTTGGTATAGGTCTCATAGAAGTTTAGTGTTTATTTTTTTATTATTATTTTTTTTTAAGATTTTATTTTTTCCTTTTTCTCCCCAAAGCCCCCCAGTACATAGTTGTATATTTCTCGTTGTGGGTTCTTCTAGTTGTGGTATGTGGGACGCCGCCTCAGCGTGGTCTGACGAGCAGTGCCATGTCCGCGCCCAGGATTCGAACCAACGAAACACTGGGACGCCTGCAGCGGAGCGCGCGAACTTAACCACTCGGCCACGGGGCCAGCCCCAAGTTTAGTGTTTAAATGGTCTTGCCTTCATGGACACTAATAAAATTTCCTTTTTATAACTTTTTTCTACCTTTTAATTGTAATCTTACTACCAGTTATATTTGAAAAGAACTTAAGGTACCAACAGTTATTGACATTAATTGATATTTCTATTATGAATAACGTGTCAGTGGCTCAGAGACCATAGTGCTTTTTATACATAAATAACTCTGATAAAAATTTACTTTGAATTGGGGAAAGTTTAAAAAAGACTTTATTCCTGTTTAAAGTTTAAAAAGTTTAAAAAATACATTTATTCATAATGTACCTGAATGACAGTATCCTAATATGAGAAGAGCTAGAAAAGAAAAGTAGCAGAAAGATTCAACACAGCAAAACTACTACCTCCCCTTTACACCTGGTAATGCAAGGTGTCATATGGACATCTCTGGACAGAGGGAAAACCATTTGTCAGTTTTCTCAGACAAACGAGTTAGCCTTTCTCTGAGAGACTGTGCTAAATTACAGAATTGTTTCAGAACTTTTTGACACCAGATCAGAGTCTAGTGTAGAAATTCTCACATCACATGAAAGCAGATGTTGAAATGAAAAAATGAACCATAATCCTGAGTTTTCCCATGAAGATTCATTTCTTTAATGTAAAGGACTATCCATTGTGCTGAAATTGTGTCCTTCCTACTTTTTTTGAGTTTAAAGTGTTCTTGCTTTTATGAAATTCCAGTGATAGAAGATGGTACTTTCTTGTTTATAGCTCTACTTTGGAAAAGAAAAAAAAATGGCTTGTAACTATACTAGTTTTGTGGATATGTGAATGACAATTTATGGGTTGTCAAAATCCAGAAGCTTGGAAAGAACTAATCCATAGAACGTATACTTTTAGTTTACTTTAGTTTCCTGAGCTCAGTCACACTATTTGTCAGCATCATTATAAATTACTCATTTTTTTTGAGGAAGATTAGCCCTGAGCTAACATCTGTGCCCATCTTCCTCTATTTTATACGTGGGATGCCTGCCACAGCATGGCTTGACAAGTGGTGCACAAGTCTGCACCCAGGATCTGAACTGGCGAACCCTGGACCACTGAAGTGGAACGTGTGAACTTAACCACAACTCCACGGGGCTGGCCCCATAAATTACTCACTTTACTCATTCAATTGTTTATTCTTCCACCTGTTTGACCAATCCTTTTTTAGTGTCTCCTGTGGCCTGGACATTGTATCTTAGGTTTGGGGCCAGGAAAATAAGCCCCTTCTTAGAAGGTGCTTATTGTTAAGTGGTAGACATGCTTATGTAAGAAACTCACATTAATTGTAAATAATTATAGGTTTATTGGGATACTACTACATGTAAAGCTTTTTTTAGGTCCCATGGAGACATTTTAAAAAGTATTCCACTCAGTCAGTTATTCATCATTTCTGACTTTTCAGGAAATGAAGCATTGGGGTTTGAGGTCCCATGCATACCTTTCCCTTCTAGAAGCTCTGAATCAATTGAATCAAGAGATAGGAGTCAGATAGAGAATCAGACTGTCTGCTTGATTGTAGTAATGCTGTATCAGAGAACATGGTTGATATCTGCAGCTAAAAGGAGGCTTCCTAATGCTTCTTCCTGAGCGTCGAATTTGAGACCCACCTATAGGGAGACTGGCTTGTGGGCAGACACCTCACCCAGTCAGCTGAAAGGGAAAGCCCCAAGAGAAGGAACCAAGAGGAGACAGGACTTGAGATCTGCCTGTAGAAATCGGACCTGGCCCTCACCCAGGCCTGTTACCACATGGAACAAGAATAGCCCCAGGCCCTAACTGAAGTGTTCTGGTCTACTTAGTAAGAATCTTTGGGGGTGGGGCTAGGCATATAGACTTTTAGAAAGCAATCTGGATGATTCTAATGCTCTTCTCTGCTTAAGAACCATGGTGGTGTGGGCAGTTGGCTCTGTAGGGATTCAGAGGAGGATCACTTCCAGCAAGAGTGCTTAGGATGGTTTTGTAAAGAACATGGATTAGAGTCAGCCTTACTAGATTTTTACAAATTCAGTAGATGGGGAAGCAGACAGGAGAGACTTTCAAGGTAAGGGACTTTCCTGCAAATCACAAAAGGAGAAGTTGTGTAGAGGACATTGTGGTGATCTAGTCACCTATCACAAAGTCAAGGTTAACTAGGTGGCTCCTTGCAGCAAGCTCAGCTCTGGGTTTAGCTGTGGCAGGACTGACAGCCGATATGCTGCCAGCTAATCTCAGCAAAACTCCCACATCACCAACCTGGGGGCGTGGGGATCCTTATTTTTCTGACTTGCTCTTATCATTCTGCTGTGAGAGGCCGCCCATGGGTTGGTGTGATGAGGTAATGGGGAATATGGAACTGAGTGTATTTTAGTTCCAACAAATACTTTTAAATGTTGATTATGACAGTGATGGAGGCAAAGACCTCTGCTGAGACAAGAACAGCAGATACGCGATACATGATTTTATGTAAAAAAGAAACTATTTAACAAACACATTGCTTAAAATGTGATTTCCTTTCCATTCATCCTAGGTTCTTCAAAATGTTTTCATCTGTCTTCCAAGATTTAATATACACTTTCTTTGGCATTGTGATTGGATGTGGAGAAATCAAGTATTTTCGATTTCACACTGTGAGTTTCATGTTCATCTTATTTGCAACAGTAAATGTTGTGAGGTAAGAATTATATCTTAAAATTTGCTTACTGGACTTAGGTTCTCAAGCCCAGAATTATAATTGGGAAGCAGTGGGTTATAGCAGAAAAATTTCTGGATGTGGAGTCAGGAAACCTGGGTTGGTGTCAATAGCTCACAATAGCTTGCTGTGTGCCTGGGGCAAAGTCTGTTTACTCCTCAAGTTTTCATCTGTTAAATGAGAGTGGGCAGAACAGCAGCATCAGCATAACCTGTGAGCTTGATAGAAATGCACATTCCTGGGCCCATCCCAATTTGCTGAATTGAATCTTTGGAGATGAGGTCCAGGACACTGTTTCAACATGCTTTGTTAAAGTTTGAGCATCACTGGATCAGATTAATGGTTCCTAACATTTCTGTTAACTTTCATCATCATTTATTATTATCATAGCTATGATAAAGCCATTTATTAAGGGCTTAGCATGTACATTATGTCATTAATATTAATACAACTCTATGAGGTAGGTGTTACTGCATCATTTCACAGATGAAGTGCAGAGATCTTAAAAACTTGCCTAGAGTCACCCAATTTGTAAGGACAGAGTTGTCATTTAAACTTGACTCTAACAAGCCTGCTTTATCTAGAATGCCCTTGCCCACTTGTGGTGTCATGTCTTCCATAAGAATTTATGACACTGTCTCCAAAAACATTGTCATTTCCACTCAGGATAGGCCTGGCCCAAGGGAGCTTACTTTATAAGATGTTCCCATGGAACGTTGCTTCTGTTGACTTTGAAGACATTGTGTGCAACTCAGGTAGTCATTCCCACACAGAAAGATGTGTCTGCAGTTTGTTTGCTTCTACCATGGGAACTCATGTACAAGTTGACATTGGTCACAGAGTATGAAGAAAGATACAAGGCTTTCTGCACATTTTTGGACTCAGCTACACATTCATGATCTCATTTCATCTTCATAATGACACTAGGAAATAAGAATTATTATCTCCGTTTTATGGACAAAGAAATACCAACAAAGGCAAACTCCCTTGCCCAAGGTCAAAAGGTTAGTAAGTGCCAGAGATTTTGTGTGAACTTATGGTTCCATCTCACTAGAGGAAAGGCTTTAATGGAGGTAGCGTTCCTAAGGGAACTTCAAGGTATAGGTGGGCTTTTCATAAGAAACTTGTTGAGAAAAACATTTCAGAGAGGATGAACCAAACAATGGCCTGGATGTAATAATCATTTCTAACACGTACTGGATGCTGACCACATTCAAACATCATTCTAAGCCCTATGAATGTCACCTTATTTAATTGAGCCTTCATAATAATCCTTTGAGGCAAGTACGATTACTATTATTATCTCTATTCTATAGTTGAAGTGACTGAGGCTTAGAAAAGTTAAATAACTGGCTTAAGTTTACATAGTTAGTAAAAGAAGGCTAAATTTGGATCCAGGTAGACTCCAGAGCCTTTGCTATACTACCTCTTTTTTTCGATATTAGGACATGACATAAGTTGTTCTATTTTGGCTGGACTCAATGGTGTTTTAGAGAAAGATTATTTAGTAAGGCCGAAGAGGTTAGTAGGAATTACTTTGCAAAAGGCTCAAACGCAAGGTAGAAAAGTTTGCCCAAAGTAATTATACACGTTATAGATGGTAACAGTAGATTTTCTGTCTCTCAAGGACAGGAATTCTCAGATTGTCTTGTGAAATTCCCAGCTGAGCAACTGATACACACTATATTTTTTGAGGCTGAGAACACGTCAATTTTATTTCTCCTGTCATTTGAAGGACAGCACTGATATTCTTTTGACGCAGACCCCACAAAGATAGATTCTAAATTTAGGCACAGCATCCTAGAGAAAAATTACTTGTAGAGAAAGAAGGCACAAATTGAAGTTATTTATGTGGTATTTGGTGTATGATTCTTGTGGAAGCTCAAGAAAAATTTGGTTGAACTAAGTTTCTTAGTGTGTCTATGATAATTTTACTTTTTGGCTATGATATGCATGTCCTAATTTCTGAGTCCCTTCCTGAATTCCCTTCCAGTGAATAGATGAGCTTGTCAATGTTATTCGAGAAGTTTCCCTGCAGGAATTTACTACCCAAATCCAAACAGTACACACTGGTGTTAATGATAAGTCCTTATATTTGTACAGAACTTCTAGCATGATATTTCAAGACTTGAGTATTATATGCAAAATTTAGACAGTAGATTGGGTTAGTTCCAGAAGGTTTGAACAAGTTATTAATAAACTGGATTATCTTCTCTTTCCTGAAAAATTTCACATGAAATTTAATATTTAGTATATAGTTTCAACCATGAATAACATTAATACATAAGTTGTGATTTAAAAAAAGTGTTTGTCTCTCCACAGGTTGCTTACTACTGTGTTAGTGAGCCCTATTCTGATGCGTTCGAGTTATGAATATAATTGGAGATGGGGAGTTGTGATAGCCTGGTCTGGAATTAAAGGAGTTTTCAGCTTACTCTTGGCTCCTGATATTCACAATCTGGCTGAAAAAAAAACAAAGTCACCACAAATGGTAGGAAAAATCATGTCTCCTGATTATTCATATTTATTTTGTAGCACTTGTCATCATTCTCAATAATAAAGTTAACCATTTTTTAAGTTCGATTTGAAAAATGCATTCTTTTAAGTCTAAAGGAACTTTCAGAGGGAAGTTTACTTATGTTGACAGTGTGAATGGGACCAACAGTCAAGTAATTGTTACGGATGGGAGTCAGATGGACTTGTGACTGGATCCTGGCTCCACCATTCATGGATCGAGCGACTTTGGATAAGTTCTCCAGACTTGTGGAACCTCAATTTCCAGTTGAGGATGGAGACAGTGCTTAGTAAAATATCTGCCACTTAGTAAATTCTCAATAAATGTTATTGAGCATATAAATGCTATTTTTTGATAGCTGTCAGAAAGTATGAAAAAATAATACCCTATCTAGAGCATTCCAATCTCTATAAATATTAGATCAAAAATTGAAATTCTAGTTAAATACACTAACAGAAGAAAGATTTTGTAAATTTTTGAATTAAGGATCTAGTTATATTTACGTATATAGGGCTAATTTTTAGAAATTAATTTCCTGAAAAATTTTGGCAGAAGATTACATTATCTATAGTGAAAAGCAAGATTTAATTTCCTTTCCACTCTCTCAAAGCCTTTTCTCATGGGCTAGCTGGTGGATTTCTGGGCGATCTGGTGGTGGCAGCATCTGAGGTACTGGGACTCCAGGGGAGCTCCGAAGAGCCCAGTGCATCTGCTGACAGCATTAGGGCACCTTGTCATTTGTGACAGTACTGTGAGAGCTAGCTGCAGAAGTTGCTAGAAATCCCCATGACACTCCCACCACCTCCCAGTCAGATGAATCCCAAGCCAGCTTCTAGGAGGGAGAAAAATTCATAATATGAATTAAGGACACTTGCCCACCTGCCAAGGAACTTTAATCTGGAGGTGGATGTACAGAGTTTCCTGATACTGTCCAATTTCCAGCTCAGGATTTTTTCTTCTTTGCTATTTTGCTCCTGTTCTAGAAGACCCCAGGAATACAGTATTTTTCAAATATCTTCTTTTGGGGAGCAACTATTACCCTCTCCAACTTGCAATCTGAGAAATCAAAACAAAGAGAATAGCCTGTTAGCTCAGGGAGTCATGTGCCCTAACTCCCCAAAAATGAAGTGCTTTTTTAACGGAGTATCATATTCCTCACCATCTTTCCTGTGGATTTATGCTTTATATCGGTGGACATGGTCTGGGAATTAATTTGGAGTTCAAATAAACCTGTGGTTTTGCAAAGACTTTGGGTCCTTCCATGCTCCAAAGGGAAAGTATAATAACCAACATCTGAGCCTCTTCGGTTTTCTTTTGTGCAAGGAATTGGCCTAAAACCAAGTCAATGAAATGTTAGCTATCATTTGACTATCATTTTACAGTGTTGCCCAAATCTGTCTGATGTTAAGAATCCCTCTGACGTCACCCCAGGCCTACAGAATCAGAATCTGCAGGGAAGAAGTGTGGGGGCCAGGATCTCTGCGAAGCACTGCAGGTGCTTATTGTTTTCAGTCAGGTTTGGGAAACACTCTCTGAAGGACATATTGCTATTAACTCCATTTTTCAGTGAAGGACGCTGAGGCTCAGAGTGGTTAAGTTAACTGGCCCTAAGTTACATGGCTAATAAATGGCAGAGCCAAGACCTACAAATGTGGTTGTGTTTTTGCATGATGGCAGGTGCATGTCCCTATCCCACCCGTGGTCACTACTGCCTGCTGTTGCCGAGGTTTTTCTGTGACCCTGCAGGTTCCACAGCAGCGTCTGTGACGCCTCCCGCCTTGCTGGCTTTGCATGGCCGCTGCTGAATGTGGCAGCTGTGGAGAGCTCGTCTCTCAGTGTTCTCATCCCTCTTAGAAATGACAAAATCTATTTTTTTCTCCTTCATATTGAAAACTAATTTCTGCCCCAGTATAGTATACTCAAACAATGTCTACAGAACAGCCCTTTTGCCTCGATTTGGGCAACTTATTAATGTTTTGGTTCTAACCATTTGTGTGTTTTGTTTTTTTAGTTTATCTTGTATCTACTAGTAACATCGTTGATGACTATGGGAATAAATTCGTACATGATGACTCATTCAGCCAGGACATTGGGTAAAGTATATCTGTCTTTCATTAATTAACTGGGGAGAATAACACAAATAGATTATTGTTGGGAGCCATGGGGACATTTCTTATGGAGCTCAAGGAATTGATTATGAAATCACTCATTTTCATTCACTCATTATTTATGGAATCTGCCTTAATTGGGATATTTGTTTGGCCAGTTTAACAGGAACCATATTAACAATGGCTTAAATAAGACAGAGGGGTTTTTTTCCTCTCCACTGAAAAGTCCAGAAGTGTGAGATGGTTCTGTTCCACAAAGTTGTCTGATTTGTTGCTCCTCCACTCCGTGGGGTGTTGCTCCTATCTGCAGGGTACGAGCCAACTCACTACCACTCTATCTTCAATCCAACCAACTAGAAAGGGAAATTGGGGGGGTGGGGGGGGGGTGGCAATGGAGGGTAAGTGGCTTCCTTTTAAGGGCACAATCTAGAAGTTATATATATATCATTACCACTCACATCCCATTGGCCAGAACTTAGGCACATGGGTACACATGGGCAAGGGAAGCTGGGAAATATTATCTTTGCGTGGCTGGCCATATGTTCAACCAAAACTCAGAGATTCTATTGGTAAAGGAAGAAGGAAGAATGGATATTGAGAGACAATCAGCAGGCTCTGCCACTGTTGCCTACTTCTAGAAGGAATTTGAGGCTGTTGATAATGAAATGCAGAAATATGATAAAATCACAAATAGATACACAGTCAATAGAGAAATCCAAGATGAGATAACGAGTGGCAGTGGGGTCAAGTGGAGAGTGGGAGGGCGGAGGTGGGATTACCCAAAGTCTTAGAGTACGACCAGTATCATCCCATATCTTGTGGTCTAGTCCTCAGCTTTGCTGGTGCAGAGAGCTGATTCTGTCAGGGTATCTAGAGTTGATTTACTGCTAGAGTTTTACATATACTGCACTCATAGGAGAATATGGATAAAGCAGAAAATCAATTTATTAATTTATAACCAGGAAATTTCTTTCTATGTACAAAATAATTGTGATCATTTTTCAGCGTATTCACCTTTAAATACCAATTTTTTTGATAAACCAAATTAGCAATTAGGTCTCTTGGAAAGCAAAAAACTAATGAGAGGTCAATGGAAATATAATGTTGAAGGAGAATTCTTTTAAACAGGAAAATAACCTGGTGAATTTACCCTATCCTACCCACAAGAGACACAGTCCTACCCATTCCTGAAACTGTGCCCCATCAACAGTATTGCAAATCTTCCTGTGACAGGCCACCTCAAAGCCAAGGGCTCCAATATGTGAACAGGGCTAGTAAATGGGGCACTTTTTTGGCGACTCTCTTTTCCCCTGTCATGGGTTTGTTCGTACTTGCAGTGGAAAAGTGTGCTTGGACCAGCAAAATCCTACACTGGAGCATGAGTGAAGTTAATTCCATCCCTGAGGCCTTGCTCACACCTCCCTTCCCACCAATTTCCTTTGGCGCCCAGGGATCCAGACCCCTCTGCTCTCTTTGCTTAGGATATAACATCTAGCTTTCTCCCAGGCTTGATTCCTGGTGAATCTTCCTACTCTGATACTCAAAGGCAAGATCAACAAGGGATGTTACTATTATGATAATGTTTTTTTCTTCTTTTATAAATTTTTTATGGTATTAACCAGGCCTCAGAATTTTCTTTAATTCATTAGGAAACAAAAATATCTGGCAAGTATTTTCTCCTCTCAGAATCAATGCTCATCCTTTCTGGAAATACTATGTGGCACATGTTTAACAAGTACTTGATAGAATTGAGTTGTATCAGTAAGAGTTTCAAACCAACTTCTTCCACATTGGTCTAATGCTTTTAAGAGATCGATCCCTCTTCATACTCTTCCAGGATCCTTTTAAACACAGGGATTTCATTCAAATGTATTGGTGCCACCAAGTGGTCCACAGGTACTCATATTTCCCCAGAGCAACTGGGAAGCGGCTGTTGCTCCATCATATGGGGAGGATGTAATTAGGCAAATGTATAAACTTTCTCCTCGTGTGATCTTGGCCATGGGAATTTTAAATCCAAAGCAGACACCTTCTAATTCTTCAGCATCCAGTCAAATGCACCTTTGCTCTGGACCATGGTGAACCAACAGGGATATGCTTCCGGATCATTTTGAATACCCCAAATTTCAAATACTACTGTTGCACACAATGTCCTGCAGAGAAGTCAATAAAGTTAAACTGAAACATTTAGAACTATTTTAACCCTTTATTTCATATACAATTATGAAGAGAGGACAGTTTTATTGAGATGGAATTCTGAGTGAGTAGGCTAAGCTCACTCACTTATTAAATTCTCCTTTTTGGTCAGCGAGCCTCATAACTGTAACTTCAAATTCATACCTCAAGAAATACAAACTACTGCAAGCTCTGGATGTGTAGATTTTCTGGCCAGGAACAGAGAGGTTAAATTTGAGGGATCCCTATTGCAGTGGTCTTTAAATTTTGTTATGTATAAGAATCAGTGGGAGAACTCGTTAAAATGCAAATTCCCAGGCCAATCTGATTCTCCAAATATGGAGTGGAGTCCAGGAATTTGCATAGTTTAATAAGCAACCCTTCTACCTGTGGAAGACACAGGTAGTTTTCTACACTTTGAGAAAATACCGATTGGGTGTCTTGAAATAACGAGTCATGTCTCTAGCTAAAGGGAAGGAAAGGAAACTTGTAAAACATTCTTTAGCAGTTGAGTGAGATAAAGTGGAGCTATACAGCCAAAAGGAAACAGATAGTTGGATAATTTTCTAGAAAATGTTGGGCAAAAAGTTGTCCTTGCTCTAAACATTTTGGTTTGTCTATTCAGATGATGCCAAGATTTCACTCCATCGTGCAAAATTTTTGCTTCCCCTTTCTGTCTTTGATGTTTTCTATTAAGACCCTTGCTTTCTTTTGTCACAGGTTTGTGTGCTATTTCCCTTCCAAGACAAATGGCCATGCAAAATGCCATTAAGCACATACAGGAGATAATACAGAACACAATCACTTTATTTAAAACAGAAAAGATTTTGACAAATGTTAATTGGACCTTGGTAGAAGAAAAAACGAAGATTGAATACATCATTCCTGTGAGTTGATACCTGGCAAAAAAGATTCCTCCTTTCCCTCCCTGGGTCTGCCTCTCTTGCTTTAGTTTATATAAAAACCTTGATTCTGATAATTCAATGTCAGAAAACTTAGGGGGGGGGGGCGGTATATTTGCTACCTTTGCTATCTTGGTGCAATGACTCCTTTGAATTCTGTCTCTAAAGAGATGGTCTTAATGGTCTAGCCTTATTTGCCAAATACGGGAGAATTGGTCTTTTCACAAACTGACTGGTTGAATAACTATGAATGGCCCCTGCCAAGCTGATGTTTCTAATTGGTTGAGGAACTGAGATCTCTCTCCTCGTAGACACATTATAAAATGCGAAAAGCAGAGGCTGCTTCAGAGAGGAGTCAAGCATCGACAGGTTTGGGGAAGAACATGGCTTCTAGATCTCCCCCAAAGAATGGTTATTTCACCACAATTGAAAGCAACATTTCTTATGTGGAGAATGTTATCCAGTATAGCCCTTCATTTTAGCAATTCTGATTTGAGTTATTGGAATCTTTGTTGAGCAAAGCATTTTACAGCTCCTAATCATTTGTACTTATTTTTAACTTTATCTCTGTATGTTTTTAAACTTAGTCTGATACTGTTCAGTTTTCCCACGTTTCACATGATGAAAAAGAGGAAGAGTCCCCAACGGATGAAGTTTTAATGGAAGAAGCCAGATTGCACATAGCTATAATACAAATGGTTGGTACCATTCATGTAATCTGCTTTTTGTTTTTTCTTATTTTTGCAATGCTTTTAATTCTTACATATGGTTTTCAGGTGACTAGAAAAAATTTTTTTTTCACCTTTAATAACCCATTAGTTAAAATTTATGTTCTAAAACATAAACATGTTTATGATAGTTAAAATTTATTTTTGATTTATGAGAGTTAAAAACAATTTCTTAGGTTTTACATTCAAGTCATAAATCTTATTATTCTGTTTCTACGTCTAGCAAACTTGAGCAGTTCACTTTTTTCTTTTATATTTTATTGAGGTCATCTTGGCTTGTAACAGCCGTTCACTTCTGAGGGGACTTTGAATAATGTTTGGTGCTATTTACATACTTAGTTAACTAAATGTCTTCAACTATTTGAAACTGCTTTTACAAATTTAACATATTTGAGTTCCTTTTATATAAAATTCTCTCAGGTGTTTATCTAACTCTTGTAAATCTAATAAGTTAAAATAAATCTATTGAATCAAAAATTCTCTTAAAATATTTAGGATGTAGTATTTAAATGATCTACTATAAACATAGAAAGATTACTAGGTAAAATCAAGTTTAACTCAACTTATCAAATTGCACATTTTAAATTGGGGTTATAGTCTACTAGGACAAATTTTATTCAAAATTGCAAGTATATAAAATACTCATGCTAAGAGTCATTCCTTTTTACTTTTATTTTAAAACTTATTATTATGCAGAATTTCTAACATATACGAAAGTAGATATGATGGTCTAATGAAGCCCCACGTACCCAGCATCCAGGCTTACAAACCATCCACACATGACCAACCCTGCCCCGTCTACACCCTCCTTCACTTCTCCACCTTCCATATTATTTTGAAACAAATTCCAGATATCATATCTTTTCATCTGTAAATATTTCAGTATGTAGCTCTAAGTTTTTTAAAAAAAATAGGAAAATACTAATGTTGCATCTAAAAATTGATAATTCCATAATAACATCAAATAGCGAATCAATGACCAAATTTCCAATTGTCTCATAAATGCATATTTTCAGTTTATTTTTTAAGTTGGATTTCAGTAAAATTCACACATTACAATTAGTGGATATGCCCTTTAAGTCTCTTTTAAACTGTAAATTCCTTCTCACCTTTCATTTTTTTCTGTTGAAGAACATATTTCTTCTTACTACAAAAAATATTAATGCATATTTTCATTCTTTTAAACATTTCTATACTTAATTAAAAATGTCCTTAGAGTTTGAAAGGCTCTTACCCAGGGAGTGAAATATGGTCACGAATTCTTTGCAGAGCCTCCTGTTAAGAGGTGGTATCTATACTCCCCACGCCCCCACATTGAATTTGGGTTGTTCTTGTGACTTGTTTTGACCAATAAAATATGGCACAAGTGACTTTGGGATTCTAGAGACTAGGCCCTGAGAATATTTGCAGCTTCCACCTTCTTCCACTTTCAATACTACCCGGAGACTGTCATGTGAGGAAGGTGGCCTAGCCTCTGAAGAATGAGAGGCCACATAGAAGTAAACTGAGGCATGCAGCCAAGAGTCAGGACCTCACTACCAGACTTGTGAATGAGAGGCCATGTTAATTCAAGGATTAGGCAATAGGCTTAACCTCTTGATGGTAAGAGATGCAAAGAATTTGCGACCATATTTAATGTACCACAGTGTTCTCACTGGCCGCAAATATTTATACCCCTCATACAAGCAAAATACACTCATCCTTTTCTAAGACCACCCCCCTCCCCCAAAGCTTCATCCTATTATGGTATCATACTCAAGTCCAGCATCTCATGATCTGCATTTGGTCTAGGTATGCTAAGGCTCCTTGGTTGCATCTCCTTAAGTATGGTTCCTCTTGATTCAGAGACTTGTGAACTAAAAAGACAAATTAACCTTCTACCCCCACCCCCAACATTTAGTGATAATCAACAGACACTTCTGTTCAAGAAAGGGAAGAACAGGAAGCACTGATTAATCACCAGTCCATGGCAATTTTGAAATCCAGCTGGGCATAGGAACCAGTTCTCCCCATTCTTTACATTTCTGTACGGAATAACTGATGTTTGTAGGGGAATAACTTTCTTAGCCTGATTTCTGCCAGTAGAAACTTGGGAAGTTTCTATTCATTTAGAACTGTTTCTGCCTTTTTTTTAGTCCAATCTGATACAATTTCCTTAAAAACTTGTGTGTTGTCAATGAATCTGATTATAGCCCACTCTACTCCACAATTCCTTGTCATAGACAGGCCACATGTCAGACAATATGAGTCTGAGAAAGCCTTCAGTCTGCTTGAGAGGGTAGACTAAGCACCGCCTTTAATCTTTCAGTGGTCTTAACAAAGGTTCTTCAGCTACACCCTTGATTTGATCTTGAACCTGAAGCCACATTTTACTGGCTGCACTCTAGATTTGATCTTTGCCCCTGGATCTTTTTTGCCAGCTGGCGAGACTGCAGATGAGAAACAGGTTTAGTTTCCAACTTGGCAAATCATGGCCTCTTTATATTTTCTTTTGCTTGCAGATTGAATTGTTTCTCTTTGGTTTATCTCTCTCTTCTCATACCTTATCATATGCAGGTAAAAAGTTGACACTTTTAATATTTCTAGAATATTAGAAATCTAGAAATTTCCTTGGCCAGATTCATAAGTTCGTTAGGTACATCTCCTACCTTCCAAGTTACCTCAGGTGACAATATTGCTAATTGCGCTACCTCTTCATAGCACGGCTGCCTCCCTCCAGCCTCCTACACCAGTTTTATCACTGCTCTTCCGGCTTCCCCTAACAGTGTCCTCACTGCCCTTCTAGCTTCTGGTCACCACTCAGTCCCAAAGCATGTTTTAGCATTTCGTTATGGAGACTCTCTACAATTGGTACCAAGTTCTGTTTTGGCTAGCCTTTGCTATATAACAAACCATCCCCAAACTTAGTGACTTAAAACAACAATGATTTATTATTTCCCACAGTTCTGTGGGTTGGCAATCGGGATGATTTTGTTGTTGGTCTCACCTGGGAACACTCAAGTCTGCCGTCATCGCACAGCTCAATTGGGGTTCGTGGGTCAGGATGTCCTCACTCATAGATTTGGCAGTTGACTCTAGCGTCTTTCAGGGCACTTTGTTTCTCCTCCATAGGGCCTCTTATCTTCCAGTAGAGTGGACTGGACCTCTTCACAGCATGGCGGTTTCCAGGTTCCGAGAGGGCAAGAGGAGAAGCTTCAAGGCCTCTAAATCCTACGCTCTGAAACTTGAATAACATGACTTTTACCCTCATCCTATTACTTAAAGCAAATCACAAAGCTAGCCCAGATTCAGTGAGTGAATCCCCTACTTCTTGATGGGAGGATCAGCAATGTCAGTTGCAAAGAGCCATGGACACAGGGAGATATGATACATTGGGACCATTGTTATAATGGCCTACCACATTTCCTTTTTTAAACCAAAAATCCTCTGTAGTGACCCACTCCAGGTTATCTTTTAATGGCTTTCCTGGGAGTACCTTCTATTAGCATTCCTTCTGCTTTTGTGACCTCTTTCCTTTTTGGTTTCCTCCGTGGGCTCTTCTTTATTCCTCAGGACAGTTAACTCTGTCTACTATTCTCACTTTATAGTCTTTACAGTCTCTCCTTCTTTGTTCTCAGCTACGCTCATGGTTTTAACCCTATCCACGGATGCTCTTCAACTCTATATTCTTCCTTCCAAAACTCTCACCACCATCTCTTTAGACTCATGAATCCAGCTGTGGCTAGACATCTCCTGAACATTTAACTGTACTTAAATCCACACTGAACTCATCCCAAATCTGCTCTTGTATTCCTGGCCTCAGTGAGTGGGATCATTACCCAGGTGATCACTCAGGTCAGTCCTCTCTCTCCCTCCCTCTCCAAGCTCTAGCAATCTTACCTTCTAAATATTTGCCAAATATACACTTTTCCATCCCTGTATCTCTTAATTTAGGCCATGATAATCTCTTGCCTGTATAATAATCTTTAACTGGCCTCCCTGCCTCCAATATTTCCACTCTCAAATCACAGGGAATAATCTAAAAGACAGATGGGAATACACTACCCTTCTGCTTAAAACCCTACAATGGTTCCTCAGCACCTATAACATTTTCCAAAGTGAGTTCCCAAGAGCTCCCAGGATGCTAAGAGAGACTTCATGAAAAAAAAGCTTCAGTGCTCAAATTAGTTTGGAAGTTGCTGGTTTAAACAAATTTATACAGATTGCTTATGGAATTCCTTGTAGAACTTCTCAGAGATCTTAACCTACTGAAGTGCATTGAGCCTCTTCAAGAGAGAATATTGAATGCAACATTTTTCTCCCTCCCTTCTTCATACATCACATTTTTTTTTTTGTGGGGATAGGAGTTCAAGGAGTATCTTACAGGATTAGCATATCATCTTCCAGAAAAAGCTTACCTATGAGATCAAATCTATGCATAATACACAAGGTCTTTTGTAATCTGGCCCCTGCCCATTACTCTAACTGATCTTTCACCATTCTCTGCCCCACAACTTGTCCTTTACTGCACTCACTATACTGTTTCTCATCTCTGTGCATACACTGAAGGTGCCACTCACTGTTCACCCCTTCCCAAGTCTGCTCCCTCACCTCCATTCTTCATCTGGGTAATCATGCTCATTCTTAAAACTCAACCGAGGTATCATCTCTTCCAAGAAGTTCTCTATGACCCCATCTCCACATCAAGATTGATTAGTGCCCTGTGTTTACTTTTTTTTTAACTTTTTTTTTTTTTTAAAGATTTTTATTTATTTCCTTTTTCTCCCCAACCCCCCCCGGTGCACACCTGTGTATTTTCAGTTGTGGGTCCTTCTAGTTGTGGCATGTGGGACACTGTCTCAGCATGGCTTGATGAGCGGTGCCATGTCCGCGCCCAGGATTCGAACCAGTGAAACCCTAGGCCGCTGAAGTGGAGCGTGTGAACTTAACCACTCGGCCAAGGGGCAGGCCCTACTTTTATCTTCTTATATTTTCTACACTGTTGTATAATTTTATGTGTCTAACTATTCGCCTTCTCCCAATAGGCTATGAACTTCTTGAAGCCTTGGATTATATCTCTAGTACCTTAGCATAGGACTTAGAGTAGAGTAGGCATTCAGTAAACATTTGTTTAAACAATGAATGAGTAAACAAACATTCAATCATAAGTACACATGGAACATTCTCCAGGTTAAATCATATGCTGGGCCTCAAAGCAAGGCTTAAAAAAATCTAAGAAGAGTGAAATCATACCAAGTATCTTTTCTAACCACAAAGGTATGAAACTAGAAATCAATAACAGGAGGAAAACTGAAAAATTCACAAATATGTGGAAATTAAACAACACACTCCTAAACAACCAATAGGTCAAAGAAGAAATCAAGAGGGAAATCAGAAAGTATCTCGAGACAAATGAAAATGAAAATACACATATTGAAACTTACAGGATGCAGTAAATGCAGAGGGAAAGTTAATAGTGATAAATGCCTTCATTAAGAAAAAGGAAAGATCTTAAATAAACAACCTAACTTTACACCTCAAGAAATAGAAGAAGAAGAACAAAGTGGGCCCACTGCAGAAGGAGGAAATAATAAATATTAGAGCAGAAATAAATGAAATAGACACTAGAAAGACAACAGAAAAAATCAACAAAATGAATAGTTGGTTTTTTGAAAATATAAAATTGACAAACATTTAGCTAGAATAACCTAGGAAAAAAGAGAGAGAGAACTCAAACAAAATTATAAAAAAGAAGAGACATTACAACTGACACCACAGAAATACAATGGATCATAAGGGGCTACCATGAACAACTATATGCCAAAGTATTGGATAACATAGAAGAAATGGATAAGTTCCTAGAAATATAAACCTACCAAGACTAAATCATGAAGAAATAGAAAACTGAATAGACCAATAATGAGTAAGGAGATTGAATCAGTAATAAAAATCCTCCCAACAAAGAAAAGCTCAGGACTAGATGGTTTTGCTGGTGAATTCTACCAAATATTTAAAGAAGCACGAATATAAATCCTTAAACTTGTCCAAAAAATTGAAGAGGAAGGAACACTCTCATAGTTGTTTTACAAGGCCAGCATTACCCTGACATCAAAGCCAGATAAGGACACTACAAGAAAAGAAAAATAAAAGTCAATATCCTTAAAAAAATAGATGCAAAAAATTTCACCAAGATACTAGCAAACCAAATTCAACAGCACATTAAAAGTTTCATACACCATGATCAAGTGGGGTTTATCCCTGGGATGTAAGGATGGTTCAACATCCACAAATCAATCAGTGGGTAATACACCACATTAATGGAATGAAGGGTAAAAATCATATGATCCTCTCAAGAGATGCAGAAAAAGCATTTGACAAAATTCAACATCTTTTCAGGATAAATACTTTCAATAAATTGGGTATTGAAGGAACATACTGCAACAAAATGAAGGCCATATACAACAAACCCACAGCTAATATCATACTCAATGATGAAAAGCTGAAAGGTTTCCTCTAAAATCAGGAAAAGACAAGGTTGGCCACCCTCACCATTCCTATTCAACATAGTTCTCGAAGTCCTAGCCATAGCAATCAGGCAAAAAGAAATAAAAGGCATCCAAATCAGAAAGGAAAAGAAGTAAAGTTATATCTGTTTGCAGATGACGTGATCTTGTATATGGAAAACCCTAAAGACGCCACCAAAACACTGTTAGAACTAATCAACGAATTCTGTAAAGTTGCAAGATACAAAATCAACCTACAAAAATTGCTCGCATCTTAACACACTAACAATGAACTCTGTGATAGAGAAATAAAGAAAAAAAATCCCACTTATGATAGCATCAGAACCAATAAAATACTTAGGAATAAATTTAACCAAGGAGGTGAAAGATCTGTACACTGAAAACTATAAGACATTGATGAAAGAAATTGAAGAATACAAAAAAAAAAAGGAAAGATATCCCATGTTCATGGATCAGAATTCATATTGTTAAAATGTCCATGCTACGTAAAGCCATTATAGATTCAATGCAATGCATATCAAAATTCCAATGGCATTTTTCACAGAAATAGAACAAACCATCCTAAAACATGTATGGAACATACACAAGACCCCAAATAGCAAAAGCAATCCTGAGAAAGAAGGAAAAAGCAGGAGGCACCACAATTCCTGATTTCAAGTGATATTATAAAACTATAGTAATCAAAACAGTGTGGTGCTAGCATGAAAACAGATACAGACCAATAGAACAGAATTGAGAGCCTAGAGTAAACCCATGCATATATGGTCAACTAACAGCCAAGAATATACAATGGGGAAAAGATAGTCTTTTCAATAAATGGTGTTAGGGGAATCAGATCTTCACTTGCAAAAGAATCAGATTGGACCTCTATCTTAGACTACTCACGAAAATTCACTCAAAATGGATGAAAGATTTAGACATAAGACCTGAAACTGTAAAACGCCTAGAAGGAAACATAGAGAAAAATCTCCTTGACGTTGGTCTTGACAAAAAACTTTTGGATATGACACCAAAAGCACAAGCAATAAAAGCAAAGAGAAAAAGGTGGAACAACAGCAAACTAGAAAGCTGCTGCACAGCAGAAAAAAATGAAAAAACACAAAATGATAAGGCAGTTGCCGGCCTGTGGCTGCGTAGTTAAATTTGCATACTCCACTTCGGCAGCCTGGAGTTTACCGGTTGGGATCCTGGGCGCAGACCTACACAATGCTCTTCAAGCCATGCTGTGGTGTCGTCCCACACAGAGGAATTAAAATGACTTGCAACTAGGACATATAACTATATACTGGGGCTTTGGGGAGAAAAAAAAAAAGAGGAAGATTGGCAACAGATGGTAGCTCAGGGCCAATCCTCCTAAAACAAAAAGATAAAGCAACCTATGGAATGAGAAAAATTATTTGCAAATAATAGGTAAGATAAGGCATTAATACCCAAAATAAGTAAGGAACTCATACAACTCAACAGCGAAAAACCAAGTAATCTGATTAAAAAATGGGCAGAGGACTGCAATAGACATTTTTCTAAAGAAGACATACAAATGGCAAACAGGCCATACATGAAAAGGTGCTCCACATCCCTAATCATCAAAGAAATGCAAATCAAAACCACCTCACACCTGTCATCAAGAAGACAGAGATAACAAGTATTGGCTAGGATATGGAGAAAAGGGAATGCTTATACGTTATTGGTGAGGATGCAGATTGGTACTGTCACTAAGGAAAATGACATGGAGATTCCTCAAAAAATCAAAACTAGAACCACCATATGATCCCGCAATCCCACTTCTGGGTATATACCCAAAGGAAATAAAAAGAGGACCTTGAGGAGATACCTGCACGCCCATGTTCATTGCAGCATTATTCACAATAGCCAATACACGGAAACAACTTGAGTGTCTATTGGTGGATGAATGGGTAAAGAAAATGTATAATATATATATAATGGAATATTGTTCAGCCAAAGAACAGAAAGAAATCCTGCCAGTTGTCATAACATGGGTGGACCTTGAGGGCATTATGCTATGTGGAATAAGTCAGATAGCGAAAGGCAAACACTTAGGATATCACTTATGTGTGGATCTACACAAGAAGCCAAACTCATAGACAAAGAGAGTAGAATGGGGGTTACTAGGGGTTGAGGGTTGGGGGGAACGGGGAGGTGTTTGTTAAGGTGTAGAAACTTAACAGTTATAAGATTAATAAGTTTTGGGGGTCTAATATGGTGACTATAGTTAACAATATGGTGAAAGCTGCTAAGAAAGTATATCTTAAATGTTCTCACCATACACACAACAATTGTAATTATGTGAGGTGGTGGATGTGTTAACTAATCTTATTGTGGTAATCATTTTGCAATATGTATGTGTATCAAGTCATCACATTGTACAGCTTAAACTTATACCATGTTATATGTCAATTATATCTTAATAAACCTGAAAAGAAAGAAAATAAAAAGAACATAGTCTACTTTTCTCTCTTGGTAGTTCTTTGTGAGGCTGAGATGATTAGTTCCCCTTTGAATTAATGCTTTGTATTGTCTACTCTACTGTAGGAAGATGCTGCTGCTGCTATTTCTATTACTGAAGCAAATGCCTTGAGTTGTATAGATTTTGAGTTTTCTGAAGCTAGGAATCTTTGTATCATTTATAACATCCAGGACAGTACTTGGTAAAAAATGAATATTTGGTAAATATTCAAATTGAATGAAATTTATTTTCTGCTATAGATTTTTTGGTAAAAGTATATTTTCCTATATTGAGCTCAATAACAATAGTGAGGGCCAGGTACAGGTCAAGTAGAGTGCATTACATTAATGTTTCAGTCCTTTGTAATGTTTGTGTAAAATTGTATGTTTAGAGGAGCTTTGAAAAACAGTGTAACAATGGAATTCTCGGTGTAGAGGCAGCCCGGATACTAATTGGTGCGGCCAAAAGCTATTGCCCCATCCAAGGAAAGTAAGTATATTTCTTTAATTGATAATTCCAAAATCAAATGAGTATGTGATAAAGAATGCACAAACTGAGTATTCAATGTCCAGATTGATCAATCTATTTATTTTATCTTTTTTCATCTATCTGTCTGTCTGTCCATCCATCCACCTATCCATGTACTTCCTATTTTACTTGTTTACATTTTTTTTTCCCTGAAGGTTCATAACTTTGGTGGCATTTGGAGATTCTGGAGGAAGATCTGACTATAGTGGAATTATATAAGAGACTAGGGGAGCCATGAAAGAGAACCCATGAAGTTCCAATTCTGTTATAATTATTTTGTCTTTATAACATATTCACTAAGTTACTGGATAGGAGAGGTAGCCTGGAGCCCACCATTAGACTGCTCCCTGCTCCTAGGGTGGAGCAGGCTCTGGAGGAATTGACCCAACTGATGGACCTGATAGATGCTGTTAAATCTGGTGGGAAAAGCTCGGTCTCTTAGAGATATATTGATATCTGGTTACAGTCCTGGCAAACATTAGATAATGGATGGTCTAAGACAAAGCCTTGGGGCAACAATGGTTCCGTCTGGGTGATAGTTAATATTTCAGCAGCCTGGTAATCTACTGGGAGATCCAGCATCAGTTCCTACATAAAGTTTGGGAAGGGTAGGGACTTCAGGGCCTTTGAGAGTCTTGGGTGAGGCAAAGCATGACAGAGGGAAGCTTGACTTTGAACCGCAAAGAACTGGTCTGAAGAAGCTTTAATTATGTTCTACGTCAGGTCAGGGACGGTTCCAGGAACACAGGCAGCAGGAGTGTCACGCTGAAAATGTTCCTGTACCATGACCATGAGTGGGTAGGTGGATGGATACAGAGGCTCCAGACGGCGTGTATTTAATAGACCCACATTGCATTTATATTTAGTATAACTTTCTCTTTTATATTACCAAAAAGTATAGCATGTGCTTTTTATCATAACATATATGTATATTTTTCTCTATTAGATTCATGAGCATTTATGATGTTTCAACTTACGTAAGAGCTAGAAGTTGGCTTATGAAATTTAAAAATATGTTAACTTTCTTGGACTATCGTACAGATAAGGCACCTCTTATTCTACACGGGTAAGCACTGTGAACCTTTAATAGCAATAGACTTGAAAATGTGACTTTTTCTACATTGTCAGAATAGATTAGTTTGATTTTCCTTATTAAAAAAAACAGCTAATATTATGGTTAATTTTTCTTATTGATTGAGTGGTGAAGGAGCAGAGTGCTTGCTTCTCTTTCTTCCTTCTGTTCCAGCAACTTCGTTGACGTTGCTATTAGAGAGCAGGCAGAAATAAGAAGAAAAAGATGGTCATGTTTGGGTTTTTAAAGTTTTAATTGCCATGTGTCAGGGTCATATTCCATACTGGGCTGCTTTCATATTCTTCTGTGTATAACATTGAGCAGGGATGAGAAATATCGAACTCGTGGCCTAGTCCTGGCTCTCAATTTAATTTCCTCTGTGCCATAGAGTGGTTTTGTTGATGTCTAGAATTAGGAAAAACACAACATGGCCTTAATAATACCTATAACCAGTGTTCCAAAATATCGCAAGATACAGATACTTAACTTGTGTAGACTCTTTGCTTTGTTATATAAGTTGTGAACTTATATACTTTTTAGAGAAGGAAGACACGGTTTTTCTACTCATAGAAGATATCAAAACAAGAAAATACTGGAAGAATTAATGCTACTAAATTTTAAGTGGGTGTTAGCATACTTTTCACAACAAATTCTGATAACTTTTTACTTTCATTGATTTATTAAGTTTAAAGAGAAATGTAAAAAAATTAAAGCCCTGGGGTCTTGACATATATCCATGTAACCTCTTTTTGTTGGGATCTACTTTAGATAGATTGAAAAATTTTAAAAACTAGTCATGGTAGGGGGCCGGCCCCGGTGGCCGTGTGGTTAAGTTTGCATGCTCCACTTCGGCGGCCCAGGATTTCACCGGTTCGGATCCTGGTCACGGACACGGCACCGCTCGTCAGGACATGTTGAGGCGGTGTCCCACATAGCGCAACCAGAGGCACTCACAACTAGAATGTATGACTATGTCCTGGGGGGCTTTGGGGAGAAGAAGAAACAACAACAACAAAAAAAGAAGATTGGCAACAGATGTTACCTCAGGCGCCCATCTTTAAAAAAAAAAAAGTAGTCATAGTAATTATTGAATAGAATATTTTTTCCTGTTCTTAATTTTAAACAATGCTAATGTTTTTCTCTAAATTTATTTGTTTCTTGCTTATGATGTATGAATCTTTGCATTTTTTCCTATTTACTATTAGCTTTGATTTTAAAAAATTCTTCTCATCCCTGATATAAATTAACAAGAGCCGTATTTTTATCTTTCTCCATTATGATTTTTATATATAGAAAGTGTGTTTTAGACTTTTGCTTATCTATTATTTTATACTGTTTATACTCTTCTTCTTCAAATTAATGTTAATGATTCGTTTAAACAATTGTTGAATTTCAGATCTTAATTGTTAGAGTTTTAGTGATCTGATATTTTATTTGATCTCTTTTTTTCAGGAATAATAAATTTATGATTTTTGTATATCGCATTGTATTTTCAGAAGAATTTGAATATACAGGACATATTATAACATTTATATACATTTACCCTATGATAATGCATCTATGGCCAATGGCAAGAGAATTAAATGTGGCAGGACTGATATTAGTAAACTATTATTTTGTATCTTTATACGTATTAGAATCAGCATTGAAGGTATGTTTTAAAATAGAAATGTATCCTATACAAAGAACAATTCAGATATTTTGAATCTATATCTTTCATATTATTGAAATAATCTGTACTAGAACTGATTTGCTATATTAGTTGATAGGATCCTGGAATTTTAGTGATTGTTTTGCATTTTATGAGTTCAATAGTGAAATCAGTATAATAATCACAGTCTTGGGTACCAGATAAGATGAATATCATAAAAGTGAAGAGAATCTCAAAGATCAAGTGCAACAGAATTGAAAATCCAGACATGGATGTTTCCTTCAAGTATTCTCTGTAATGATGCCAGAAATAAGTAAATGAATAAAATCGAATTGGTTTGCTAGATCTTTGCCATTATATAAGATGAGAACTACTTTTTAGGATAAATGCTTCAAAGATGATTTATGAGCATTACTGTTTTCATACTTTAATTATTACTGACAGTGTTGCAAGGAACCTGTTTACTGCTAGTTTTCATTGTTTTTGGCATTCTGGTTTCATTATAGATTATACATATTTTGAATGAAATTAAAATTTTTGAGGTTGGAGATTAAAAAGAATTTTTTTTGGAATTCCAAATGGATAACTTAAAACCCAACTTTTGGAATATAACTCATTTGTAGTTGAGGATTTAACTGTTAATTTTTAAGATCTCCCCCTCCCCACATCATTGTCTGGTGCTATGAAATGACGTACATCCTCTGTGTTTTCTAAACAGATAATCATTTTGAAAAGAAAATATTTTCGTCAATATTGGAACACTTTGGAATTTATCATCGTGCTTACTGGAATCTTTGATATCTTTTTTATACACCTTGTCAGATGGAGACCAGACAACTTGGTTCTTATTCAGATTGTAATAATAATAGGATATTTCAGAATAATTAGGTTTATTCCTCTCATCAAGGTAAAACTTCACATTTTTAAATATTGGGTTTTTTTGTCCTACACTGGTTGTTAAATGAGTTAAGAATCCTCATTGTTTAGAAAAAAATAAGGGGCTGTCTCTTCTTCTAGAACCCTCTCTCTACAGGTATCTGCTTGGTTCGCTCTCTCACCTTCTTGAAGTCATTGCTCATATCTCGCCGTCTCGCAGAGATGGCCTTCCCTGACCACCCTACGCAAAATGTCAACCTGCCCTCCATACCCCCAGCTTTCCACCCCATCTTCCTGATCCCTCTCCACCTGGTTAAGTTTTACTTTCTCCCCATAGCACTTACCACCTTTTTACTGTGTGCTGTACGTACTCTCTGTGAGGTAGGGATTTTTGTTTTGGTCATTGTCATCACCTAGGCTCTAGAATGGTGCCTAGCATATAGTAAATACTTAATAAATATTTGTTAAGTGAATGAATGAAGATGTTGGTGTCACTTGAAGGTAGATTTTCAGTCTCAGCTCTTGGCCTCCTTTCTCTCTTTCCGGTGGAGTTGCATTATAAAAGCTTTCAACTCGAGAGCTTTAGATAATTTCACATGCTGTTCCATTTTTTGGGTTGTTTAATCCTTATTACATCAAACAAGGTCTATTAGTGTGCATTGAAGTTATAGAGGCTTAATATTAAAAAAACTGCTGTAAATGGTGACAGCAAAAGGCATGCTTTAGAATCTCCCATCTAGTCTCCGTTCTCCGAGAGATGTAAGAGTTACCTTTTAAAGGCAGAATTGTTTGAATGTCCAGACTCATGCTTGTAGACTTTCTTTTTTATTCCTTCCTTGATTCTGTATTGTTACCAAGGTTTAGTGTTCATAATAATTACTGTACAGCGTTGTAGACACAAAACCTGCTTTAAGGGGTAATTTTGGTTATTTATGACTTTTGCCTCATGAGCTGAGTTTAGAGCGAGTGCCCACATAAGGTACAACCCCATCATAGTACAAACTGCTCTAGAAATCAAGCTGTGTAGTATGAGGCTAAGTCTTCAAATGGAAGGTGGAACCTTCCTTAGGTAATCAGTTTTTACACAGAGATCTGATGTAGATGAACGTAAAATAATTATTTTAGAAGTAATACTTTGCAAAATGTCTCTCTGAGTGAAATAAAGATTTAAAGGTGTTATTGTGGAAGTCAGCTCTATTTAAAGTGTGAACCCATTGCTACTTCTGTCCAGCATGTTCTGACAAATGTCAATGAAGTATATTTAAGGAATTAATAAAGTCCCGATTAGCCTTTTAAATTGAGTACTTACACATTCCAAGAACTGTGCAGAACACTTTATGTCCATTGTCTAATTAAATTATTGTAAGAGCTCTGTGTCACCACCTATCAAGTTAGGTGGTCCAATGGTCAGTCTCAGCATAGTGTGGCTTTCAAAAGAAACAAATGTGTATTGGAAAGCTTGGCAGGATATTGGAGGTCTTTACTTTAGATCCTCTTAGGAATAGCTCAGGGGGTGTCAGTGCTGTTTTGGAACAAAACTTTTGTTTTGTGTCTTGGAACAAATTTTTCTGTAAAAACTCTCTTCAATATCTCTCCCTCTGCCCAAAGTTTCACAATCAAAACAGCAGCTAAAAAAAAATTCTCTCCTTTCTCTGTTTGTAATTCCTTCGCTGTGATGCTCTTTTTCTGTTTTCGTCCTCCTCCTCTGTTACCTGCTCCCTCAGCATCTGCCCTGTGCTCTGACGTGACTCTCTCTCTGTGACTGACTGCATTGCTTGTGAGGAGCAGCTCCACTGGAACTCTGGTACCTAGGTATTATTGTCCTCAGTTTACAAATGAGGAGACTGAATTCTCAAAGTCACTAAGTAACTTGCTCAAGGTCACAGAGCTGGTGAGTAGAAGAGCTGGTATTTGAACTCAAGGAGGTTTACATTTAAAATCCCATTCTCTTCTGTCACTACACTCTCCTGCCTCGGCTTATGACCTGAGAAATTAGAGCTAAGAAGGATCTTAGATACCCTAAGTTCCTTTTCTTACAAGTGAAGAAAATGAGGAGGAGAGAGAGGATATATTCGGTCGGTAACTATCACCCAGGTTACAGGACTGCCTCTCTCATCTCCTGAAATCTGGAGGTATGGAGAATGGGGGGGAAAGGCAGTGGTAGCCACTTCCCCTTAAAGTTACAGAACCAGTTATTCACTGAGCTTTCATTTCTTTAGAGAGTGGCTCTCAAACTTGAGTGTGCGTAGACTTGTTAAAACATTGATTTACGGGCCCCAGTCCCAGAGTTTCTGGTTCGGCAGGTCTGGACTGGGGCCTGAGAATTTGCGTTTCTAATGAGTCTCTGGGTAGTGTCATTGCTGGTCTGGACACACTTGGAGACTATCTGTCTTAGAGGGTGCTTTTCCTCATCAAGTTTTCAGGTTTTTTTTTTTCCTCTCCATTATTGCAGACAATAATACCACTGCTGATAAATATTGCAGATGTGCAGATCAAAAAGCGTCTCAGGTTGATGTATAGTATTACAAAAGGCTATGTCAAAAGTCAAGAGGACGCCAAATTTTTAATAAAACAAATTTCTAGCCGAGAATCAATAAATCAGGTGAGAGACAAGCACTGGTCATTGGGGAAAAAAGTCACTTAGGTGTATTCATTTCTTTTAAGACCATTTCTACGTGTATTTGACACAACAGATAACTTGTAGCAAGTGAAGGAGATTCAGTTGTTTATTATGTCATACGAGATGCAGAGAACAGTGTCTGTCCTTTAAATGTCAGCTGTCGTTATCAAACATTTATGATCCTCTTAGAAGAAAATCTACCATTTGTTTTTATTTTTTGAGCACAGAGTAGAGATTCCATCTGTCTTTGTAACACCCTCTAAAAGACAGGGCACATGGAAAGGCTTCCTGCAGGCGCTGAGACTCAAACAAGGCTTCAAAGAAAAGGTAGGTCTGAAGTGGAGAGGAAGAGTGAGGGAAAGCGAAGACAGATTTGACAGTGAAAACTTGAAATGCTGGTACTGAGGCGTGGATGAGTAGTAGCATTTATTTATTTATCTATTTATATCATGGAAGACCCTGCTCATTTCCAGGCAGTATGAGATAAGGAAGGAGAAGACACAGTCGACTAGGAACTCGAGGTAGAAGGAGTCACCTCCTAACCAGGTTCCTTCGTGTGAGTCTGTCCACTCCAGGCCACACTGACATTTAGCAGAGTAATGCTCCTAAAAGGGCTATTTTAAGTCTCATATCTGAATTTCAATGACTCTGCATGGCCTAAAGGGTAAGGTCTTTGAATTTATATGAGAAGGGAGGACAGAACACGGGAAAAATGGCAAAAAATAATCAAGCATAATTTTACAACCTGAAAATAATAGAATGCAAGACTAGAAGCAGCTGTCCCACCCCTCCTCTCTGCCACTTCACGGAGACCGCCCCAAAGCGGCCGCTCCTGGGTGACATTCCTCTGCTGCTTGCCGGAAGAATTGTAAAGAATACGCAGCTATATTTAATTCTTCTTTCTAATCAGCCTTTATTTACTCTCTACCATGCAGTGGAAGGAGATTAGAACATTCCTCTCCTTTAACTTTTCTTTTTCCTCCCTGTCTTAAGATTTTGGAGCTATTATTTTTACACGAAAAGGTTTATAACATTTACATTCTATTCTGTAAGAATAAGTCAGTCTTCATTCTTTTCAATAAATGACTCTACATAGAACACCAAAAACAACCTTTACTTTGTTATGATTATATAAATATTATTCACTGTAGATTCAAGCCACAACGAAGAAAATATGATCCAATGTCGTTAAACATTTACTACTTGAAAGAGACCCTTCTAAATGAAAGAGTCAAATGGATTAATTTTTTTTAAACTATCTTCCTTCTCTTCCTTTAGATTATATTCTGTAGGCACTTTTTCTGGAGTCCCATGTGAGCCTCCTTTTCACTTTGCTTTTTATTATGCTGGATTATGCCCATAAATAATTTTTTTCATTTGTATTTATATGTTCCAAGATCTTTTTACTTTGCTCTCATAGTTAACAGTTTGACTCTCCAAAAGCATTTTCTTGCAGACATTGCCCCTCTGTCATCAGCGTTGCTGAGATAAACCTGATTTTACTTTCATTTTGTGGGTGACTTTTTTTTCTCTCCATTTAGAGTCTTTTAGAATTTTCTTTTTATCCTTGGAGTTCTGAAATTTCACTGGGATGTGTCTAGGTGTGATTTAAAAAAAAAAAAAGAGAAAGTTGGGGCTGGCCTGGTGGTGTAGTGGTTAAGTTTGCATGCTCTGCTTCAGCAGCCTGGGGTTCACAGGGTTTGGATCCCGGGCTTGGACCTACACACTGCTCATCAAGCCATGCTGTGGTGGTGTCCCATACACAAAAAAATATGGGAAGATTGGCACAGATGTTAGCTCAGGGCCAATCTTCCTCACACACAAACGCACATACAAAATTATCCCATGCAGCACTTGGTGGGCACTTCATAATCTGAAGATTGCCATCTTTTTTTCCCTGACTTCTTTGATTATTCCCTCCTCTCTGTGGTTTCTATTTTCTCCTTTTGGCACCTTTTAAAGCAGATTTTTTGAATTTCTGGATTTAGTCTCTATTTCAACTTTTCTCATAACTTTCAACTCTTTCTTCTTTGCTGTGAGAACCGCTCAGCTTAATTTTCCAGGTTACTAATTCAATCTTTAGCTGTATCCATTCTGCTATTCAGACCATCTATTACATTTTCTTTTTTGACAACATTTTTTGATCGCCAAGAACTGTGATTGGTTCTTTTTCTTAGCAACTATTTGCTTTTCTCTTTTTTACAAATGTGGCCTTCTCTTGACTCTCTACTTTAAAAATTTCTGTTTCCTGTATTAATTCTGCTTTTCTGAGGTTCATTCTTCTATGTTTTGTGCTTAGTTCTTGTCTTTCATTCTGTGTTTTACACCCAAAGTTTGGTGATTTTTGGTTATATTTTCATACGTGTATATAAGGGTCTAAATTGAACAGTATCAATAGCTGGAGGGTATTTTCTCAGCCCAAGTGAGACCCCTGATTTTTAAATGACAATGAATTTAAATCCTAATTATCAAAGTCCTATCTCTAAAGACTATGTGTGTGTACACTCAGGGTTTGTTGCGGGGTTACGTCTTCTGGTTGTTGTGCTAATTTTCTGTGAAGACTGTTAGTTCCCTCAGGCCAGAAAGAGGGGCTCTGCCCTTATCAAATTCAGGAGAGGGAAAGAGGCTGCAATGATACCTACCTTAATGTTTTTATTTTTAATTTCTAACATAGATAAAAAGATATACTGTTAAATATCTTCAGAAATATCCTTAGCACTTAAGATTTTCTTTTATAATCAAGGACCACTATAGGGAGAGCATACCTGAATCTTAGGAAGGCATCTGACATCCTTCACACAGATAGAGATAGAGAAATATCTAGATCTATCAGAGAAGTATTGATTATTGGATCAAATATTAATGTGCAACAGAATTCTGTCCTGTTGGTTTACTTTGAATATTGGAGAAGAAAATTAAAAGAACCACTGAAAGTCTGGATTGATCTCTGTTAGAAAGAACATAGAGCTATTCATAGGAGAAAGGATTTCAGAAACAGGAAGAGGAGAGAAGAAACACAAGAGCCATTGGGAGGAGGTCAGCGTGTGTTTTGAGGAATTTGGGAGAAGACGTTGAGAGTTAAGGACAGTTGCCTCCAAGTGTAAGAGATGAAACAAATTCTCCTTTGGCATTTTAAAGGGAGCCTTCAGTAAAGATTTAAATGGCTTTTTGAGATGTGTTTAGATATCAAACTGGTGTTTATTCTGAAAGTGGTTTAAGAAACTGGTTTAAGAAACTGGCCAGTGGCAGCTAACCTTTAGAGAAGTCACGTATATGTCCAGGCTGTCACAATTATCTTCTCTTTGGCAGGAGTTGGTCCCCAAGCTGTCTTGTGCAGGTCATTCTACAGCAGTTTTACAGAGTTGCTGTAGGTCCAGTTGGGTATGAAGGGGGCCTAACTGCCGTCCGTGCACCTATGCAAGCAGGGCTGGACCACGGTACGTGGGTGCTGTGAGCAGGCTAATAATTTGGCACCTTCCCAATATTGATTCAGTGTTATCAAGTGAAAAGAAACAATTTAATAAAAATCGTATACCTCATTCTTTTATTCAAAATGAGAGATTTATTACATGTGATTTTTCTAAACCCAAAACAACAACAAAAACTGCTTAAACTTTAGATAACAAACCAATTGTTTCCTGTAGAGAGCACTATGCCACACATTATTTGGGTGCAGAATTTCAGTCATCTGCACCTGACAATCCTAGGACACTGTCAGTTGTTTGGTGCCAGGGCTGTTGATGTGGTCAAGTGAAAGCTGCAGAGAGACTGCAAGCTAGAGAGTAAGCTCCCTGAGGAGCAGTGTTGGGGCACGGTGAGTATTTGACAAATGCCTATTACATGGTTGACCAGAGATTGGTCAGCCCTGGTGTGGAGCTGTTTCTTCAGTTCTGTCAGGAGTTATCTCTAGGCAACATGAACTAATTGACATCATATTTTCTCATGATTCCACTTGTTTTTGTGCTCCCGAATCCTGGCTCCCCCAAAAGCTGCTCAGTTGGCTACTCCCTAATTGGGCTCCATCTGTAAGAACTCTCCTTGGTGCACAGTGGAGTACACACTAGTCTTTTCTGAGAAAATTAGACACAGTAGTTATGCAAGCTACTGAGTGCACAACATTTATGGTAATTTGAGTATGAGCATGGGGAAGGCAGCAGAATCAATACAGAGGGAAGAATTGAGACAGCTATATCCCCCAAATCATAAACTAAGTGAGATTTCTTCTACCATACTTCTTTTTCTCAGATTTTACAGCCAGAAATGCACTTGGCATAATCAGAAATTAATGTTTTTCTTAACTTCTTACAGAAATTATATGAAATTTTGGAAACTAATCAACGAGATGCTGTCAAAGAACTAGGTAGGTAGTTGGAGTTTCTGATTTCTTGAAATCATGCCTTATTATTCCATAGTTTAACCGAAGGAAGACAAGTTCATGCTTTCATTCAATCATTCATTCACTTATTCATTCAACAAGCATTTATTGAGCACATGGAATGGGCCAGGTATGCAAAAAGTGCAGAGCCTGGTGGAGGGTATGTGCAAATCCATAGATAATTGCAGAAAGTGAGAGAAGTCTTGTTATTTGCTACAGGAGCATGAGGAAAGAATGAGGAGTGTGGAAAGTGTGTTAAGGTGGTAAGGTCAGCTGCCTTGAGGTTGTAAGAAAAAGACATGTGAAGATTATCTTTGACAAAGGGTGTTTTTGTTTTTGTTTTGTTTGCTTTGTTTGCAAGGATACTCAGGAATGTGGGTCTGCAAGAGATGTCATTTCTTGAGCGCCTGCAGTCACTCTGCTTGAGTTGAAGCACACAGCAGGAGCGCTAGGATTTTATACAAAGCTCCTTGGGTCTTCTTTCTTCATAAGGGGGCTGTGGGCCAGGCTCTCATTGTGTGCAGATGTATCCGGTAGAGAGCTTGGCCTATGGTAGGCCCTTAATAAATAGGAGTTATTATACAAGAAATAAAGTAAAGCCATTTTGTATTTATAACCATGTGGAAAGAGGCCATATGGATTTATGAGGATCCTACCTTCCAAATCAAAATTGAAATAACATGGTCTGATGAATGAAGTTGTAAGTTTGGAGATAAGAGGATGTAATATTTTGGCACTTCTCAGAAAATCCAGGGCCCATTTTTGCCATTTACATATGGGCAGACTTTTATTTCTGTGCTTTTAAAGATTAGGGGCCAAGAAACTGCTGTCTCATATTATGTTTCAGATTAGTATGGGATATTACAAAGTTTTCTTGATTCAGTCCTGTAAAAGGGAGTGCCTGTTTCCGAATGGTTATTGCAACTGATTATTGAATGCTAATTATGTCAGGAAGTGTGTTAACAGCTTTATATGCATTATCTCATTCAATCCTCTATGAGGCAAAACTATTGTCATCTTCGTTTCATGGATGACGAAGCTGAGGCTTAGAAAAATTAACCTGCCTGAGGTCATATGGTAGTAAATGAAATTGAGGCTTAGAAAGATTAACCTGCCTGAGGTCATATTGTAGTAAGTGGCGAGCCAGGTCTCAAGCCCAGATGTATCTGACACTAAAACCTATGCTCTTGGTCATCCTAGCCTTTATTTTACTGGTCAGCTTATTTCAGTTAAAAAAATGATTGAGTACCATCCAGATGTCAGGCCTTGTGCTCAATGTTAGAGTTACAAAGATGAAACAGATGCAGTTTTAGCCTTGACTCCCAGTCCAGCCCATGACTTCTAATGTTAATTAAAGAGGAAAAAATATGTGATTTGATCTCAGAAAGACCCACCAGTCAAAGCCTAGGGGCTCTTTCATTAAGTCATTTATTCATCCACCCAACAAAAATGACATAATATGTAGGATGAGACAAATAAGCAAAAATAATAATACTACAATGTAATGAGTTCCATAAGAAAGATATGTAGGAGATGCCATGGGGATAAGGCAAAGGGAGTGGTTTTCTCCTAGCTGGTGGGGGAGGCCAGTTTTCAATTTTCTCGTCCATAAAATGGAGATGAAAATAACTCTGGTTTTAGTGCCTTCACAAATTCTGTATGAAACAAGAATGAAAGGATATTGCATAAATACTTTGGAAATTATAAACTATTGTACAAATATTAGTTATTATTGTGGTTATTGCATCGTTTGCTTACTGATAGTTCTATTTGCTCCAGGACTCATAGAGCACGAGGGTCGTGATGTCGTCATTGCTTTGAAGACTAGGCAGGCAATCCGGAACGTGATTGCTAAAGCTTTGAAAAACCTCACCTTCCTTTGGTCAAGAGGCATTATTGATAAGCATGAGGGCGTAGAGATGAATAAGGTAATAAAGCAACTTTCCATATTTCTTGATTGCATGAGACCAACACCCAAGCCTGCATTGTTTCTTTAGCTGAATGTAATCAATGAGCAGGATTGGAAAAAGAGTGATTAACCTCAGTTGTTAACTCTGTAATCACCTACAGTGTTTGTTAATGCCAATGACAACTAATGCCAATGCTACCTGGTGCATTCCATGTCAAAACTAGTTGGCTACAAGTGAAAGAAACTAACTTGAGCTAGGTCTGGCAAAGCAATGGGGTTGGGGGATTTATTATAGGGACACAGTGCCTTATAGAACCCACAGTACCAGACCATGTGGTCAGGCCTCAGGAAGGAACTTGAACAGGACCTAGAAAGCTTTTCAGATTCTCCATTTCCTATCAGGGTTGCCCTCTGTGGGATCTTCTTTTGGCTCCCTCTACAAACTCACTAGATTTTTCTGCTTCTCTATCCACTGGTGGAATATGTACTGCCCAGGCCCACCAGCTGTGGCAAGGAAGGTGGGAGTCACATAATGTTGACATGGTAGGGAGGTGACTAACTTGTGTGTGTGTGTGTGTGTGTGTGTGTGTGTGTGTGGTTGGGGGTCAGAGAGGGGCCAGTTCTGAGAGGACAGGAGCAGGTAAGTCACCCTAATCCATTAGCTGGTAAATGGACTTTTGAAAAATTATAAATATATTTGCAAAGAATTGGGAACATAAGACAGAGGAAAAGAATGCTTAATGTTTAATCCTACCATTCTATGGCATCCACCATCTAGACTTTGAAGGCTATCTAAGATTCAATTGAATGCTTGATATCCATTAATTAAAATAAATAAATAATAGCCCTTTTGAGGAGAGAGACTTGTTTTTTCCTATAGGTTTGTTTAGAAAGGTAATGGATAAATCAGTCATTTAACAGTTACTTATTGAATGCCTAATTGTCAGCCAGAGAGATATAATAATTGTAGGGAAGGAAGGCAGTTTCTCTACCCTCTACGTCCTTCTGGCTGGTCTAAAAATTAAATTGACATGAGATGGAATAACAGGAGAAAGTAAAACAAAGTTTAATAACATGTATACATGGGAGAAACCCAGGAAAACTGAGTAACTCACTAGAATGGCTGAAGCTGCCACCTTAAATACCATCTTCAGCTAAAGACAAAGGAGGATGTTGGGGGTAGTGGTTTGTGACTTCCGGGGGAGGAAGATAATTTACATGGAGATGGAAATGCAAATGTTTGTTAAACAAGTGTTTTCTGGGCCATCTATAGACAATGTGACCTGAGAGACAGAACTTTGATAAAAATGGTCTTGCTGGTGCTTTTCTGTCCATTATACCTATTTTACATTATCCTATAGTTATCTTGTGGCATTAGCTTCTTCCTGGAATGGGCCTTCTATCTTAAATTCTTTTAGGCAGTTAGAAGGAAAGTCAAAGTTTCTTTCAGAGTCTTTTGTCTTTACAAATAATCAAGCCAAAGAGACACATTTTGGGGTGGCCAATTCTGTTTCCTCACATTATCAATCCCAGGTCATATGGAGCTAGGTAAATCTATTCAACTTAATTAGGTAAATATATGTTGGGTATGTGCCACAGACTCTTGAGAAAATTGGGATACTTGATACAACACTGACCCCACGGTCCATGGGCTCTTCCTCATTCTTTTATTTAGTCATTTATTCATCCAATCAACAAAAGTTACATCAATGGAGGGTGAGAAAGATAAGTAAAAATAATACTATTGCAGTGTAATGAGTTCCATAAGGGAAATCTGTAGGAGATGCCATGGGAATAAGGCAGAGAAATGGATTATCTCTTACCTGGTGGGGGAAGCCAGAGAAGGCTTCTCAGAGGCTACAAAACTGGAACTGTATCCTTCAAAATTAGAAGGATTTAGCAATCCTTCTAATCATAACATCATACACATGAAAAAAATCATACACATAAAAAAAGGTGAAAGAACATGGCATTAAATCGTACAGTAATCAACTGTGAAGTTTAGATAATTTGAGATTAAGAATGGTAGAATATGATGTTAACTGGATTATAAAGATGCTAAATTCAATATGAGTTAATATATCAGTGAAAATAGTAATAAGGGGAGAATAGGGACAAACACCTTTAGAGGATAATTTAAATAGGGTGAGAGAAGCTGTGAGTCAAAATCAAGGTTAAATCTGTATAACAGTAGTTTATCTAGATTTCTTTAGCTTTACCTAATGTCCTTTTTCTGTTACAGGATCTGATCACCATTATTTCGATTGTTTGTTTTTAGGTGCTTCTTGCAAAAATAAAGGCACTCAATAACTTTCCAATGGCAATCCCACCCCCTACTCCTGAAAAGTATCTTCATAATATCCTTTGGCTAGAAAATAAAGATGTTCTCATTGAGTTCTTCAAGGTAAAGTTTCAGTTTTCTATTCTGGCTCAGGTTTGATGATAATTATTTTCCATTTTTTCCACTCCCTAATGCAAGATTAACAAAAAAGCCTATCCAAAGCAAGAATCTTGTAATGGCCAATGAAGGGTAAGTCAAAATGGAGGCCCAGAAAAACCCAGAAGAGTAGATTTCATTTTGAGCCTAAAGGGCAAAGATAGTTTTTTACAATGGCTTATCTGCTTCGGATGAGCTAGCTATGTTACTTTATTATTACCAATCTCATCTTATTTTATGTTGTAGAGTTCTGGACTTCCAGATGCACTTTCTGGAAAACACTTTTTTTAGAGCAAGAGTCTCAAATTTAAATTACTATACAGGCCAGCCCGATAATATAAAAGTAAAACTAACCAGGTACAGTATAACAAGGAAGAGTGAGGACGGTGGTACACTCTGAGTTCATGCTCTGTGTAAAGTCAACTAAGTGTTCCTATAGGAATTTGGATTCTTTCAAAAAATGTTTACTGAATATCCTCTATGCCCCAGAGAATTTTCTAGGTTTGGAGATATGGTAGTCAACAAAATTAATGAAGTCCCTGCTTTCGTGGACTTTACATTATATGGATGGAGATGGACAATAAACATACCAGCACATATATAGGCTGTCAGGTGGTGATAAAAGCTATGGAGAAAAGATGAGAAAAGGGAATATGGTTGGGCAGCTATTTTATATGGGGTGGTCAGGGAAGGCTGCTCTAATAAGATGACTTTTGAAGAGAGATCTGAAAGAAGTGAGTGAACAAGCCATGTAGACATCTGGGAGAAGAGCACTCCAGGCAAGTGCAATGCCCTGAGGTGGAGTGTGCTTGGTGTGTTCAAGGAACATCACAAAGGCCCCTGTGGCAGGAACAATGATGGAGGGAAGAGATGCAGTCAGAGCAGTTACAGAGCCTGAGATTGTAGAACTTTGTAGGCCATTGTAAGGACTTTGATCTTTACTCTGAATTAAATGGACACCAATTGGAAGGTTTTGAACAGAGAAGTGACATGATCTAACTTATATTTTAAAATGACCACCCTGCTGCTGTGCTGAGAATAGGCTATAAGGGGTCAAGGGCAAGCCAGGGAGACCAGTTAGGAGGCAATTACAATAATGGAAGCACGGGACGATGGTGGCTTGGACTAGTCCAAGTGGTGAGGAGTGGTGAGACCCTTGATGTATTCTGAAGATACAGCTGATAGATGCTGATGGAGGGAGGGTTAGAGACAGAGAGGATGACTTCTAGGATTTTAATCTGAAAATAGAATGGAGTTACCATTTACTTAGATGGGGAAGAGGAGATTATGCGGGGGCAAGAGTTTGATTGTGATTAAGATAAATTTGGGAAAGCTATTAGACATCCAAGTGGAGACGTTGAGTAGGTAGTTGGATATATGACTGGAATTCAGGTGGGAGGCCAAACTAGAGATAGACATTTTGGAGTTGTTAGTATAGAGATAATATTTAAGGTCTTGAGACTTGATAAGAAGACTTAAGGAATTATTATGGATATCCAAGAATTGAGTCCTGGGCTATACAACATTTAGAGATGGAGAGATGAGGAAGAATTACCAAAAAGAACTGGGGATAGAAAAAGAGATGAGATTTGTGGTTACCAGAAGTAAAGGGTAGAGACTGAGAGAATTGGATGAAGGTGGTGAAAAGATATAAACACACGAGTCATAAGATAAATAAGTCCTGGGGATGTAATGCACAACATGATGACCGTAGTAAACACTGCTGTAGGGTATATTTAAAAGTTAAGACAGTAGATCCTAAAATTTCTCATCACAAGGAAAAAAAAATTCTTTCTGTTACTGTATGAGGTAATGGATGTTAACTAAACTTACTGTGTCAATCATTTCGCAAAATATTCATGGCAAGTCATTATGCTCTACGCCTTGAACTTATATAGTGCTGAACATTAATTATATTGCAATAAAACCAGGGAAGAAAAAGAATTGAGGGGTAATCCATCAGGTAGGAGGAAAACTAAAAGAGTGGTGTCCCAGAAGCCAAGTGAAGAAAGTATTTCAAGAAGGAAAAAGTGACCGACTGTGTCAAATAAGGCTGAGAGATCAAATAAGATGAAGACTGAAAATTGACTATTAGATTTAAAAACGTAGAGGTCAGATTTTTTAAAAAAGAGAAACCATAAGTCTGAATTTTTATGTGAAATTTCCAAATTTTTAAAATTTGACAACAAATTAAAAAATATTGTGCAGGCCAAACAAAACACATCCGTGAACTGGATGTGATCCCCAGACCACTAGTTTGTGGCTTTGATTTTAAATGCCTATTGTATGAATTATAAGGTTTATAACTTTTTAATCAACCTGTTAAAACCTCTGTTAGACTTTTGGAGTCAGGAACACTCTGTGACAAAAAATGGTACTTGCTTTACCACAAATTTTGTTGTACTATACCTTGTGATCTAGGTGTGAAGGTATATAAGGCATCTGCTTGTCCATAATGAGATGTTTTCCTTGTTTTCTAGAAAGACAGTAATCATAGTGGGATTCTGCTGAACCTTGAATACCTGATTCTCTTATGCCATGCTCATATTTTCTTTGTGCCAGAAACTTTTGAATTTTTCATTTGAAATTGATTTCAAATTTAGTTAAATTGACCTTTTTTTTTTAAAGATTTTATTTTTTATTTTTCCTTTTTCTCCCAAAGCCCCCTAGTACATAGTTGTGTATTTTTAGTTGTGGGTCCTTCTAGTTGTGGCATGTGGGATGCTGCCTCAGCATGGCTTGATGAGCAGTGCCATGTTGGCGCCCAGGATTCCACCCGGTGAAACCCTGGGCCGCCACAGCAGAGCGCGCAAATTAACCACTTAGCCACGGGGCCGGCCGCAAATTCAGACTCTTTTGGTTGAAAGTAACAAAAACCTACCTGAACTAGTTTAAACAAAAGGAAAGTTTACTGGAAAGATGTTGTGGTAGTATATAGAAACTAAGAAACAGTTGACTAACCTTGAGCAGGGTGAGAGTCAGGCCAGCTGTGGGACATAAGTGGTGGGAATTTATGGCCCTTCTTCCAGCACTTGGCTGTGATGACTCAGTTCTCAACTCCCAAGCTCTTTGTCCCTCAGTTCAAATTCCTGAGAGAGAACTCCAACTGGCTTAGCTTGAGTCAGATGGCCAGCTTCTGGGGTACAAGTGTGGCTGTGAGAAGGAGGAGGAAACCTGATGGGCAGGGGCTGTTGGGGTAGTTTGGAAAATAGATCTCTAATAAATGGGGGTGGGAGGTGGGCTTGGACCGAGAAGAAGACATCTAAAAGGTGTTTATTATAATTTACATGGTATTCAGTTTTTTAAAAATCCAATTTTAAGGTAAAATTAGAATTTAGTTCTTTATAGGTAATAGTTTTCAGAAGTAAAATTAACCAACTGTCCAGCAGGGAATGAGGAAGGAATGGGAAAAATAATTAGAAGATAACTCCATAAATTAATGATTCACCGCTCCCTGAGGTGAATCTATAACCAGGGTACCAACCTCCTTCCCTTCCTTAATTTGCCGTGGCTCTGCAAAGCTGTTGGACTTTCTCTACGCACTTACAGACATCCCCTTACCGACATCTTCAAGTGGCCCTTTTCCTTAATATGTTGGTACTTGATAGCCATTTAAATCAGATTTTACCAGGGTAAAAATTGTGATGACCTGGGAGCACAGAGGCATTATTCACATTAGAGCCAGTCCAGGGATTGTGTGAATAACTAAAATACACTGAGTAAACAAAACAAACACCCCTTATTGTAGACTATAATTTCAGTCTTGGTCTCCATCACAGCTGTAGTTAATTTTCACTACGCCTCCCTTCTTTCATCCTCCAACTGGTGTGGTTACTTAGAAATGTAATAGTCTATAAAGGTAGAAAAACAAGGTTTGAATAATACCTATGCTGGGTAACTGGCTTTAGGTGAGCTTTGAAAAGAAATTGTGAAGTCATCCGTGCTTCTTTCAATGCTGTCGCATAATTGAGAAGTACACAAAGTGAGAAGTGAAAACGATTCACTCTCCCACCCCTCACTTAGAGATAACCACTATGAATGCTTTGTAAAACGCTAATCTGTCACCATAATTCTCCTGTTACAAATCCTTCAGTGGCTTCCCCCTGGTTTTGGGAAAAGCCCAAACTCTTTAATGTGCCCACGAGACCCTTCCAGACCTCGACCTGGCTCACCTTTCCGCACCTGCCGCCGCCGGGCCTCTACTATCACTTTCACGGGCCCTAGGCACTTCTGCCTTCATGGCCCTCTTCCTCCATAAAATAGTACAAAAAATTATACTTTAGGACTGTGTTAGGATAAAGATGAATATATTAATACTAACTATTAATATTCAAACATTTCCCTCTACCTAAACATTCTGTTATTCCCTCCTGGTTTTAAAAGAAACTAAAATATTGCTGTGAGTCCCTAAAAGTATTGTGAACCGGCGGCGCTGCGCCCATTGAAGCCTAAGGGATAACTCAGCCCTGGTCTCCACCCTCCTGCCCGAGACATGTTGAATCTTCTGCTTACCCCAACTGAAGATGTTCTCTTTGTTTCCGGATCTTTGCATGTTCTCAGTCCTCTGCCCCGAATGGTCTCCAGCTCATCGTATCCTGGCTCTCTGATACTCTTCGTTCAGGTCTCAGCTCAGCTGCTCCTTTCTCTGTAAAGTCTTCCCTGGACACCCAAGACATGGTCCTGTGGCCTTTCTGGATTTTTCCAGAGCATCGTGTCTCTGTCTCTTTTGTCAGAATTAACACGTTTTACTGTAAACGTCCACCCAACCCGGCATTTATTGGGTGTCTCTATCAGTTGCTGTGCTGGATCCTAATCCCAAAGTCTACAGTTTGCTTGCTTGACCTTTCTTTCTAAAAGTTGAGGTATGTCAGCGTGTTATGATTCATTAACAAACCAAAGAATACAGTTTGTGTTTTTATGTTACTTGAAAATCAGTTTAGTTTTAAAATCTTATTTCGGCTTAGAAAAGTAGACTATGACATTTTTGTGTTGACTTTCCTTTCTTTTTGTTTCTTTCAGGAAAGAGCAAAACTTGCCTATTTTGACTATGGAGATGTCATTTGTAAAGAAGGTGAAATGCCGCAAGGAATCTACTTAATTATTTCAGGAATGGCAATTGTAAGGGACTATTTATCAGTTTCAATTCTGGCCCCCAGATGCATGTACTTTCTCCTACAGTGTAGCAGGAAAATGTATCAGTAATCATATAATCTCACAAATATTTAATTATAAATTATGATGAATGCTGTATTATATATAATATATAATGCTGTTATATATATTCATGGCCAGCCCTGGTGGTCTAGTGGTTAAGATCTGGCACTCTTACCACACCTGCTCGGGTTCATTTCCCGGTCAGGGAACCACTCCAAATGTCTGTTGGTTGTCATACTGTGGTGGCTGTGTGTTGCTGTGATGCTGAAAACTGTGCCACCAGTATTTCACATACCAGAAGTGTCACCCATGGTGGACAGATTTCAGCGGAGCTTCCAGACTAAGACAGATTATAAAGAAAGACTTTGCCACCCACTCCCCAAAAAACTGGGCATGAAAACCCTCTGCATAGCAGTGAAGCATTGTCTGATAGAGCTCTGGAAGGTGAGAGGACAGTGCAAAAAGACCAGGTTCTGCTCTGCTGTACGCAGCATCGCTAGGAGTCGGAATCTGCTTGAAGGCACTAACAACTAGCAAATTTACTCTTCACTGAAAATGTATTTTGAAATACGTGATCATAACATAAGGAGAAACTTAGGAACTAAGTTTCAAATTTTTAACATAATCTCTTTTCCAAATGAAACCATTTCTACTCACAGTAAACACTACAGCTGCGGTACTGACACTTTCCAACATCTGAAAGGTGCTTCCCATTTTACAAAATACGTTTCTTCGCAGTCATTACTCATTCTTCACAATACTCCAGGGAGAAAGCAGTCTTTTCCATGATGTCCGGATAAGGAATCCAATACTTAGGGTGGTTGAGTTACTCACCTAAAGGAAATGAGAGTCTGAGTGAGTGAATGAACAGCAATGTCAGATCCTCACAGAGATCAAATAGGATGAGGACCAAAAGGCAACTTTTAATCTGACCAATAGGAGGCTTTTGGTGACCAGAGAGAGAGAAAGGAAAGATGTCAGTAGAGGGAGGGGGACAAGAATCCTTTAGAATCTGAATACTAGTGGTGACTACCTGGGTGAGCCCCAGCTGATGGCCTAAATAATTCCTAGATCCTAGATGACAGTTATGAGTGACAAACCCTTATTATAGTGCAAATAATATATTTGGCTTTCTAATTTTGGAATGGGTATTTTAGACCTTAAAAATACCAAAATTGATCATGGAAATAAAGTATTGTAATATATATACTATAATACTAACATACATGTAGCACTTATTAAGTGCCTGGCACTTTTCATTTTTTCATTCATTCATGCACTCATTCATTCAACAAATATTTACTTCATTAGTAACATGCAACAGGCACTTTTCAATCTAGGCATGGAATTTCCAAAACAGACAAAAATCCCTGCTTTCTTAAAGTTTATTTTCTCTTTTTTGGTGAAGAAGATTGGCCCTGAGCTAACATCTGTTGCCAATTTTCCTCTTTTTTTCTTTTTCTCTCCAAATCTGCAGTACATAGTTGTATATCCTAGCTGTAGGTCATTCTAGTTCTTCTATGTGGGATGCTGCCACAGCATGGCTTGATGAGCAGTGCATAGGTCCACGCTCAGGGTCTGAACTAGTGAACCTCAGGCCGCCGAAGAGGAATGTGTGAACTTAACCACTTGGCCACAGGGCCAGGCCTTAGAGTTTATTTCCTAATAGAGGCATAGAAGGAGATGAGACAATGAACAAAATAAATAGTTAAATATATAGTATATTAGAGGTGATAGAGAAGTGAAGAAGTTAGCTGTAATTTTTAAAAGAGTAGTCAAGAATAGCAATACATTATGACATTTAATCCTTATAACAACCCAATTTTCACATGAGGAAACAGTTGCACAGAGAGATTAATTTACTTGCCCCCCAAGGGGACATAGTAAGAGGCCAAGGAGGGCTCTGAGCCCATGGAGTCTGCCTCCAGTATCCATGTCCTTAGCCATTATCCTCTGCTGCCTCCATCAGAATCCATGTGCTTAGCTGTTTCCGTGTGCTGTGTTCCCATTAGGATCATAGCAAACCTACACTGCTACTAGTATTTATTAAATATTCAAATCAAGCATTTAAAAGCTGCAACATAACATGTTCTTTGGAGAATTTTCCCACAGTGACTGAACTAGCTAAGGCTTCTTAAAACATAAGTCCAATGATATCTGGACTGAAGACATCATACTAGTGTTCTATAAATGCCATAACAAATCACCACAAATTTAGCGGCTTAGATTTATGATCTCACAGTTCTGTAATTCAGAGGTCCTGTGGGCTCAGCTGGTTTCTTCGCTTTAGTCCCACAAGGCCAAAATCATGGGGTTTGTAGGACTGCATTCCCTTCTGGAAAGTCTGGTGGCGTAGTCTGCTTCCAGGCTCATTGAGGTGGTTGGTAGAAGTGTTCCTTACAGGTTTAGGACAGGCGTCCCTGCTGCTTTGCAGGCCGTCAACTGGGACCCACCTCTAGCTCCTAGAGCTATTCTTCGGTCCTTGCATGCAGGCACTCACATCTCAGAGCCAAGGCACGTTCAACCCCTCTTACGATGGTGGATCTCTGACTGACTCCACTTCCTTTTCTACTTGTAAGGGCTCACGTGATTACATTGGGCTCACCAGGATAATCCACTATCATCTCAAGGTCAGCTGACTTGTGACCTTAATTCCATCTGCTAAATCCTTTCACAGTAGTACCTAGAATAGTGTTTGACTGAATAACAAAGGGACGGGAATCTTGGAGGGACTCCTTTAGAATTCTGCCTACCACAGATGTTATATTTTTAAAATTATTTATTTATTTGCTGAGGAAGATTCGCCCTGAGCTAACATCCATGCCAATCTTCCTTTATTTTTGAGTATGTGGGCTGCCAGCACACTGTAGCCGCTAACAGAGTGGTTATATCTGTGCCCAGGAACTGAACCCTGGCCACCAAAGCAGAGCACACTGAACTTAACCACTAGGCTACTGGGCCTGGCCCTCCCATAGATGTTATCTTTTTTTTCTGAGTTTGTAAAAAGCAGAGACATTCTTCATTGCTCAAAGGGCCTTTGAGCTGCATTAAAAATTAAATGAAAAGAATTTCAAGTCCTTTGGAAGCATGAATGCCTCTAAAAGCCTGGATGGTAATCAGCAGCAGGGGATGCAGTTTTCACAGCAATTTCTTCAGTGACCCTTTTGTTCCCTGTATCCTGTGTCCTGAACAAAGGTCTTCCTCTTTGATGTTTACAGCTAAACTTTCCGGAAAATTCTGTAATCCTTTGGGTTGATTCCTGCAGCTTCTTCCTGAAATCTGATACCTTTCTTCTTCCCCCACCTGTGCCTACCAGTGCTTTTCCTGAAGTAACTTGAGCATCCTGTGCTCATCCTAAAAACTTCTTCTGTTGGTGTCTCATGGTAATTATTCTTAAGCATTTTAAAGGGAGACAAGGCTTTTACTGAAATCATGGCTTGGTTTGGAGCCATATTGATTCATGATATCTGATTTACGCATCCATCCAATCAAAAGATGTTTTCCACCTGAGGCACCAGCCCATTATGGTAAGAATATCTAATAGAGAATCGAGTGGGTGATTGCATTGGTTGCAGACTGCAATTACTACTTTTGGTGGGATTTTTATACAAGGAAGGTATAAATAGAGGTCGTCTGTAAAGCTAAAGATTGGAGAGAATTCTTGCCTTGGAGAGTTGAAATGTGAAAGAAACTGTGATTTTTGTGAAGTCCTATTCCTCCTTCACAACTGAGAGGATTCATAAAGAATCTCTTCCTTCCATTGTAATAATTGCAAGAAACAGTGGGAGCTCCTATGGTTTGGCCAGGGGTTTTTAATTTTGTGTTTCCCTTTGCACATTTTTTTCCCTTGGCAGTTGCATAGTTCACCTCCTACCTTTGGAATAGACAGTGCCCTAAGGCCTGATAGAGAGTCCAAAACCATGTTTACAGAGTACTGTACCAGTGGCGACGTAATTGGAGAGTTGAGCTGTCTGCTCAAGCGTGAAAGTGAATGTACTGCCATCTGTGAAACAATTTTACAGGTAAGAAACTGGTTCTGTCTGTATTGTGGGTTATTAGTTAATTCCCCCTCAAGTAAATAAGGAATGTCAGCATCTTTTCTTCCTTCAGGTTCTGATATCTTACTTAGTCACCCAACCAGCTGTTGTGAAGCAGTATAGACTAAAGGTGAGAGGCAGATTTAGTGTCTCACATCCTGTTTATGGGATCTGGAATAAGATATTTTAACCTCTTTGAGTCTTTGTGCCCTTGTTTATTAAAAGAGAGACCATCTAACATTTTATGAAGATTAGGAAAATAACTCTTGGCAGGTTCTGGGCATGTGTAGGTGCTCAATAAATGGCCACCATTATTGAGCAGCATTTTTAAAGAATGCTTGTTTGTTTTTAAACTCTCTTTCTTCCATTTTTTACTTGCTAGATAAGAATTTATCTATTCAACAAATAAATGGCCTGATAGTCCACTAGCTGTGGGGGATTCAAATATAAATGAGCCAAAATGACTGCTTACAAAGAATTCTCAAGCTTTTGAGACTATTAGAGGCAATAGGGCAGGGTCCAGAGTCTTAGGGGGTGTGATGAAAGGAGGAAATGTTGCTTCATCAGTTTCATACTATTTCACTTCTGGAAGAGGATAGACAGTATGAATTTATTCACAAGGCTGAATTGAATTCATTGAAGTTCATTTATCTTGAATCTTGAAAGAATAGTCTTTCTTATTCAAGGCAACAGTTTGCCTCTGGAAATAAACACTGTAAATGAGCCCATTTTTACCTACTGTGGCAATAAAAATAGATGTTTGTGTGGCTTACTTTCTAAATCTTGGGCTCATGAGCCATATCTTTTATCATAACTGTTGACTGTTATGAATTTTCCTTTCCTATTAAGTCTATAGCTTTAATTGGACTGTAAATTGTATTATATTATACATAGCAAACAAACTCTCCACAGTACAGTGCTTTTAAGTGGCAGAGTATCATAATTATAGTAGAGTTGACAGTTAGTTTTTCTAAGAGTTTAGATGAAGATAAAATCCAGATGCATCTTGTTTTCTGATGGTCTTGTAATTTAGTTCTAAATCAAGCTTGCTGCTCAACACCTTGTCCTTTCAGGCCTGCTTTATCTCCCTGGAGGATTTATATGAAGGCTTTGATGTCTTCTGGCCATCCCTGGAATATAAAATATGGCTAAAGCTTGCTCTCAGTATTGCCTATCAGTATTTTGAATCAAGTCTCATTGATGAGGTAAGTTACATGATTAAAATGTGAATGAACCTTTATTTATTGTATTTTTTACAAAATGCATTTCATATTTTTTGAGACAAAGACAGAAAGGAAGGTTATGTCTGATTTTCTAAAGTGAGATTTCAGAATTTTAAGCACTCTTTTATCCTGACTTCTTGCAGGTCGTCAGTCCTCCTGTCACAGCTAATTTTCCCAGGCTATCTATAGTCATCCCTTTAAAAAAATAAAGTAGATTCAGCAATTGTTATATAGGTAGATCCTCAAGAACCAAGCACAGCATTAGTTAGAATGAGTTAACAAACATGCAGCCTGGTGCTTATTATAGTCTAGTCTATTTACTTACTTTAATATAAATCTCCTGCCTTTTCAAAATCTTTATTGAGTTAACTGAGCCTCTACTATGAACCTTCTCTCCAAAAAGTAGTAGTTCAAGACTGTTCCTGGACTGGCACAATTTAAAATCCCATATTTATATCCTGTTTAATAATTATTTGAGACCCTAATAGGAGTCAGGAATAGGGGAAGTGACAGACTTGAAGTTCAACAATATTGACTGAATTGAGAGATTGGATATAAATGTTGGATTAAAAAATTATCATGTCTCAAGAGAATGAGAAGACAATCCACAGACTGGGAGAAAATATTTGCAGAAGACACATTTGGTGAAGGACTGTTATCCAAAATATACAAAAAACTCTTAAAACTCAACAATAGGAAAACAAACAATCTCTGTTCTTTCCAGTAGTGGGAACAGCATCCAAAATGTGAATTTCCCCCATGGTGGCAGGGTGCCCTGATCTGAGGTTTCAAAGCAGATCACCAGCATGTACGCCAGCACGAGTGAACAGAGGCTGTAGCCCCTGCCCCACCCAGCAGTGGCAGGTGGCATATATATCCTGAGACTTGAGGCCACAGAGCAGTGCTGGTAACTCAGTCTCCTCCTCCTCCCCTGGGAGTGGCACTGGTCTCTCTAGCAGTGGGGACAGCAACCAAAATGAAAATATCATTGGCAGGAGCAGGGTCTCCTGACCTGAGGTCTCAAAAATCACACTGGTGCACACCAGTGATCAGAAACTGCAAGACCAGCAACAACACTTGTGGCTTAGCCCCTGCTCCTTCCAGAAGTGGCAGGTGGCACCTATGACCTGAGGTCTCAGGAACCACAGCAGAACCTGAGACCCAGCCCCTAGTAGTGGCACCTTTGACACCAGCTCTACCAGCAGTGGGGGCTGGATACAAGACCCTATGGCCCCAGCAGTGACAGCAACACTCATGAACCCAGCACCCTGGGCAGCAGTGCTGCCAGCATCCCTAGGTAACCCAGGAGCAGCAGGGCAGGTGATGCACAGGGCAGCAGTACCTGAGCCCACAGAGAGCCCATGGAGAGCAAGTGGGTGACACAAGACCCAGGTGACCCCAGAAGCAGCAGAAGTGCTCGCAGCCTGGTGACTCTGGTGGCAACACCTGAGACTGCAGCAACATCAAAAGCAACAAGGCACCAGCAACCTCAGAGGCACAAGCAGCACAAGGAGGGCACTGACAACACCTCTAGCACAGGCAGTGGAGGGTCTCAAATACAACCAGAAGCAGCTCAGAACCAAAGTAACCAAAGCTGTACCCAAATAAGAAAGGTGGTTACTACCACAAAGCACCAGCAGAGGATCAATTCATTAAGTACGATGAAAAACTGCAGTAACATGGCAGAACAGAAAGAGAATGACAACTCTCTAGAAACCAAATTGAAGTTACAGAAGATTACAATCTAGCTGACAGAGATTTCAAAATAGCTCTCATAAAGAAACTCAATGAGTTACAAGAAAACTCAGAAAGACAGTTCAATGGACTCAGGAACAAAATTAATGAACAGAAGGAGTACTTCACCAAAGAGACTGAGGCTCTAAAAAAAACTAGACAGAAATTCTGGAGGTGAAGAACACAATTAATGAGATGAAAAATAAAGTAGAAAGTATTAAAAAAATAGAACAGACCTTATGGAAGAGAGAATTAGTGAGCTCAAAGATAGACATCTAGAAATGATTTTATTTCTAAATAAATATAGGAGGAGAGAGAATTAAGATTTTAAAAACATGAAGAAATTCTGTGAGAAATATCTGGCTCTACTAGGAAAAGTAACATAGGGATAATAGGTATCCCAGAAGAATAAGAGAAGCAGAAAAGAGCAGAGAGCTTATTCAAAGAAATAATAGCTAAGAACTTGGCTGGGGAAGGAACTGGGTATGCAAGTACATGAAGCTAACAGAACTTCTAATTATATCAATGCAAAAAGACCTTCTGCAAGGGATATAATGTTAAAATTATCAAAAGTCAATGACTGGGGCTGACCCCATAGCTGAGTGGCTAAAGTTCCATGTGCTCTGCTTTGGCAGCCCAGGTTTGCAGGTTCAGAACCTGGGTGCGGACCTACTCCGTTCATCAGCCATGCTGTGGAGGTATCCCACATACAAAAAGTAGAGGAATATTGGCACAGATGTTGGCTCGGGGTTAATCTTCCTCAAGCAAAGAAAAAAAAAAAAAGAGTATTCACAACAGATGTTAGATTAGGGCTAATCTTCCTCACCAGAAAAAAAAAACCTCAATGACAAAGAAAGAATATTAAGGGCAGCCAGAGAGAAGAAAATAACCTACAAAGGAACCACCATCAGGCTTTCAGCAGATTTCTCAGCAGAAGCTCTACATGCTAGGAGAGAGTGTAACATTATATTCAAAATACTGAAAGACAAAAATTATCAGCTGAGAATACTCTATCAGCAAAATTAACCTTCAGGTATGATAGAGAAATAAAAGCTTTCCCAGACAAATGAAAGCTGACAGAGTTCATGGCCACTAGATCTGCCTTAAAGAAATGCTGAAAGGAGCCCTCCTACCTGAAGTGAAAGGGCAAAAGTTTACAAAGCTTTGAGCAAGGAGATAGACATGACAGAATCAGAAAATTGCAGCTCTATGTCAGAATAGGTTAGTAAACATTTAAGTATAACATAAAGAATAAAGGGAAAGAAGGCATCAAAAATAACTATAACCACACAAATTTGGTCACAAACTCACAAAACAAAAAAGAATAATTTGTGACAACAAAAACATAGAAGGGGAAGAGGAAAAGGACAGAACCTACGTAGGCTAATGGAGATGAGAGGCTATCAGAAAAAGGACTATCTCACCTATGAGATCTTTTATACAAACCTCATGGTAACCACAAAACGAAAAATCAGAGCAGAGTCACAAATCATAAATAGAGAAAACTGAGGAAAACATCACAGAAAACCACCAAACTGAAATGGCAGTCAGAAATACAAGGAGAAAGAAATAGCGGAAATATAGAACAACCAGAAAATAAAAGATAAAATGGCAATATTAAGCCTTCATATATCAATAATCACTCTAAATGTAAATGGATTGAATTAACCAATAAAAAGACACAGAATGGCTGGATGGATTAAAAAACAAGACCCAAGAATATGCTGCCTCCAGGAAACACATTTCAGCTCTAAAGAAAAATATAGTCTCAGAGTGAAAGGATGGAAGATGATACTCCAAGTAAATGGCAACCAAAAGAAAGTGGGTGTAGCTATACTTATATCAGACAAAACAGACTTTAAGACATAAAAGATAAGAAGAGACAAAAATGGGCATTGTATAATGGTAAGAGGTACACTGCACCAAGAAGACATAACACATATTAATATATGTGCACCTAACATAGTAGCACCAAAGTATATAAAGCAACTATTAACAGACCTAAAAGGAGAAATTGACAGCAACACAATAATAGCAGGGGACCTCAACACCCCACTTACTTCAATGGATAGATCATCCAGACAGAAAGTCAACAAGGAAACAGTGGGCTTAAATGAAACTCTAGACCAGATGGACTTAATAGAGATATAGAGAACATTCCCTCCAGAAACAGCAGAATACATATTCTTCTCAAGTGCACATGGAATATTCTCAAAGATAGACCATATGTTGGGAAACAAAGTGAGCTTCAATAAATTTAAAAAGAGTGAAATCATAGAAAGCATCTTTTCCGACCACATTGCTATGAAACTAGAAATCAACTATGAGAAAAAAGCTGGGAAAGTCACAAATATGTGGAGACTAAAGAACATGCTACTGAACAACTATTAGATCAATGAAGAAATCAAAGGAGAAATAAAAAAATACCCGGACACAAATGAAATAAAAATGTAACATACTGAAACTTATGGGATGCAGCAAAAGTGGTACTAAGAGGGAATTTTATAGTAATGTAGGCCCACTTCAAGAAACAAGGAAAATCTCAAATAAACAACCTTGCACTATACCTAAAAGAACTAGAAAAAGAAGAGCAAACAAAGACCAAGGTCAGTAGAAGGAAGGAAATAATAAAAATCAGACCAGAAATAAACAAAATAGGGACTAAAAGAACAATAGAAAGGATCAGTGATACTAAGAACTGGGTCTTTGAGAAGATAAAATTGACAAACACTTAGCCAGACTTATTAAGAAAAAAAGAGAGAAGGCTCAAATAAATAACATTAGAAACGAAAGAGGAGAAATTACAATGGACATGTCAGAAATACTAAGGATTATAAGAAAATGCTATGAAAAGCTATACACCAAAGTTGGACAACCTAGAAGAAATGGATAAATTCCTAGAATCCTACAATCTCACAAAACTGAATCAAGAAGAAATAGAGAATCTGAATAGACCAATCACAGGTAAAGAGATTGAAACAGTAATCAAAAACCTTCCAAAAGACAAAAGTCCATGGCTTCTCTGGTGAATTCTTCCAAAAATTCAAAGAAGATTTAATACCTATCCTTCTCAAACTGTTCCAAAAAATTGAAGAGGATGAGATACTTCCTAACTCATTTTTCAAGGCCAACATTACCCTGATAGCAAACCAGGGAAGGACAGAAAAAGGGAAAATTACAGACCAACATTGCTGATGAATATAGATGCAAAAGTCCTCAACAAAAAGTAGCAAATTGGATACAACAAT